TCCACACCTCGCCGTAACCGCTGGTTGCACTACACTGCACGGTGGTAACCGCACGACTGCATGGCGTCCATTTGCAATCCATGGCCCCGTCGCGTGCGCAGACATTTGCCGAATTTTCGCCAAATCTTTGCCGAACTTTCCTTCAAAAGTCCGGCATCTGCCGAACTTTGCTGAATCTGAAGTTCGGCAGATTCGGTCCATCACTAATATATGTGAACGGCGCTTAAAACAGTGGCACGCTGGCGCCATCTCCTTCTTTTTTTTTTTTTTTTTTTTTTTACAACAAACTTTCAGGAGGCCCTTTCCCAGTTTCCTCCTCACCCCCCTCCTCCTCCTCTCTATTCCTCCTTTCCTTCCTTCTTTCCTCCTTTCTGATCCTCCTCCTCCTTGAGCGGAGTGCGGCGCCAGACGAATCCGTCAAATGTTAGGCCCCTGTATACACTCCGTGCAGCGCGCAGCGCCGCTAGCGGAGGAGCTGGCGTTCGACTGTGAGGCGCGTTCAGCAGCCCGCGGCGCCTTTTAGCATGCCAAGCTGTGGCGGCGGAAGCGCGCACGGACGAAACTTTTGCTTTTTGAGCCGATAAGTTGAGGATGCCGTTGCATGAGTGCTGGAGCAGAAGGGCCATTTAGCTGTTCTCCACTTCTTATATATTGAGTTTGAGTCGTTATTAGGGATAATTTCTCTAGTTGCGGCCGAAAAAGGAGTTGGAGCAATTTTCCGAAAAACAAGACGGCCGCCCCATAATTACTGAGTGGGAAATTTATTTCGCTCGTCGCTGTAAACCTAGGACTGCTTGAACCATGATATTTGGAGGCGAGTGAGGTGTTCACCAAGTTTTTGCACGAAGAGTGCCAAGTTTCTTTAAGACAGCACGTGTGAAAGTTAGGTTTCTAAGGAATAAAGAAATAAAGCTGTATGGGATATCCAATATTGGACCCAAAATGTGTTATAGCGAGCTGTGCAAAGTGCAGATTTTGGCACACAGGTACTTGGACTTGACAGTAACATGACACAGCACTTATTATACAAAAAAAAGGTGGCATACAGAAACCAGGTGAAAATTTGGGTGTGGCGGCGTAACTCAATGGGAACCGGTTTTGACCATGAAAAGGCTGTCAAGAGAATACCACTGGTCGGGGGAGGTGGGTACTTTAGAGGTAGGAAGGGACTAGTGGACTGTACTTACAATTGAGACAACTTTATGAAAGGTGGTTACAAAGCCGAGAAAACAAAGTTGTCGGCCAACACACGGTTTGGCCGCCAAGGGCTTTTGCGGTCAGCTGTTGTGTAACAACCTGTTGTGCGAGGTGCTGATTTTCGGCGCACAGGTACTTTGACATGACCGTCACTTGGCACAACACTTACTATCACAAAAAGAGTTGGCATAGCGAAACCAGGTGGAAATTTAGTTTGGGCGGCATAACTCAATGGGAACTGCTTTGACCGTCAAAGGCTGTCAGATAATACCACTCATCGTGGGAGGTGCGCACTTTACAGGTAGGAAGGGACCAGTGGACGGTACTTCCAGTTCGAACCACTTTGCGATAGGTGGCTCTAAAGCCGAGAAAAAAAAAATGTTGTCTACAGAACTCGGGGTGTCAGCGTTTCCACATTTAAAAGGAGGCTGATCAAGAAAGAAAGCACACCACATAAACTTCCATACTCAAACCTCGATTCTCAAGTGATTCCGAGTTTCATTGTTGTTTTCTTCAGATTTATATTTGTCACTTTTGAACGTTCAAATCTTTTTTCATGACGTACACATTGCGTGCCATACTAGTTCGGAAATATCATCGACATGTACGATGAGGACGAAACTTCTTTGGAGGGCATTCTTCCAGCGAAATTCAGACTGCATACCCGCGAGTGTGGGATGGCATTTCAGTTCGAGCTGAGATATGTAGGCGTTACTGGTACCAAAACAAACGCAGTGCGCAAAGCGGCAGTGTAGAGTCGCGTCGCACGGAGTGTATACAGGGGCCTTAGTCAAATGTAGAGTTCCTGTATAGGCTCCCTACCGTAGGTAGATTATACAGGAACTCTAGTCAAATGCAAACCGGAGCGCCCCTAACGGAAGCCACCGGCGCCGCGCATGCGCGACGGGGGTGTGGGCAAGAAGCTCGCCGTCGCCCATAAACAAACCATTGAAATGCGATGTTTTCGGCGTCGGTGCGAATCCCCCTGCCCTTTTTCGCGTTCGAATTGTTGATTCTACGTCTTCCTGGGCAATGTCTGACTACTTGAGCGGCGTCAGCGAAATTATCGAGGCTCGTTACAGCGCAAAACTTCGCGTGAATAGTGTGACATGTGGCGATTCATTCCGCGTGGACGCCGCAGTATATATATGTACGCTAAAGCCATGGTTCGCATGATGAGATTTCGCTCGCAAATTTTCAATCGCAACGCCGCTTTGGCTTCAAAAGCTTGAACCCTAGCTGAGATGGTCGACGTCGATATTGAAAACCGCAAGCAGAATCGGACCAAGTGAATTAGGCTTAACAAGTCGGTGATGGTCACTGGTAACAATGATCAACATCTCCTTGTATCTGCTGCTTACATCGAGCCTGCTTACCAACCTTCAAACTTTAGTCTTTTGAGGCTTGCACTTCTTACCGCAAGTACTAAGTCGACATGTCGTCTACGGGCCGGCGTCGTCTAAGAGAGCAGACGACAAGCAGACACGTTTGAAAGAGCAGATGTCAGTTTGAACGATCAGGCGGCCGTTTGAACTTGAAGACGCACTGAACGTAGTCCGCAGGTGGTCCGCACAAGTTGACGGTTTTCTGGCGTTCATGTTGGAACAAAACAAATAAATCTGATGGCCACAAGTATTTGTGAATTCAACACAGAGTGCTTACCGCCCAAGCAATCGTTGTCCGACGGCGTCTTTTTTTCCCTTTTTCTCGACACATATCCAGATTCTCGGGCGAACTGAGCACGTGAAAATTGACTTTCAAACCTTTCTCGACTCTTTTGGTACGGCCCCAGTCGCGGCGTTTTGACGAGATGGCAGGTTTTTGTCTGGTTCCTTTCAAAACAACACAGGAATACATGTCTGGCATGGGAACTTCTGCCCACAACCCCAGACCGGAAGTGCGCCCGACGCGCCACCACCGCGCCGTGACGTCACAGAGTTGAGTTCGTGTATAAAAAATGGTCGCTTATAAGACTAACAAAAGTTTTTCAAGCAAAGAAAAAAAAAGAGTGATGGAAAAAAAAAGGAAATATACAGGACCGCCAAGTGTTCCATGGCTACCCGATAGGCGGCGTAGTGTGTTCTCTCGTTCTAAGAGATCTCAAGAGCTTTCAAGGCACACGGTCCTAGAAAATCGCAAGTGTGTGAACAGGCTTTAATAAGCTCCCTGAGGGGTATATCTAGTAATAAAAATGTTACAACGCACAGAACGTAAATGTTTGAGAGATCGTAAATTTTTGGGGGCTGGAACGCACGATGGCGCTGAAGTGACCCAACGCTAGGCACAACCCACCTGACGTCCGGTGTGTCTGACGTCATGTTCCTTTGAGCTCGAACCTCTGCTTTGGCTTTGCAAGTTCCTTTTTTCTCGTCACTTTGTTGCGGAAACGTAACTTGGTTGGGGAAACGTATTCTGATTCATGTCTCGATGTTACATTTTAACACTTCTCTAAAAAAAAAGTATGTATGATACAGTAAAATAGTTAGTTGTTGGGCGATTTGGTGAACGTTTGGATACACGGTTTTGCGCAAAAGAGACGGACACAAGAGAGAGAAACAAACAAATGCGCTCGTGTTTGTTTCTCTCTTGTGTCCGTCTTTTTTGCGCAAAACCATGTATCCAAATATGTATGATACAGCCAAGGTGGAATTGGAGTGTGCTGATAGATCGCCATGTCCGCCCCCCCCCCCCCCCCCCCTCGTCTGTCATTCGCGATTTTATCGAAATTTACCTAAACCGTCGGTATTACTGCGCGTCTCGTCGATCTTTTTTTTTTTTCTTTTTTGTTTACGTATTCAGAAATAGCTTCGAGCCTGCTTCGCATTGTCTTAACCCGTAAATCCAGTGGGCTTACTCCGAAAGATCGCCCCCCCCCCCCCCCCTCCACCCCCCGGGCCCACCCCTCTCTTTCCGGACCCCCAATTTCCCTGCTCATGCGCAAGTCCCCAAATTTGTTTCTAATCCGTTTTCAAAGCATCAAATATACAAGGCGGTGCAGGTTTCTGGATGTGCGCAGATACGGGACTCGAAGCTCCTCGTAGAATGTCGTCCGGTCGCTACACGCGTCTTCGTAATACCCCTCCTTGTTCGATATTCTCGGTCGAGCGGATTTCAGTGTCTCGTAAATAAAAGCAGCTTCTGCAAAAAAAAAAAAAAAAAAAGAAAGAAAGGAAAAGGGAGAGAGAGAAAGAAAGGTTGTAAATTGAGCCTGCGTCGCCGCTTTTTTTCATTAATTTTTTTCCTCCGTTTTCCACAGTTGCGGATGATTGGATCTTGTTGAGAACAACAACTCCTGAGCGCCGGTGGTTCTCACTTTGCATTAGGTCAAAATAAAAACCTCCGAACGCAAAAAAAAAAAAAAGAACATATTTTCGTACGTCGCAGGAAATTCGTTTCGAAAGAAACAAAAAAGAAGAGAAAACGATTTAGGTTTTGAACGACATCCAACGAACATATAATACGATATTCCGGTTGCATTATATCATGTATGCGATTGAAAATACGACACGGGCAATATGGGCACGTTCAGAACATTTTAATTCGTTGCGAAACAACCAATAGCAAAATCGTCTTTTTTTTTTTTTTTTTCTTTATCGCTGTGGAGAATGAACGTGTCGCGTGCTTGGTATTCGGTAAAAACACTTCAGAAACCTTTTTTTATAATTATTATTACGCAACAAAAATGCAAGTTCGATTGATGAGTGTTCTGCTTCAAGCTTTGTCACCTTCTGTCCCGGCGCGAAAGCGCTGACCCAAAATGATCGCGTGATTCCTAACACGCTGTGGCTGTTTCTTTGTTGCAGGGGCTTTGCGGACAAGTCGTCGGCATCGCACGACTACTACAACGACGAAGCCTTCAACCTCGAGAACGCAGTCAAGTGAGTATCTTTCGCCTTTGGTCACCTTCCCAGACACAAGTGGCAAACCTTAATTAGCGATTATTTTGTCCGGAAGCACATTATCTCTATGACGTGTGCGAGGATCATTGTTGCTACCTTTTGCGATTTTGATTGGGCAGCCTCGCCACATCTAGAGCCACTAAATGAGCCTCGCTTAGAGTATCGGCACTCCGTTCCCCGACATTGTTGTGGGCGCCGCCATTTTGGCTCGTATGCAGAGCAGACGCAAATGCCGATCGTCATGATTCAAAAGTGCGACTTCCTCAGCATTAGATTAGGTGTTATGAAGGTCATGTAATACTGCTTTGCTCTGTCGCGAACTGTTTAAACATTTCTGGAGGGCGGAAGAGCGTTTCCTGTGGTTTCAGATAAAGCTTCAGATAACTGGCAACCATGATTTTAAGACACAATATGGCCAAGTGTCGCTGCTCTGAAGCGTAGCTTATCTAGTGGCACTAGCCACATCTATACGTTGTGAATGGTGTGGCGCCTGCGTGAAGAACGAAGATGAACTGTCTTGTTCGTCAGCATTGGTTTGGAGGGTTGGGATGCTGCTTGCGTGGCTCAAGCGTAGCGCATACTACTGAACGTGAGTGCAGAAAATGCAACCTGTGTTCTGCACGTTCCTCCAAAACGAAAGCTCTTTCCTTCTCAAATCTTGGAACGAGTTCCCGCTACAAGTTGCGGTGGATCGGAAGGTTGCGCGTTCCCTTTACATTTCTGAGGTTGACACGCGTTGGTACATTAACATTACATTTGCGTATGTTAATGAAAGAATGTGCTGGATAATCCGTAGATAAAATTAAACGAGCGAGAAAAATGCATCTACATCAAACGAAGTGTCCTGTCGCCACGGGTCACATTTGTTTGAGTTCTTTGTTTTCGACTCTGACTCTCACTTCGATAATAAAGAAGTATAAATACATACTAAATTCGGGTAAAACTGCTAATTAATAGACAAAAAAAATTAATGTTTTTTATTAAACGTAACGCGTTCCGGATCCTGATGTAAGATAGAGCACTGTAATAGAATGGCGGCGTTCCTCCATTCCTTCTAATAGGAATGCGTTCCAGGACGTCATTCATCGGAATGCCGTTCCGTACAACACATCAGGGCGGCGGAGAAAAGCTCACCGGAGAAAAGCTCACCGCAAAACCGGCAGATGCGGAGAAAAGCTCACCGGCCTTTCAGCGAATGCGGAGAAAAGCTCACCGATTTTTTTTTTTTTTCTTACCTTAGCGGATTGTACGTCACACGTGGCAATTCAGCACGATTAGAATTCGTCACTTCATTAAAAATAATTGTCCTCTTTTTTTTGTAATATTGTTGAAGTTTATTGGGCATATTTACTAATTTTTCAGAAATTAGTAATCACCCGTTCTGAGTATTAATGACGCAGCAAGTATAAAATCAGATCATCGGACACCCGTAAAAGAGACAACCATCGCTTGACAGTGCGCCGTCGGTAGCTCTGTCAAATAAAGAGGTTTACTTTTTGCGAGCTAGTATGAATAGCGGTGTGAGAACCGTTTCAGCTCCAAAGATTGTATGGTGCCTGACAGATTGAATAGGTGTTTGTTCATCATAATCAGTGTCGACTGCGCTGTTTTCTTTCTGTTATTTCCCCCTTTCTTTTCTTTCTCTCTACTTCTTTTCATGGGGAACCAGTTCAGCATTCCCGCTAGAACAACCTCCCCTGCTTCTCTCACGCTACCTCTCTCTCTCTCTGTCTTCAGTAATAAAACTTTAGTTACGAGAATAGCTTCGTCCTGTCCTGTTTGTTGTCTTCGCTCCGTCTTCGTCGTTTGAGTGGTTTTCATTATGTATACCGATTGCCAACTCGCCCAATGCGCTGCTTTACAGAAGACTAGTTGTAATGTAGGTCACGAGTGTGTCAGTGTGCAGCTCTGAAGGTCATGGGGGGTCACCGTAGAAGGGCACTATTGCAGAAAGGCAATGTGTGGAAACACCAGCAAGAACGGCTTGAAAACATGCATGTCTGTGGGAGAAAGAAACCTCGATATCCCAGTGACCGTTCTATCGTGTTTTCAAAGGTTAACAAAAGCTTCATAGAGATTTTCGGGCACCGCGTTGTTGCGCATGCAATTTCAGATTTTTGGCATTTACCGTTTTGCTTTTCTTCTTTTGTTTTAGGTTTTAGGCGGACACTATTAAGTTTTCGAATTTTTTCCTGTTCTCCAGGTTCATAAAGTTTTCAGTTAGGCTTTCGTTGCCCAGAGAGCAAACCAAGAAAAACACTCGCCCGCAATTATTAGTTTGGGAGCAATATACCTGATAAGCTTAACAAATATTACAAAAAAAAAAAAAAGACATTTTATTTTTTATAAAGCTGATAAATTTTAATAATATTGAAATGATATATGTTAGGCATGATCCAATAGCCTCCTAATGAACGGAAGAAAAAAATCGGTGAGCTCTTCTCCGCTTACGCTCATTTGCCAGTGAGCTTTTCTCCGCATTCGCCAGTTTTGCGGCGAGCTTTTCTCCGGTGAGCTATTCTCCGGTGAGCTTTTCTCCGGTGAGCTATTCTCCGGGATTCAACACATCAATGTGTCACAAATGAGGTAGGGAAGATCTTCGCGTGACGCGAAATGTTCTTTTTCCCGCGTCTAGCGCAAGCTTCCTACTTTTGAGTGGGAGGAAATTTAGACGGGTATGGCCAGTACGAGATCACAATCTAAAAAATGCGGTCGCTAAGCTTTTTTTCTTTTTTTTGAGGTGGAAGAAAAAAAAACGCTCGTCTTTTACAAAAAAAAAAAACAAAAAAAAAACGATGTTTGAAGTTTGACGGTGACTATGGTTAAATAAGGAGTAGTCACTGGACGCCATATTTGTGGGTGTTGTCTAGAGCACATGCTCAGAACGAGCCCATATTAATAGGTTGTTAAGACCGGCCATCCTGATGGTGGGGAATGCACGTTCCAAAAGAACCGTGGAAGCTCGCCATCTGCACGCGCTCAGGAGTCGCGCACACAGTTATGGCTGCCAGTGAATACTTCCTGTAACCGGTGTGTTTAAACGTTATTTTCTTTTCTCCGGCCCCAGCGCACATTTGCGTTTGACTGTGTTGCGCCCAGAAACTAAAGCGAGTCACCGGCACATCTGTGCTTCGTATGAAGCGTATAATCCAATTCAAGGAATAAGGGATGTTCTGGGCCGGCTTGCTGGAAACAGCGTCTCAGCTGAAACTGGGTGAGACCCGTTGCTCTCGGGCAGGGGGCGCGAGCGCGTCCGCAAGACGCGACCATGTTATGCTGGCAGCGCTATCCAGGCGGCGCTGTAACGTTCGATTTTGCACGTGCCACGTTCGAATGCAAGCATCTGTCAGCATCTGCAGACGCGTGATAACAAAACGTCTAAAAAAAGAAAAACAAAAACAAAAAAACATTATGCAGCTCGTGGCCTCAGCGTCCTATTCAGCTTTAATATTTTATTGCGTTCTTTCATAGCTTCTGTGAGCCCGTATGTTTCACTTCACGTGATAGCGAAGCTGAAGCTACTCGCAAGAACATGTTCCCCCAAAAGATGCTCGCACTGCACGAGCGCGCGTGCTTTGGGGGGACGGAGCTCGGTCTTGTAGCTCCTGTTACGCTGGTACTTCGAATGGAACGGAGTGTAAAGAACTATAGTGGGGGGAAGCGTGATTTACGCAGGTTCGAAACGCGAGCCAAATATTTTATTTTGCTCACCTGGAGCGCTGCTGAAAACTTGAGGGCTGCTCAACGAGGTTGGGGCAGTTGGGGCTGCTGGACTCAAACCGCGCCTCAAGCTGCTCGCGCGTCCCAGTATTTGCTGTGCTCTCTTCCCCCCAGCCTCTGCTGAGACGCTGTTCATGCAAAGCGCCCCTGGTTTCTCGCAGCCGCAACGATCTCAAACGCAACTGTGCGTAGGGCGTTTGCGCGCTGAAATTAGACGAAAGAAAAACTACACGACCATACAAAAAAACGCGGAGAACAACTCGTGTTTGAAAACTCGTAGCACCAGACAACCCTGAGACCCTGACAACCCCACGAAAAAACAAAGGCGACGAAACGCAAGGCGAATGCAAACGCCGGATTGGCCAGTTGGGCCCGGCCAATCAGGAGCAAGGCGGTTGAGTTTCAAACCCGAGGACCGTGATCGCCGTGACACTGGAGATTTGTGTTTGTTGTTTATGGCGCATTTCTGCGCGTTTTAAGCAAAGGAGTCTCAACAGCGCGTGCCCGCGTGCCCCACGGGTCTTGCACTTGCCCCCGTGCGCCAACACTCGAGCCTGCACGAGACGCACCAGCCTCTCAGCTCCCGCCACACAAGCCCGAGTTGGCCGCTCTTGCTTCGGCGTCCTCGAACGCGCCAGGAACCCGCAAGTCGCTCACGATCTCTGATCGGAACTCCGAGATCTCACCGCTGTCTCCTCGACTCGTCGCGAACCTCAAGCAACAGAATGGATCGTCGAGACGCCCCGACAGCTCGTACCGTCGCCGCCGCTAGCCCCGTCAGCCGGAGCCTCGCCCTGCCGCCCTTCTGGCCGTCGGATCCCGAGCTCTGGTTCGCCGTGGCCGAAGCCCAGTTCGCCGCCAAGGCCATCACGGGCGAGAAGACCATGTTCTACCACGTCGTCTCGTGCATCTCTTCGGACGTGGCCGCCGAAGTCCGCGACTTGGTCGTGGACCCGCCTGCGGAGCGCGCATTCGAAACGCTCAAGCAACGCCTCATTCAGAGGGCGCCTTCCTTGGAACAACGCCGGCTCCAAGACGTCCTCTCCACCGAGGAACTCTCCGAGTGCACCCCTTCGGACCTCCTACGACGCCTCCGACAGCTCCTGGGTTCCCGAACGCGGTCCGTGAACGATCCTCTGCTGCGCGAGGCCTTCCTCCGTCGCTTGTCACCCACCGTCAGGGGAGTCCTCGGCTCTGCCGAGGACATGAGCCTCGACGTCCTCGCGCAGCTCGCGGACAAGATCGCCGAGGTGGCAGCCACGAGTTCCACCTTGGGAACTGTCGGTCCGGACGTCTCGACCGAAGTGCAGCGTCTCCGCAGCCAGGTTTCGAAGCTGTCCAAGCTGGTCGACATGCTCGAGACGCTGGCCATTTCGTCGGTGGGTCCGCGACGCCGCGCTCGTTCCAAGTCGCCGAGCAGCACGAGCCCCGCGACCGCTTCGTCGCGCGGAAACTCGCAGCCGCAGCAGCTGAAGGAGTGCTGGTACCATCGCCGGTATGGTGATCAGGCTGCCAACTGCATGCCGCCCTGCGTGCGCAAGGGCAAGGGACCGACCTCGCGTTGAAGTCGACGCTCAGCACGACTTCTTACGCTAGCAAGCGTCTAGCAGACGCGAAAAGGCTCGGCGTGTCTCCCGTTAGTTATCGTTTCTCTCCGGCGCTTTATGGGCCAGTCGCCTTTCGTGTCAATTTCCCGGTTCCTTTTTTTTTTAGAGAAGTATTTTTTATTGTATCTTCGTTAAAGTTTCTTCATTCTATTTCCTTTTTCAACATATGCCGCAGCTTCCACTTTCCCCCGTTTTCGTGTTTATTGTTGCTTTTTTTTTTCTTAACCGATCTTTTCTTAAATGTTCTGTATTATGTATCAAGGTAAATGTTTAAAACATCGTCAAACATCGCGGCAACTCACCGTCATTATCTCGTTTGCATGCTTCAATTTCATTACGTCGTTTCAACTGAACTTCATATCTCCGAAGTCCTCATTTTTGCCCATTGTTATTCTCGAAAGGTTCTTCGTGGCTTCTGGCAATAAAGAATACTGTCGTTCACCTTGGCCATGATCTTTTTTGCACAGTTTTTTTTATAGAAGTATTGGTTCAATGCGAAGCTTAATCTCTATTAATTTTGTATATTTTATTTTTCTCCGGTCACCCATGGCTGTACAAAAATAGTTCCATCGGAAGCACGCTGTGCCTGTAATTAGTTTTCTTTATTGTGTTCCTTAAAACTGTATCCCGAGGACATTTCGACGGACGACACAAATTTCTGGTCGCTTCCTGTGACCTTTGCTGTTGCTGGAATATGTAAACGAAATAAACAGGAATATGCAAAGCATATTCCTTGGGGGTAATGGGACTTGCTGTTTTTAATCCAAGCCTGACCCTTTTCCACCACCTGTTCAAAAAAGAACTGTAATCTAAGCGAAGATGGGCAAAGACTTGCTAAACACTCCAAACATTTTTTTTTTGTCTTAAGTTAGGAATTAAGTACACTTTGTTGTGTCTTGCAAAATTGCTAGTTTTGGAATGTGGTTTACATAAAATGCCTGAACTTTGGCATCCTCTATTTGTTCATCCTTCTTACGTCAAGGCAGCAATTTTACGAAGGGAACAGATGGTGCATAAAAGTAATGCACTGAATGGTACATTAGCTGTTGTTTTTGCAAAGCCTTGTAGAAGTGAACACTATCTTTGGATTCCAGTTCTGATATAAGTCGACTTTGTGCAGCCCTTACACCATTTGGGTTTTCTCCTTGGTTTTGATTGTGGTATTCTAGCTCTATACTTCATTTCATACTTAATGTACAATGCTCGCAAAAGTGCTGGTGCGAGCACATGTCTCCATGTGGTGTCTCATTTGCACAAGAACACTTTCAAATGAACCTGAAGATCAAGCCACATGATTGAGGCAGCATCTTTGGCATTCGTTGTACATTAAACATGAAACTGAGTATACTGGTCTAGTTTCTACAGCTAGCCGGCAATGGCTAGGCAGTGCTACAAGAGTGCTGCATTCAGCGCCACATGCGGAGGCGTGTCTGTTAATGGGGCGGCCAGTCTGCCCCTCGGGCCGTGGCGAATGGCGGCGACCCTGATTTCAGCAGTCCCCATGGCGTGTGCACCATGTCCCTGGTTCCTTCATGGGGTTTTAAGAACATTGCGAGAATTGATAGGTCGAAATCTTTGGATCATATTCTAGAGTTGTCGTTTGGACACCAGTCTGAGTTGTCTTCACCACTAGAATAAAATGTGGGTAATAAGAACCAAACTCTGCATGCTAGAGAACAGTACGCACATTGCACTGCAGCTGAAATGTGATATGCAAGCCCGGTGTAAAAAGGTGACAGTCAACAAAGTGTATCTGTGAGAAGGATATTTACGCTTTGCATTAACTTTTTCTAAAGAAAAACTTTTGCATCCTGTTTTCTGCACATCGTCACCTTTGTCACCAGACTTAGCATTAAATTTTTGCTGCCGAAGCCAATAAAACTTTATATGCTACGAAAATTCACTATTTGAGAACTCCCAGGTTTGGAAGGTTTTGGTTGCGAAGGCAGTTGCCGAAGTGCTATGCACGCGTAGAACTACGAGTGTCGGAACGGTCTGACGGGCCTCTTGCTTGAAGGCCTGATCGCCTGATTTTTGATGTTGCAGCGAAGCAACAATCTGCCCAATTGTTCCTACTGTATTTCCCTATGTGGCTGTCTAAGTCAGTCGTAAAACAACTTGTATAAATATGTTATTTTGCCGAGTAGTCAGCAAAACGAGTTCGTCAGACCACTTTCCAAGCCTGTACATCTATTTTCGTTCACTTCAACAATTAATGTAAAATCCACTTACTTGATGCGTCGCACTATAGTAATCCACTTTTGTCGCCGTGTCGCTTCCCAAGATCGCAAAGGGAAGCTGTAAAGTTTACGCTTCAGTCACTTCGCAACTGTGGCAGTCTTTCAGTTGCGATGTTTATTTTGGGGGGGAACTCTAGGAGTAGGCAAGATCATAGAGACGTGAAGCTGGGACTTTTACGGAAAATGGTTCCCAAAAAGGCTCGCGCTAATCCAAAATGCCACGTTCAGACATGGTTTCTAGATGTGCCTGCCCGCAGTCCCCGCGACCCGGGCCGTCCTGGCCTACCCAGTGCTTTTTGCAGCCGCTAGATGGCGCAACATGTAGTGCCAAACTGCATTGCCGGTTTGCGATAGGTTTGAACAGAGCTGAATATTATACAAGACTCATTTTGTTACACAAATTGTTCTCTGCTTCATTTCTTGTTTTGAATAAAACATTGCGATAAATAAAATTTATTTTGCTCTTCACTGTCAACTGTAGGGTGACATGCCAACAACTGCTTAATTGCATCTTCGTTGAAATTTATTCTACTTAATAATATTTCTTTCTGAATGCACTGCCCAGGAGATTTAATAGGCTTTTTTTTTGTTGCATCCCAAAAATTCATTCTGTTTATTTGTTGTCCTCTGCTTTTGTTGGGTATATTTTCCTCTAAATTTTATGGTTTCCATGTTTCCATGTGCAGTTCTGTTTGTTTTGTTTCACTGTTTTGTGATATGCAATCAAGTTTTTCTTGTTAATGGGTATCAACATGCGTGTGTGTGTTCAGAAATAAGTGCTCAGCTGCAACTCGGCCGATCACAGCACCATATGTGCATGTTGCCAAGATTGATTGGCACCATGTTGGATTCTGCCATCTTTCCGGCACGTCTTACAATCTGTTGGACATTTTGTCATACATGTCTGGTTTTAGCTTGATGTGACTAAGTTGACCTTGTGGGCAACCTGGTGATCCAAAGTAAGACAAATTCTACAACCTGCTTTTGAGATCTGTCTTTAATCAGATTTTACTCTTATGCATTAGCTTTGGAAGCTTTTCCATCTCAGATAATTCTGATCATATCCATATTCTTACATATAGCACAGTAGTAATAGAGCAATTGCTAAACAGTAGGAACACCAAACAGCATGCAGGTTTGTACTTATCGTTCTGCACATGCTGGCGTCTGCAGCATTAATTTTTGAAAGCTAAAGTTTTCACCAAATGTCACTTTGCATATGCGTCTTAGCATTGTCTTAGTAATTTCCTTAAAAATTTTTTCGTGCAGACAGGCAAGCATGTTCCCTTACAAACCCAGCATGCTTCTTGGTGTTCAAATGATCTGTTGTAATCAACCCTAATTTACCTATACAATACAGCACTTCCTCATAGTGCTTGATTAGAGGATTCGTATTGGATGTATGATTCCAGGAAATGGAAAGATCGAACTTTCCTCAGTGTTCATGCTAAATAACCAGACTTATGAGGGCTCTGTATGTGCATAATCTTTTTGTATAAAGGAATCAAATATTGCTTTGCTCTTGATGTGCAACACTATTCTAAGCCGGAAGCATACAGAGTGTTGAAGAGTGCCGATTTGCAGTCACAACGATGATACGATGGTGGCCTTCGATTTCCCGGTCACACCACGGCGAACCCGTGAGGAGGACGTTTACGAAGACCTGTGCTACGTCACCCTCCGGGTGAACGAGGTATTCGGGCGATTGCATTACTGGGTGCATGCATGCTTTACGCGTGTGGGAGTATTACCTCGCAAAAGGCCCAGCGTTCACCCGTTTCTTTTATAGGCCAAGAACTGTGTTGTGTCCTTGTCACAAACTAAGTTCTCTTGAATAATCACCTGTCCTTTTGACCTTGTGAAAACGTTTTTCAAAGCCAGATTTGGTTTCTTTATTTCAGAAAATTGTCAGGTTTTAGGTGACTAAAGAAGCCACAGAACATACAGGATTGCCTAAAGAAACTGCAGAACATTTGACTAAAGAAACCTCAAAACATCAAAGCTGTTTTGAGGTGCCAACTGCCAAGTTCATTTGAAAATAGTATTAATTGAAATTATTAGAGATAAAATTTTAGGGGGGGGGGGGGGGGGAGCAATGGACAGTTGGTTTTTCAAGCTAATGGAGTGTTGTGTAAACCTTAGTAGACCTGGTTAGCCACTTTCCGTAGGAAGAATAATGGGTAAGCATTTGCACTGATTTGAATGCTGTGCTGTGCTGGGCTGCATGTCTGTGTAGATGAAGCTGCTTCTAGAAGCATTGCTACCTCCTGTAGCTTGTGTTTACTGTTGTGCCTGTATGTTGGTCTTGGTTTTTTTTGTTTTGTCGTCTATGCTATTCTTTAAGGACAGTGTGCTGTTCTCCATCAGTGTGTAAAGCTGTGTTTGTTGTTTGAGCCTTACAGCTGTATTCATGTTGGCATGATAGTGAGCTCCTGATTTGTTTTTGTTACGCTGATTCCAGTACATTTGTTTGCTTGTTTGCATTGTACAAATGCTTGTAGGGCATGACTTGCTCTTTGTTTTCCATTGGGTGTCCCTGTTCACTTTCAGTGCTGATTCGATCCACTTTCTGAAGTAATGGAGTCACATGCAGTGGCTTTTGTTCATAGCATAAAATGAACTATGCTGCACAAGATTCCCAGAAATAGAGTCTATCGATGCATTACGGTCGAGTTGTTGCATGGTCAAACTCCACGGGCATCAGAAATGATTGGGCGTCAAGGAATTGCTTTGGTTGTGCATAAGACGAATCTCCTGAGCAGTGCATGGCATACTCCAGGGCTGTGTCCCCTCCCCAGTTAGTGGCATTGTCGCCTCGTGTCTGCTTCTTTCATGTATTTTTTCGTGCTTGCATTGTCTCGTGAACTGTGTTGTGCTGAGGCCTGCATGTCTTGTGCATGTCAGCAACGAGGCATTTGGCGAGTTCGGCGAGTATGAGTACGAGACGGTCAACCATGACGATGAGGACATCTACGAGGACCTGTGTGCGTTTCGAAGAATACCGGTACGTAAGCCGCGTTCACAGCATTCTTGTCCGACAGGGCGTGGCCAGTTGCCAGCACTGAAAATCACTCTAGAGAAATCGATTGAATGAAAAGACGCGTTTAATTCTGAAATACAATCGCTACTGGCTCATGAACGTCTGGCGCATAATACTCTAGAAAGTACTCTGCTCTTCAACCCTTTGAGTGCCACGCCCAAATGTACTCGGGCACGGTCCCACGCAGATTTCAGTTTGCTCCATACCCCCTCCAACTGGACTGTCGATTTTATTTTTTACATGTAAAGCGACGTTTCGTGTCGTTGAGAACACCTGTTGATGGCACATGAAAAGTTTTGTTTTGGAGGCTTCTATCTCAGTTTGCTTCTTCGTTGTTCAACTTCTCGCTTTATGGCAAACATTGAGACCTAAAAATTTATACTAATAAACTAATTTATTAATAAACTAAACAAAAAAGATTGTTTAAAATAAAAAAGAAATATTGGTTAAAACTGCTTGGAAAGGGGGACCCCCATGGTGCAATGCTGGGGTGCCACTTTGCATGGTACCGTTTCAAAAAGTGTGATTTAAGAAAAATATCATAAATTGGAGACATGCAGACATCAATTAACTTTGGGCCTATGGATCAGTGTGTCTGCGATAAATAAATGTACTTCATAATAATACCTCGGGTTTTCTGCATTGGACCAAACTTTGTGTTCGACATGTGGGAAAAAGTCCCGCACTCAAAGGGTTAAGTGGCTCTCCATGTATGCTTCAAGCACTTCAATCTTACTGCCAAGTACAAAAGTACAGTACTGTAAAGTACGTCATTTTTGCGGGCTCAATATTTCGCGGGCACGTAATTTAGCAAATGCCATGTATTTGTTGCCATAGGGAAACATATTTGCGGGTTCTATTTTTTGCAATATTATTCGAGCAGCTAAATTCGTGTAGATTAGGTGCTCACAAAAATTAAGTTGTTTACAGTATTTAACTTCCAGGTCATGCTTCAGATTTACTCTGGGATAAATGGCTTAAACTCCTAATGCAGCCAGTGAGCCTTTGTGTCTTGTATTAAATGCCGAGTTGCTTTAGCTTTCCTTGCTAAATATACTTGACAAAATGTTAACTGGATTGATTTTTGTTTAACTAGTAATTACATATTTGGTAGGAATAAGTGGGTACTTAACGCAAACCAAGGAGGTTATATTTTAAGACTTCTGGAGTGGCAGTGGCACTGCGGAGCTGACGCCAAAAACAGCGACCTAAAAACCGCCATCTTACTAAAGGTAGAAATCAGATTTTACTAAAGGTAGAAAACAAGCCTTAAGCGGCTTTTGAGTCCTCTAAAACAAATAAAAAAAAAAAAGTTTTTTTTTTTTTTTAATGCGCTGCCCCAGGAGCAACGGTGCACTGCTACTGCCGCTTCGAGCGCCGTTTCGTTTCGCCTTTAGTAAGATGGCCGCCGACCGGCAAGACTGGCTTCACCCGGTCACATGGGAGAGTGCAGGAGACCGCCACTCCAGAAGTCTTAATCTAACCTCCTTGGCGCAAACAAACCGTCGCCGCTTTTTGCTACATGTTTATTATGTCCGAGTCCCACTAGAGTGACAAACAGAAGCAACCGACACTGACAAGCGTCAAGCTCATGCATCATGCACGTGAAGGTATCTTTGACAGGCTTGCAGTCTCTCCGAGCTCGTGAAGTGAGCACGAGTGACCGCAAGCCTGCCAAAGATACCCTTCTATGCACGATTGAGGCTTGTCGGTGTCGGTCGTTTCAGTTCGTCACTCCAGAGTGGGACTCAAGCAGTAGAACTGAAGGGCTGTCACAAAAGCTACTGGCGCAGTAAAAAGTGCTAATTTGGAACTCTAACTGGAGCGGTAAAATTTACTACCTGCCAGCAGCCCTTCAAAGTAAAATTCAAAAGAGCGCCGTTGTCATGTTTGCACCAACAGTGCCGTAGAGTATGCCGAGAAGCACTACTGAAAAAGTACATTGTTTCTAATGTAGTTCACCTAAAGTCCATCTCACCCAACATATATTTTTTTTTTTTACTTTTGTGGAAGTACAACACATACCAGCATCCTTGTACCTCAAGCTCTTTTTTGTGCAGAAAATTTAGTATAGGCTTGTGAAACGGACAGGGTTTTTAACTGCCTACAGCATGGAGTACTTTTAATTGCCATGGTGCTTATACACTTTTGCTTTGTGGTAAGTACAAGGTTAATGAGCGCTGGGCCTTTTTGCATGCATTAATTCCTTTAATGTTGTTTGTTTGCATGATATCTATTGTTACTTGAGTGGGGTTTCAAACTCTTATGCTTTAGTGTATTTCTCACAAATTTATGGCAAAAATTTGTTTATGTAATTAGTGTAAACATTGTAGATGTAATCAAACTTGCAGTAGATAGGCTAAACATCGTTTAAATAATTTTTATTTAAATGGGAGACATGTGTGAAATCCTATCGCATGTCTATGGCATTTTATGTTGCATCAACTTTGGCCATTTTTTGTGGCTACTAAACCCCTGCTTCTGTCTGCAGGTTCCTACAACCCCTGCAGCTCCACTAGAAAAGCGGGACTATTGCATTAAAGAGCTCATAGAAACCGAGAAAAATTACATTGAGGCACTCAACATGATTACCAGAGTAAGTACCTTGAATTTAAAAGAGAGTGGTGTTCCCATAGGTGTTGCATTTTTCTAATTAATACTAGACAGGTCTGTAGCTTTGAAAGCACCAGTAATGTCGCATCCTTTTGGCACCTTCTTGCTGTGCGATGAGCAGCGTAGTTTCACTGAGCTTGTCATATGCCACACTCACCTAATGGAACTATTAAAAGTGACAGTGGTATTTTTAGCATAAAAGTAATTGTGCTTCATAATTGTTGAGGCAAAAAATAAAGTGGCCAGGTGCAATGAATTGAATGCTTTTGGGAGGTGGGATAATAAGAGTAGGTGCTGGCATAACGCTGGTAGAATGCCTTGTCATTATTTGTTTTTCTTCTGCCTGCAGGATTTTATGCGCCCTTTGAAAGATGTCTTAACACCAGAAGAAAATGAAGTCATCTTCAAGCACATAAAGGTCAGCTTCCCATGGTTATCTTGGGTTTCTAACTTTGTTGTGTGCAGTAATGTGCTTAAGTGTATAAAAAAAAAACATTTGCAGCTGCAACTCAAGTTTTTTAGAGCGCAGCTCTTAGGCGCCCGTTTCTGGCTTGAGCGGCGTCGCCGTCGCCGTCAGCGTAACCAAAGTCACCCCAAGATCACGTGACCCCTCCCAAGATCACGTGACCCCTCCCAAGGTCACGTGACCCCCAGGTCACGTGATCCCTCCCAAGGTCACGTGACCCCTTAGGTCACATGACCCCTCCCAAGGTCACGTGGCCCCCCTCCCCAAGGTCACGTGACCCCCCCCCCCCCCCCCCCCCCCCCCCCGGGGTCACGTGACCCCCCCCTCCCCCCGAGGTCAGGTGACCCCCCCCCCCCCCAAGCATATTAAAGAAAAAGGGGAGGAGAAGGAGAAGGAGGAGGGGTCCACCCTCCCCTCAGTACCCTTCACTCCTCCTCCTCTTCAAGAGCTGCACTCCAATTCGGCGTTACAGGGAGTTGTAAACGGCTTTCACTTTTTTGTTTTGTTTTTTAACCTGAAGAATGCAAGTTATAACTAACCTCAATGTTTTTTTACTTGTGATAGGAATTTTGTGTGCTGTCATATATAGAAGATTTTAGAATTTACAGACGTCATGAAAATTGGGGGCTCGCAAAGATTAGGGGTTTTACACAATATAAACGAAAATTTCATCTTTATGACCCACAGTTGGTTACAACTTCCTTCTCTTCCTTCATTGCTGTCATTTTACTGAAATGAAAAGTAATGTAAACAAACCTCCCACTGGTTTAACACCGCTGTGCCCACCTGAAAACTGAGCCAGCCTAGCACTGCCTGGCCATCAAAATCTGAAGTTTCAGCAGAAAATAAAACATGACATATGATTAATTACTATTTTAAGTAATTAATTGGTTGCCAACTGGACTTCATTCTTACCTCAAATTCAAGTTTCCCTGGAATGCTTGCTTTTTCCAAGCTCCTGGACTGTTCTCTTTTTTGTTCCATCAACCGTTCTAAACACCATGCCTATGTGATTCGGACTGCAGGAGCTAGCAGACACGCATGCCGGATTCCATGCGGACCTGCACAAGGCGTGCCTGGTTCCTCAGCAGCAGCAAATGCGCATCAGCGACTGCTTCCTGCGTTGGAAGGACAAGTTCATTGTCTATGGGGATTACTGCTCCAACCTCCCAAAGGCGCAGGAGCAGATCGACGAGCTGTGCACTAAGAAACAGCTTGTCAACCAGTGTGTGCTTGTTAGTACCACACTTTTTCTATCTCCATCTATGGTACAGTATAGCAAAGGTATCTCATGGGTGGTGCCCTTGTTTCTATCGCTTTGCATCCCAAGTTGTTCATTTCTTGCCTTCTACCTGAAACAATGAGCACACGTGTCACATACTTTCTCTGTGAGATGGTGGGTGTGCCGATGAAATGGTGCACACTGTAAACGACTTATTTTTCGGAGGCTCAATATTTCGCAATTTAGGTCAAAGCTGGAGTATTTGAATAATTCGCGGGTTCTAATTTTAGCGACGCAGTCGGATCTCAATTGGGGTTCCCACATATTCACGTTTTACCAGAATTGTTTGCGGGACTTATTTTTCGCGAATTGTAGGCGATTCGCGAAAATTAAGTTGTTTACAGTATCTTGCAACTTGAGTGTGGTACAGAAATATGGGCACAAACACAAAACATGCATCTTGAAGGGAAACCCAATTGGTTCTTTCAAAACTCCTCGCCTTATACCGTGTCTACCACTCTCTTCGATGCATCAAGCCTGCGCAAGGTCAGAAAACTCGCGGCCACAGACAAAGCACAACCTGAGAGTTCTAAAAAAATCTGGACACAGACCCCTGGGATGCACCAAGCAGCACGGACACATTCTTTCCCATTTTTAGCTTTAACTTGTTTCATGATTTCAACCATGGAAAAGATGGCAACGTTTTGTGGAACAACCAATGCAATTTGTGGGTTTACATGACTGTTTCTTTAGCTATTTCTTTTCACAAATCAGACACTTCTTAGAAGACACAGAACGCAGGGCTTCCCTTTTGCACTAGCCGTAGCTGCGGAAGAAGCTTAATTTTCTTGAAGGTTGAATTTCCTAGGATGTTTTACCTTATTTTGTTTTTCCACATTGATTAACTATATGGTAGTTAACTACCAGTACACTAGTGCATCTGTTACTGAAGCTATTTTTCTTGATGTGGACATGTTAGTTGCATTTAAAAAGCAGTGTTAACAACTCTCAAGTTTTTTTAAAGTAAACGGTAGTTGTGTGCGGATAGTAGATTTTGAGTTCAAAGTGAAGAGATGTTTTGGCCGAATATTTTCTAATCGAATATTGAATAGTTTCTCGAAGACTTTTACTACTGCACCATACTTAAATAAAAACCCTAGCTGAACTCCTGAAGGTTGTTTTCAAGCTTTCATGTTTCCATTTCTAAGCTAAATTAATTTCAATTTAGCTATATTGAATGTGGCCGATGAACATTCAATGCCTACATTTGGTTGGCAGGTAGACGACGCATAGGACATAAAATTAAACCTTTGAGATGCCCAACCATACCTAATTGAGGGGATATATAAATATTCTTGCTATATACAAATACCCTCTCTTCAGTCAGGAATTATCAATGCAGGTTTTCAGGGCATCTCTGCCTGACATATACTCATGCAAAATAGCCAGTTTCATTTTGAAATTTTTACTGCAATGTAGATCTCAACATTCACAAAGTTTTTGTTTTCTTTTTTCAAGTACATCAGGCACATGCCTCTACTATCCAGCTTTGAAAGTGTGCTTCCGTCCTAGGCACGCGCCTGCAAAATTAGTACTTGTTGATCCTGCCATTTTAGCCCCATTGAGTGTGCTTGTTCCCAAGCACCGGTGCACTGGGGAGAAGTTACACCCGCAAAAGCGAGCTCCATAGGTGTTGCTTCTCCGCAGTGCACCGGTCCATGGCAAGAAGCATGCTCAACGGGGCTAACCTGCCGCAATCAACACTTAGAAAAATATGATGCGAATATCGAATAGCATATTATTCGAAACTGCTATTTGAATATTCACTCAACACTAATCAGCTGTAATGCATTGATCGATTGCTACAGGAACATTTGTAGTGACCACCCTTCCAGATAAGCATTTCAGGGGTGAGTTGCACAGAAATTGTTAAGTGAAGCCATCCTGTTCTTTTCCAGAATTGCCAGCAAAAGGCTAATGATGGCAAATTCAAACTAAGGGACCTGCTTTCAGTTCCTATGCAAAGGGTCTTGAAGTACCACCTATTACTCAAGGTACGTCCTGGTCGGCATCTCCCCAACTTGCAGCCAACGCTCCCTGCTAAGACGATTTTTCTTTATGTACTAGGAACTCATGAAGAACACGACAGAGACGCATGAGGACTACCACGGTCTAGAGAAGGCGCTGAAGTCTATGCTGGTAAGGGGTGCTATGCATCTTTGCTTGTACTATTTCATAGGAAAGCAATTCGAAACTACTTCATTCTATGGATGCTTAAAGTTGGTAAATTTTCTATCTTTATTTTTTTATAACTAAGCCCAAACTTGGAATCTGTTCTAGTGCTCCTTGATTTAGAAAGGAGAGTTTAACCGAGCTTGACATGACTTGCAGGACCTGGCTCATTACATCAACGAAGTGAAAAGGGACAATGAGACGTTGCAGATCATTGCCGACATACAGGCTAGCATTACTGATGTTGATCTGGTGAGTGTGATGGAGCATACACTGACTCATTGCTGCAAACATATTTTGTTTACCTAAGCAGGCACTATACTGATCTAGTTAATTTTTCCAGTAACAGGAATCTCTTAGAGGAAATTGGCATGATTGTATGCATACTTAGCTACGTATCCATGTGTTTATAAAATTGTTGACAGGAAAAAAAGTTATCGACAGGAATTAAATGAGAACTGCGATAAACAAAAAACATGAACAAAGAGAATGGCGATGCTACAATCTCAACGTAAGTAAACATACATTGCCACCTTCGAAAAATTTGGCATTTCAACGTAGGCTGCATAACTGCACACAGCTTCTCAGGAGGAGCATTATATATGGAATTCCGTGTTCACCATTCTCTGAAATTCGGAGCTTAATTTTAGTATTTTCCAGTTTTCAAAACTAAAAATAAATAATATGATGGTGTAAAGGTGTGCTATATTCAAAAGAATTCGCTTGTATCAATTAATTTTGGCTCAGCTGGGTTGAGCGTTGGCACCATTGCCACTAGCAATACTAATATGTCCCGACAAGAGTTGACAGCAAAAGCCTAAAATCAATAATCTCCTGAAAGTAGTCACTGGTAACTTAGTATTTATCCCATCCTATCCATCAACCTACCCTGCAGCTGTGCGGGGTAAAGTGGTAAAGGTTGTAGCATAGAAGCTTCAACTGCCCACACCCTGTTCCCCCTTTTATGAAATCTATATGGCTCATAGCTTTCACACTTGGCGCACTATGGCCTATGTTGCTGCTGCGCCAGAAAACTCCAAATTCATTCATTCATAGCTTTCACTGTTACAAAAACACAACCCTTCCTTCCTCTAAGCATAAATAGTGTGGCTCAAACTGGAAACCAGAACAGTATCTTTTTTCGTGACCCAAAAGTGCAATCACCTGTTGTCCTGAATGAACCTGGTCAAGATATGCTGGAAGATCCCTTCTGTCAATGGTCTGAAATTTGAAAGAAAACTGGGGTGGCATATTCTCAGGACCATTGACCCTCTGCGGGGACCAAGCTTACTTGTAAAACACTTTTTTTTTTTTCATTGGTACATTGAAATTTAGAATTTATTGGATAAATCTGAATTGACAAAAATTCTCCCGGCGGATGTTTTTGGAGTTTTTCGGATTTATCCAAAAATACGGAACCCTAATTATATACTTAACAAAATATTTGTTGAACTTGTAGTTCGTGCAATTGACTAATTAAAGCCGTACACTCGGTGGTGATGTGCAACATTAAAGTGTCTTCAAGGATACAAATATTCGTTGAAATGTTTTTCCTAGCCTCAGAACATGGAGCTGAAGGACTATGGCAGATTATTAAAGGACGGGGAGCTGAAGATAAAGTCTCACGATGACAATAACAAAATAAAAAATAGGTAAGCATTTTTACAGTTGAATTTTGTCACTATTTGTTTAATTTGTGTAGTGAAATAAAACAAAAAGTACTAAAGTTCCTCAAAACCTGCTTCATCCCTCTTATAGGTATATCTTCATTTTCGACCGGATGATGCTCATGTGCAAGTCTACAAAAGTGAGTAAATGTGTTTTTCTAAATTAAAGTATGTAAAGTACTAGAAATTTCTATACAAGTTACTTATGGTACACAATGCATTAAATGGAAACCAGTTCACTTAAGGTTTTTGTGATTCTTTAATTCATCTATGCTATTTAGTTTCCGTCCTCTCAAAACCTTTTGGGAGAGAGGGGGAGTCGCGGATTGCATGTTCACAATTAGAATATTACGTTACCAGTATGCACCATACTCAGTTTCACTTGTGGGCATAGCAAAAGCTACAGGAGCTTCTGACTTTCAGCGTCACAGCCAAGTTTTTTGCTCGCTCGTGCAGTTCAAGCATCGTTGAGGGCAAGACGCTGTTGGGTCTGCTCGTACCTGTGCAATTCTTCAGGGTGTTACCTCAGTTTAAAAGAACTATGGTAATTTGATAGGGCCTCATCTGGCTGATGAAGTCTCTGCCAAGACAATAGTTGTTGATTGATAATAAAGTGCATAAGCATACTACTTTGGAGTATATTAGTTCTTTTTGAGGATTATGGCCAGTCTTGATGTAGAATGCAGACCACAGACTTTTGTGGAGATTTGGCCTCCTTCTTATTAACCAATTTCTGTTTGTCTTTTTTTCTGCTCCTAATCTCCGCTGCCTTCTCAGATCATGGATAAACTTTTCGGGGTAATCCCTTCTCTATCCTCGGTGTTTGTGCAAGTGTTTTACGTTGTGCCCAAAAAATTGCACAAAAAAATGGTGTGGTGGCATTGGCATGTGGCTTTCGTTTAAATGCATGCTTTCGTTGAAATGTACCATCATTCATTGTATACATCTAGATTCAGATTTTCTGAGTAGTCAAATGGCAGTTGTATGTGAAATTTAATTTATTTTTAATAATGTATTTATATTGTCTTTAGCCACATCAACTGCAATCACCTTTGACAAAATTTTTTGTTGCACATGCAGCAGCTTAGCTATCTATTTTTCATTGATCTGATGGTCATGCCTGCAATGCAGAAAATGTATTACAGCAATGGCATAGACTTAATAGACTTTCTTTATGCATGCATGCAAAAAAAAAAAAAAGAGAAGACTGGAAATAGAGTAATTGACTATGTATTATTCTGGGAAGTCACTTTTTAAAAGAAACATTCTCCAGTTGTAGAAGGAAGGAGCATGTTTGTTAGATGTTGTTGCAATTAAGAAATGTTGCGTATAACTGCTTTACGTTTTTTTGGCATAGCGTACTGCTAATTCATAGTTTTACATCCGAGGGCCCAGTTTTCGGTCTTGCACATATCTCAGTTTCTAAATATAAATTCTGGTTTTCGTCACTTTTTTTTTTAAATTTTTTTGCCTCTGGAGTTGGCATTCTAGGTTTGTGTGTACTTTGTTAATTGAACATGGGCATTTATTGGTGTGATTGGGCCCAATCCCAAAGGATTCGAAAAAGGGAAAAATTGCATCGTTATAATTAGAAAGATCTTTGCAGAAGAAGCAGGGAATAATAATATATATTAGCTTTGAATATAGAACATGTATGCACATTAGGTTTAGGCTTTGGAGCCCTCTCTGTCTTCCTGAATGTACATGCTCTAAGATGCGATTAGTATCATTTCTTAAGTCTAAATTACATAGTAATTCTTCAGTATTTACGTGGAAAATGCCAGGAGTTGGGTCTAAATTGAAAATAATTGTCGGGCTCCTGGTTAAAGTTCTGCCAATCTTTGTCTGCACATATTCAACAAAACATTTCATGTTGATTTCCATTTTTCTTTTTACGTGTAGATTTGTCTGTTTGTGTAAGACCTAGCTACTTAAAAAGTATGTGCACTTTCTTAGAGGGCCCATGAAACGAATTTTCAGCTGGGATAAATGAATTTAGATTCAAATTTTACTAATAGCATATTGTTTAGTGGTCCAGAAGAAAGAAGGTAAACAATCAAAAGCTTGATTTTTGGTACGAAAATTTGAAAACACAGTGGATTATTTTGTACCTCCTTCCCTTCGAAAGCTCTCTGCCTTTTCACTGTGATACATCCACAGTACCCAAAGCGCGTCACCCGGCCCAATCGCATGACACCGAACCTCACTTATTCCCTTCACCCCTCAGCTGACAGTGCAGTGGAAGCTATATGCTTGCCAGACCAATCAGCCGCCTCCCTTTCATCACCTGACCTCATTCTCTGCGCGTGGGTCGCTGGCCCAACGAGCACGTAGCTTCCACAGCACTTTCAACTTTGGGATGAAAGGAGTGGGGAATGCAACTTTTGTCCGAGTTTCGAGCGACAGGCTAATCTTCTAGGAGGAGAATGGCAGTGTTCTGGTACACAAACGAGGGTCCGAGTGGGGAGTCCCTCCTTTCCATCTTCTTGAACTGTATGGTACAATGCGCGATTTGTGAGTTGAGGAGGAAAGCTAAGAACGCAAATGTTGAAAAATCGTTTCATGACCCCTTTAAGCTTATGTGCATGTCAAGTCTTATTCCATCAGTGAACTTTGTTTTGATTATGAGCAGTTTGTTATTAAATGTCACAACTGTCGGCGTATATTGCAGCGAATATAACTTGAATTGTGTTGACTGCTCTATTACCTCAGATTTCAGCTCTGTCAAGGCTCCTAACCTGAAAGCTTTCTCACTTAGCAATACATGAAGCGGTGAAGATAAAACTTGTCTGGAATCCTATCTGAAATCCTATGAAATATGCTGTCTTTCGCGGTGTCATCGTTACCTTCTGCATATATCTTCCATCCTTGTACCCACTCGCATGTCCGTCTGTGGTTGCAGCTCACACGTAGTCCCTGCTTCTGCTTTCCCTGTTGGAATGCCCGTTGTTGGCCTTGTCCCGTGGGTGCTTTGACGTTGTCCTACACTTTGTGCAACTTTTCGTTTCCGCAATTCCCCAGGGAGAGCAGTACATCTACAAGTCCTCCCTTGCCCTCTGCGACTACAGACTCGAAAATGCCCCTGTCAACTCGAGGATGGCGACTCGTGTGAGTATCGTCTGGGAGTATGGGGCAAGCATGTAGCCAGAATTTCAGTTTGGAAGGGGGGCCTGCCCATGACAAATTGCTGTATCAGGGGGAGGGGGGAGAAAAGGTCCCAGCAAAATGGAAGATTTCGGGGGGAGGCCCAGGCCCAGGCCCCATGGGCCCCCCCCCTGGCTACGTGGCTGGTAAGGGGGTAAATAAGCTAAGGCTACGAGCACTTCATTCCATGATTTTTTTGTGAATGCTGCCATTTTGGTGCTTAGTGCAGAGTGGGTGCAATTTGTGATTGTTACGATTAGAAACTGCGACTTCCTGAACCTTAGATAGGGTGTTGGAAACCTCGGGTGATATTGTTTTCCTCTCCGTCGTGGAGTGTTTCAAGATTTCTGGAAAATGGACAGTGACGCCGGAAGTATATGTTTATATATACCTTTCTCCCAGGGAAAAAAACTGAAAGACTAAAGCCAATTTTTTTTTTTTTTCGTCTTTTTATTTGAGTTTTATTCACTATCCTTGCAGGTTCCTTTTTTACTTTCACTACTGTCGTGTGACGAGCGCTTGGCGCAAGCATGTAGCCAGGAGGGACCCTGGGGCACGCCCCCCTCCCCTTCTCCCCAAAATCGTCCATTTTGCTGGGGCTTCTTCTCCCTCCCCCTCATACAGCATTTTGTCATTGGTGGCCCCCCCCCCCCCCCCCCCCAATTCAAAATCCTGGCTATGTGCTTGGCCTGGCATGACGTGACGAACGCTTCGCGTCTCCCTTCTGAGCATTCTTATGGGGGGGCCTAGCCGTCTCCCCCATTAGAATACTTGGGGGGGGGGGGATCTGACACCTCCCTTGCCTTTCCCCCGGTTCTGGCATCCCTGAGGATGGAAGGGCGTTCTCCAGCAATCTCATTTAAAGCTTCAGATAACTGGCAACCTTTATTTTAGGCGCAAAGATGCCTGAAGTGTACTTACTCTGAAGTGACTCAAATTTAGCGACTCCTATGCTTAAAACCGTGACTTTGTAGACTAGATGACAAAATATGCATCATTAGATAAACTGATATTAGTATTTCGACTAGTGGTGGGGTTCAGCCTATCTAGCACCCCGTAAGCTGCGTTTCCATTGAAAGGTTGGCTTGCGATTGACAATTTCCCCTTCTACAAGAAGCACAGGCGAGTTGGTTGGATACAGGCAGGGACTACTGACTGAGTCCCCAAATGCCGCTTTTGTGCCTATTGTGCTTATCTTGTTCCCTGCAAACATTCCTTCTCCAGTTTGCAGCTAGGTGCAGAGAAAAAAAGAAAAACAAATGTTTAATCCTGCTGTAAAACAATTTTCAGGTCACCCGTGACCAAGCTGCTAAGTTATGTCATATTATAACTTGATGAGTCAAATATAACTCTTTGTGCAGCCTGTACAGGGGACAAACATGTTTGGGGAATGGGAGATCTGACGGTTGTCCTAGCTGCTGGCAAGTAACAAATGGCATAAATGTTATTGTCATTAGGAGGCGATGAGGATTACTGTGAGAATTAAAGGACTGTGAGGGGGAGGGCAGGAGGGAAGGGAAGTTAGCACTTCAACAATAGTTGTCCAAGTTCCAGAGAATATTTGGCAGATACTAGGTATGCTCAAGTGATTCACCTGTCTCTTTTCAGTATTACTGGTTCTTGGTACATATTGAAAAAAAGACGGCCTACACGATGTATGCCAAGACAGAAGAGATGAAGAAGAAGTGGATTGAGGCCATTGAAAAAGCAATGTAAGTTTTGAAACCTAAATGTCCCTTTCAATGCAGTGTTGTAGTGCTATACATTCTGCACAAACTTCAGGTCAAAGGATTTCCTAATATTCTTAAAAAAGGTCCGAGGACACCTAAGCTCTTCTTATGAGTTGTGAATGCGAAAGCATGAATGTCGTTCTCCCTCTCTCATAGTTCATCTGCAGTGTAGTGGCGCAGACAACCGCGTTTCGCAACTGCCGAGGTAGCGGCCGGCGGCCGAGCGCGCGCTCGTAAAGTGGCCGCGCCGCGCTGAGCTTGGCCGGGCAGCCTGTTTGCCCGAGTGGGCTGTGCGGCCAGGCCCGCACCGCCACACCTCTTACTGGTCATTGGGCCGCTGCTTGTGCTGCGCCGCCATGGAAAAGGCTTCTCTGGTGGCGTTTTTTTTTAACTATGCTGTGCGAGAGCCAACGGGAGCCTAGGTCCTGGATGACACGGGCCAGCCAATGGGGGCCTATCTATCAGATTTCTGCTACAGACGACAAGCTTCGCTCCATTGGGACAGGGGAAGGTGCCGTTTGGCGCGGCTTCAGAACTGATGACGTTGTTTCGCTTTATGGGGCAGTTAATGCTTTCACATTAAAATTATGATGCCATTGGCCTGGTCAGCTGAGTAGTGTCAGAGGGGCTACTGGGTCTACTGCACTGGCCAAGGAAAGGCATTTGAAATTTATCTGGTTGCCTTCCTTTGTTTTTAAGGGACAACATCAATCCTTCCATCGCCAAGGACACGGACCACCAGTTTGCAATGCATACATTCAAGGTCCCAACATACTGTTCTGACTGCAACAAGCTCTTGCCGTGAGTTGGCTTTGGCTCGTCGAAACTAGTATTTGTTAGCTACTTGGTTTTGTAAGACCCTCTGACCCATGTATACATGGCAACCGTCATCGTGGCATTGTCACAGAAAATCTGGGGCCTAATGGAGTGTGCAAAAACGGTCCATAAAAAAACTCTGCGTGTCTCGATTTACTGACTCTCAGCTTAATTCTTTTCAGAGGAATTTTCTACCAGGGTTACATATGCTCAGGTAAGTTCATACTTTTGTTCTGGCACCGTGATTTTTCGTTGGTGTCACGAGTTAGTAAAAGTAAGTTTTGCATTGAGCCTAGCCACACGAACGCATTTTTGCCGATTGAAATTAACGACATGCAACTTTTGGGCTAAAACAACATTATGTTCACTCACGAAAAAAAACAAAAAAAACGAGAAAGAATAAAACACTTGGGGACAAGGCATTTATATACAAATCTTTCAACTTTCAACGACGATTTAAACGAAAGACGGAAACTTGTGCCTCGACAAGGACCCCTGAGGAGAGATGGAACGCTGTAACCCAAGTTGTCGCAATACCGGGAGTGCTAAACTGACCCAAAGTTGACAATACCATATTTGCTCGAGTACCCAAACAAACATGAAAGATGTTTGTGAAAAGGATGGGCAACAAAAAGCGATCAGGAGGGGGTGAGCACCAGTGACGTGTGGTTACAGATAACGAAGGGTGAGTGGACTCTCGCGAAACTCTGACATATCTTTGCCTCCTGTAAAAGCTTTGTGCCCGCTACCCTAGTGCCCGAAGTATGGTGCCTGGAACGTGCCCTCGACTGGTGTGTTTAGTGTCCTATTCCACTCAGGCACCGAAAGTGGTCCCAAAGTGGCAACAAATTGCATCGCAAAAGCCAGAGCATCGCGCCGTTGGTCGTCGCGATCCTGGCAGTTAAGTGTAAAAATTTTTTTGGAAAAGAAAAAAAAAGGCACAAGAGAATGCAAGTGTCGCCATCGTCATGGCGTCCCATCTCCCGGCTGCCAAAGCTCCCGCACGCTGTAAAGCCGTAGAGCGACCAGCAGCGGAGCAGGCATCCACCACATCTTCCAGCGCTTCTGCAACATTACCGGGATCGCGGTCTATAACGTTGTGACACTTCAGTAACGCCATCGGACAAAAATCGAGGGATCACTTTTTTAGTACGCTCTAAGCGCACCGGTTGGAGACGCGTTCCAGGCACTGTACTCAAAGTCGTTGTTCAACATCCAATTGGAAGGATGCTGCTCTCCTTGGATCGCACAGTGTGCGGCACGGGAGTGCACAAGACCTGCCTGGCAACCGTGCGGTCGTGCGGAGCTCCCAGCTTGCCTCCTCGGCCCGGCTCCCACATGGGGTCACAGTCGTCCACGGATGAACCGCAAACGCCCCTGAGGTTGTACCCGGACCCCGGCACCAACGGAATCCGTTTCTCCATCTGTGAGTTGCTGCCCACCGCTTTCACTCGTTTGAAGGAATCGTTCTCCAATCGTGCAGGGAGATATTTGGCATCTGTCGAAATCGTGCGGTGCGAGATTGGCAGCCAAGCGTGTTGGTGCACCACTGCTCAGAGCATATGGAGTGAAAGCCCACGCTGCAGAACCCGGGGATCCTGGGTTCCACTGCCACCCCTGGCCATTTTAATCCAGATGAGCATTTTGCTGTCGTGCGGTCGTATGTCACTACTGCGTGATGCACATTAAAGGCCCCGGGCCAGCGGAGATGCTGCACCGGCTAAATTTCTCGTCTACGGCGTAAACCAGTGTTGCCGCACCTTGAAGGCAGACCGACCTTGCTCTATGTAAGCACAAACATTGAATATTTGGGGGGGGGGGGGAAGGGGGAGGGGAGGGAAAGGAGGGGAGGGAGGGAGGGAGGGAGGGAGGGAGGGAGGGAGGGAGGGAGGGAGGGAGGGAGGGAGGGAGGGAGATGGAATGATGTAGCATGGCAGCACATGTTGGTGTTAACCTTGGTAAATTTGCAAGGGCTCCTTTGTACGAGTACATGGAGTGTCGGGGACTGCTAATCTAGACTTTCTGGGAACAAATTGCTGTGTTCGTGGACCATCGGGGGCAACAGAGTCTTTGATACACTTTTGTGACTACTGAGGGGCCATTTTAGAGCACAGCTTAGGCGCCCATTTCCAGGTTGAGTGGCGTCGTCGTCGCCGTCAGCGTAACCGCGCGTTGCATTATGGGACGTTTCCCCACTAAAGTTAGCAGGGAAATCTTCCCGCTAAATTTCACGGGAAAAATTTTCCGCTAAATTTAACAGGGAAACTTCCCCGCTAAAATTGGTAGGAAAATGAATGTCACGGGACCTCTACACCATTTCAGTTTCCCCGGTAAGTTTAGCGGGGAAAATGATGCCATAACTTCGTTGAGACGTTGTCTGTCCCTTTACTTCCTCCTTCACGAGTTTCCGTTTTTCAAACCACAGTCTCAGGTTTCATTCATCATGTATGACTTTGTGTCACGTCACCCATGAACAAATTCAGGGGCAGGAGGAGAGGAGGAGAAGGGGCAGGGAAGATGAGGAGCAGGAAAGAGGAGAAGGAGGGTACTTGAGAGGAGGAGGGGCATACCGTTCCCTCTGTACCTTCCTCTCCTCCTCCTTGAGAGCTGCGTTATAGTTTCGCATCACAGAGAATTGTAAACGTCTTTCATTTTCTTTACTTTGTAGAGCAAGTAAAAGTGTAACCAAAAGTGGTGCTGCTCGAACTTTCTCGAACATACATTTACTAATCTGCCTAGACGGAGTATACTTTTGACTTTGTGCGCTGCTCTGCTAGGGAGAAGTGGCGCCTATTACACTGCCGCCACGAGTTTCTAACGGTCCCGTACTATTCTTTGTGCATTTAGAGCATTCTTTATCCAGTGTGTCAAGGGCTGAGTGAAAGGTAAAATAAAAGGGTTTCAAAGTGTAGTTGGCGTGTGAACGCTCCGAAACTTCATAGAAAGCTCAGGTTGTTTTTATTTTATTTCAGCCATTGCAAAGGCCAAGCAGTCGTATAACAGCTCTGGCCCGGGCTACCTGTCGTTTGCAGCAGATGACATCATTGAGGTCTTGAGGAGGATAAGCAGCACTATTTGGGAGGTGGGTATTGCATTACAAGTGAACTTGATCCATTTTAGGTCTTATCAACGTTATAAAAGCAAATGTAATTAGTAATCCAATCTTATTTCTCGTGCAGCATATCAAGCTGTACTAGCCGACATTGCAATATCTTTAGTGATTGCTTTGCTATCTAATTTCTGAGTAGCCTCGAAAAAGCTACCCACCTCGCTGAGGCAGCCATGGCTTTCATGAGTCAACATGAACAGTATAACATTATTATTATTGTAATTATTCAGTCAAATATACGAGAGAGAGTGGTGAGGTGGTATACTGCAAAAATACAGGGTCGTCAAGGTAAATCCAGAAAATTCACCATATTCAGGAAAACACACAGAGGCAAAGATAAAATGAATATCGACCCTTGTCTGTGCTTTGCTCAGTCTGCCATAACGTTTTCCTGACTGACAGATTATCCAAGCGTCTTGGCAATGCCTTAAACTTGTGTCTTCTTGTAGCCATAATTTTTGCCTAGGCGACTTTCTGGCATGTAGCGATTAAAGTATTGCTGCTCTCCGGTCGTATTGCCTGCTCATTTTTGAGCAAGTCGTGAATGGTTTATCATGCAATGGTCCACTGTCAAATCACGTGGCCACAGAAGCTCAATACGGCCGTTTAGTTTCGCTGTATTGTTGAGAGACGAAATCTGGAAAACATCCAAATTTATCTCGTTCAATTTGGATGTCTTTGGTTGATTTAATTAATCTGCATGCAGGTGTTTAGGAGATGTGAAGAAAAGATTCCGGCAGAGAGGTGCATTCTTGCGCGGCAAACAGAAACAATAAAGCTAATAGCGAGTTACGCCTATTAGTCACGGAAGCTTGGTTCTGATGACCTCACTGTCTCTTTTTCTGGCAGGGCCGGTTGCAAAGGACATCGGAGGAAGGTCTGTTTCCAGCATCATGCGTCGAAGAGGTGAGGTGAACTGAGCATTTTTAAAGCTTGTGTAACAAGTATGTAGCGCCCCCTCTAGTCCGCCCGTCTGCGGCCGCCTGGCTCGGTGGGCAACATTGATCAGAAGAGCGGGAAAATGGGAAGAGGCTTTCCAAATGCTTCAAGCGGACGGCATTGGTGTCTTCGGAGTGGCAGAGATGCATCTTAGGGATGAAGAAAGGCCCCCAGAGTGTGAAGGGTGGGTCTGGGAAGGATGTAACAGAGAGGGTAAAGGGAGAAGAGGGGGTGGGGTGGGGTTTTTCAGTGGGCCAGGATGGCAGAGACAGAGTCCAGAGTGTCAAGAACACTTGTGGATGACGGGGAGAATAGCAGGGCAAAAGGTGGCAGTTTTAGTGGTCTATTTATGGACCGGGACAGGCAGTAGGGAAAAGAACAGTGAACTGGTCAGGTGTATTGAGAGAGACTACCACAAACTGGGAAGGCCCACCATCATAATGGGCGATTTTAATACGCACCTGGAGGAGTTCGATGGAAGAACAGACTACAATGGTAAACTGCTGCTGGACGTGATAGATCATCTGGACATGATAATGGTCAATGCTCAGAACAAATGCACAGGGACGACAACATGGACAGCCAGGGAGATGTGTTCCACTATCGACTACTGCCTAATGTCCCCAGACGTGAACCAAAGAGATATTAAGGTACATGGAGATAGATGAGGACGGCGACAGGAGCATCGGAAGTGACCACAACAGGTTACTCATTGCATTTGGAGGAAATTCGGCAGACACCAAAGAGAGCAAATTAATGGGGCAGTGCAATGTTACACAAAGGAAAGCCCAAATGATTGCGGAGAAACTAGAAGCAGAGGCTGAAAACAAGCAGCTGGAAACATACGAGGAACTCGTGCAATGGTGGATTCACCACCTGGAAAAAAGCAAAGAGACCCACACGTCACAAGGGGAGGAAAAGAAAGCGATGGTGGGACGTTGAGGTGAGGAAGGCAATAACGAAAAGACAACTGGCGTGCAGAGCTGTCCGAGGAAAGATCAGGAGGAGAGTAGAGGAGGGAATCCCTCCGAGGAAGGATTCTATGGAATGGAGGGAGTACCAGGACAGGAAAGTAGAAGTGACGACTCTGATCCAGACCAAGATGGCCAAGGCGGATAAGGGGTTCCTGGAGGACCTGAAGGAGGCGGGAAGGGAAGCACCTCACAAGTTCTGGCGACATGTTCGGGACCAGACGGGTAAACCCAGGGAGGATCCAATGCTCAAAGACGACACCACGGGAAGACAGCTGGGGCCGAGGGAGACCATCCAATACATCGAAGAGAGGGTCAGATCGATGTTTGCGGGGAGCAGCACGGATGCAGTGGACAAAAATGGAAGGCCGGAGGGACTGGTGCAGCGAGAGGTACAGTCGAGCATGGACAACATCACAAGGGGAGAACTGAAGAAAGCGATGGGGAGGATGGGAGCGACAACAGCCACAGGACTAGACAATCTACCGATGAGGCTGGTGAAGGAGATGGGGCCAGAGACAAGAGAACTCCTACAGCAAACCCTGAGCCAGATCATGAGAAGGGGACGAATTCCAGCCGAATAACGAAAATCAAGGCTCCGACTCATATACAAGGGCCAAGGACCCAGGTCCTCGTTTGGCAGCTACCGTCCTATTGCAATCACACTGGTGCTGTACCGACTGTTCATGCAGGTGGTGCGGAACAGACTGCTGGCATGGTCTTAGAAAGAGGCGATCCTGGGCGAGCTGCAGAATGGCTTTCGATGGGGAAGACGCCTAGAGGACAATCTTTTTGTGCTGACTCAGGCCATTGAGATCGTCCAGAAGGAGAACCGCCCCCTTTACCTCTGTTTTCTCGATGTCAGCAAGGCTTACAACACGGTCGAACATTGAAAACTGTGTATGCAGCTGGCAGAGTGGGGATTCTGCAGTGAGTGGATAGACCTCTTGCGAAAAGTGTACAGAGGGACGGCGGTGGTGGCACAGTGGCAGCAGGAGACAACACATCCAGTGACCTGCTCCAAAGGCTTGAAACAGGGCTGCCCGCTGTCGCCGCTGCCTTTTATGCTGTACATAGCAGGAATCGAAAAGTGGCTGCAGGAGAGTGGGGAGGGTTTCTCACTGGAATATTCGGAAGGTGGGAAAAGGAAGGGAGGAAAACTCCCGGGACTCATCTACGCCGACGATATGTTGCTGATGGCGGACTCACTGCAGGGCCTGCAGGGGCTCATGAACGAGTGTGGTGCAATGGGAGAGGCCCTGGGGCTTAGCTTCAGTTCGCACAAATCTGGGCTGATGGCCTTTGGGGCAGCAGAGGAAAACGGGATTGCCAACATGTTCATTCAGGCCAACCCTGTACCTTGGGTGGACCACTACAAATATCTGGGTGTAAACCTACAGAAGGGACACTACTACCTCCTAGAGCATGAGACGAAGATCAAGGCGAAGGGCAGGAGGAACAAGGGCGTAGCAACGGCCAGGGCCCTCTGAAGATATAACCGATACGAGGTAACCCGAGCGGTCTGAAAGATGGTGGCGGTGCCGGAACTCACTTTCGGCAACTCAGTGTTGTGCCTGTCATCAGGTACCAGGCAATACCTCGAGGTCCGTCGGAGGGAGGTGGGAAGGTTGGCACTAGGAGCAAGCCGAACAGCACCGAACGAGGCCGTCCAAAGAGACATGGGCTGGTCCGGTTTTGAGGCCAGGGAGGCCCGAGCCAAGCTGGACTTCGAGCGACGCCTCAGCCGGATGAGCGAAGAGCACTGGGCCAGACAAGTTTTCAAGTATGTGCGTCTTCGGTCCGTCCCAACCCGGTGGGTGCGACGGACGTGCCAGTTGGCACAGCGGTACGAGGTCAGCGGCCCACTCCTCTACCCAGCCGCGGAGCAGCCGGAACTACAGCAGAGCATCCGCACGAGGGTGATCGAGAGCGAGACGCGGCGGTGGGTGGAAGCGGCACGTCTGAAACCAGCGCTGGCCCTGTATGCCAGAGAGAAACAGGAGGTGAAGCGAATACCTTTCATGGACAACAGCAAGGGCAGTGCACTGCTTTCGGACGCCCGAGGCGGCATGCTGCGGACCCGCGTGTTCTGCGCGAAGTACATGGACGTGGAAGTGAAGTGCGTCATGTGCGCGCAGGGAGCAGACGAGACAGCGGAACACGTCCATACTGGAATGCACGGGCATAAAGCCGGACGTGACGTACGAACCAGACATGGCGGTGGCGCTGGGCTTCCGGGGCGTTAACGAACAGTATGCCGCCGATAGTTCGCAACCAGTGGAGGCACTGACAAAGAGGAGACTGGAGTGTTGGTGGAGGAGAGCAAGGGAACACAACTACAATATTCGCTAGTGTAGCTACTAGCCAGGCTAGATCCAGCGCTGCTGAGATCCCCCGATACAAAGGGGTTAGCCCCAAATCCAATCCAATCCAAACGCCGTCGAGCGCACGCCGCTCCGGTTAGTCATCATTCACCCTCGCAACCAGGCTGCATGTCATCTCCTCTCGGCGGGTGCTTCGGCCCCCTTCGTTCACGTTCTAGAAGGATCGTGACACTGGCGATGAGGAACCGTGGCACTGGAGGCCACCAATGCGCACGGTTTGGCCCACGCCGCCGAGAGAGTCGGAACACCGCCCCCCGCTCCTGTCGCCATGCCGCTGTACGGGAGGCTCGAGCCGTTCGAGGGAGATAGGTCCGCCTGGCCAGTCTACGAAGAACAGGTCCACGTGTTCTTCCGGGCGTACGACACGCCCTAGGCGAAGCAACGGGTCATCTTCTTGGCCAGCTGCGGGACCCGCGTCTTCAGTCTCCTGCTCGACCTCCTCAAGCCGGCCACGCCGCACGTTAAAACGCTGGGTGAGCTGCTCGCTACGCTGAGCTCGCACTTCAGCCCGGCGCCGTCCACGCTGATGGAGCGGTTCCGCTTCAACAACCGGAGCCGCCAGGACGGGGAGACCCTCGGGCAGTTCGTCGCTGCGCTACGAGGGTTAGTGAACACCTGCGCCTTCGGCGACCAGTTGGACTCGCTACTCCGGGACCGGTTCGTCTGTGGCATCAACAACCCCGTCATGCAGACGCGACTCCTGGAGCTCCCCGACCCCTCGCTGGACGACGCGGTGAAGGCAGCGCTTGTGATAGAAGCCGCAGCAAAGGACGCCAGCGAGATTGCTCGTGCGGCTGGCTCACCGTCGACGGAAGCGACGAAAGCGGCAATGAACAAGATGGCGGCAAGGAGCGGTGCCTGCAGCCGCTGCGGTGCTGCCCACTCCCCCTCACAGTGCCAGTTCGTCCAAGCACAATGTTTCACGTGCGGGAGAACTAGGCACCTCGCACGTGTCTGCCAAGAGGGGAGGACGAGCGGCGGCCAGCAGCAGCAGCAGCAGCAGCAGCAGCAGCAGCAGCCTGGTTCAAGCCCGGGTTCCAGCCAAGCCCGCGGCCAGGGTGGCTGTCACGAGAGAATGCGGCGGGGACCTCCTCAGCCAGGCTCCACGTCGTGGCCGAGGACCCGCAGATTTTCGACATGTGGCAGACGAGTAAGCCTCCATCGTCCGTGCCACCTTACTTGGTGTCTGTCGAAATCTGCGGCCACCCCATCACCATGGAACTAGACACGGGGGCCAGCGTGTCGGTCATGCCCGGGAAGCTGTTCAAGCGAACCTTCCCCGGCGTGTCCATCGAGGCGTCTGACGTCATGCTGCGCAGCTACTCCGGGCAGCTTTCCCAGGTCCAGGGTCGGGCCCAACCCAGCGTTTGCCTTGGCGACAGGGAGGCAATCCTTCCCCTTTATTTAACCAAGGGGTCGTCGCCGACGCTGCTGGGCCGTAACTGGATTCACTTGCTGGGTGTTCGGCTGCCGGAGTACCAGGAAGCTGCGCTGCACGTGGTGAAAGACGTCCCGAACCTCCTGACCGACTTCCAGTCCCTGTTCCAGCCGGGGGTGGGCACCTTCGCAGGCACGACGGTCAGCATCCACGTACCCGAGGAAGCCCGGCTTCGGTTCTTCAAGCCGCGTCCGCTGCCATTCGCCCTGAAGGACGGGGTCACCCAGGAGCTGCAACGGCTTCAATGAGAGGGGATCCTGGTTCCCGTCAAGACCTCCGAGTGGGCCGCACCAATTGTTTCAGTCCTCAAGCTAGACGGCCGCGTCAGGATTTGCGGGGACTTCAAGGTCACCATCACCCCGTCGCTACCGTCGAGAAGTACCCGCTGCCTCGGATAGATCTCTGGTCGGCTCTGTCCGGGGTACAGAAGTTCTCCAAGCTCGACCTTCGAGATGCCTATCAGCAGCTGGTGCTCCAGGATGCCGCCCGGAAGTATGTCACCATTTCGACTACCATGGGACTCTTCCAGTACACGCGCCTACCGTTCGGCGTGGCCTCAGCCCCAGCCATCTTCCAGAGGGAAATGGACAACCTATTCAGGGGCATGAGGCACGTGGCGGTGTACTTGGACGACATCCTGGTTACCGGTACCGACGACGAGGACCACCTGCAGAACCTGCGCAAAGTCCTGACACGATTGCAGAACGCCGGTCTCAAGCTGAGGCTGGACAAGTGCGTGTTCCTGACCCCAAGTGTGGAGTACCTGGGACACATTATCTCCCAGGCTGGCCTGGCCCCGGCACCCCGCAAGATTGAGGCCGTGCTCAAGGTGCCGAAGCCCAAGAGCAAGAAGGAGCTTCAGAGCTACCTCGGCCTCGTCAACTTCTACGGGAGGTTCCTGCCCAACCTATCGACGCACCTAGAGCCGCTGCCTCGCCTGCTTCGTGACGGTCAGCAGTGGGCCTGGAAGAAGGAGCAGGACTTGGCCTTCCAGCGCAGCAAGGAGCTGGTCGTTAAGGCTCCAGTGCTGGTGCACTTCGATCCGGCCAAGCCTGTAGTCCTCACCGTAGATGCATTGCCGTACGGGGTAGGAGCCGTCCTGTTGCACCGGGGTCAGGATGGTCAGGAACACCCTGTGGTGTTTGCTTCTCGCCGGCTTCATGCGGCGGAGCAACGCTACAGCCAGCTCGACGAGGAAGGCTTGGCCCTCATGTTTGGGGTCGAGCGCTTCTACCAGTACCTGTGGGGCCGGAAATTCGAGGCGGTCACGGACCACAAGCCACTGGTGGGGCTGCTGAGGCCTGACAAGGCAGTCCCAGTGCAAGCATCGCCTTGTGTGGTACGCTGGGCCTTGACGCTGGCGGCCGCAGACGGGCGGACTGTAGAAGGCGCTACATACAGTATAGACCACTTACAACGTAACCGCTTATAGTGCAGGACCGGGTATAACGCGGTTCTTTTAAACCACCGGTTCGCCTCCCATAGAACTCCATGTAATTGCATACCGCTTCAAATGCAGGCGCGCGATGGGAAATACCGGTTATAGTGCGGTTTCTGGCACAGCCCGCCGACCGCGCCGACGACCGGAGCAGCGAGCACGCTTCCCTGTGCGACACCAGATAACGGCGCTGACGGCGCGAGACGAGCCGCAAGGCCGCAAGCCCGCAAGCGGCACACGCGGGGCAAGGAGGTTGCTAGAAGAAGCGAGGGAAGCGAAGAGAGAAACTTCAGTTGCCATAGCGACGGAGGGACGCACGCACGTATCGTTCACGTGCGTGCGTCCCTCCGCTATGGTGTACTAGAACTGCCAGTCTTCTAGTACACCATACCTCCGCTGCGTTGGTCGAGGAGAAGTGTTCGCGCGCGTTGCATGCCGGTCGCGCAGCTGCTTCTATCCGCGAACATGGCGTCGGTTGTGATCGTCGATGTAGACGGCGTTCATCTCATCGCGTAAAAGCGCTATCCTTGACTGTGAATTTTCATTGTGTGTCGCTATGATGACCCAGCACGCACTAGACGGGAAGATCCACCTACTCGTGCGACGATGTCGTGGCGGCGCTCTCAAGACGGCAGAAACGCCCGTGTCGTCGTGTTTGTTTACTTCGACTACAGTGGTGATTTCTAAGCATTTGTGTCCTCGAACATCGCCCGGATTTCTTATTTGGCGCATTTCATGCGTGTGCTCAAGTTAAAGGTATTACTGGCGCGTACCGTATGAAGGATGCAAATTTTCACGCGTTTTCGTCTCTGGAGAAAAGTGATTAGGGTTAGCAATCCTGAACGCTCGCTGCGTCCGTCCGCAACCGCAACCCACGACGCCATTAAAAGGCTGCGCCAGGCAAAAACCGCTCATTTCTTTCAAAATGTGTGACACACTTGAGACAGAACTGTATTAATCTGGTGAAATAAAGACTCTCCTCAAAGCAAGCTTTATTTTTCATCTAGCACAAAATAAATTCTTTTACAAAGGTAAGTTGTCTCATGGCATGTATTTTGGCCTGAAAAATTGATGTTTTGGTTATAGCGCGGTACCGCTTATAGTGCGGATTTTCGCGACTCCCGCGACATACGTTATATGCGGTCTACACATACTTGTTACAGCTTGGAGCATTCCCCACCATCTCATTTGTTCAGGCAGTTGCAGGAAAGTTGCTGGATGGCCTGTCCTGTTTGCTTGTGTTTTAGCAACATATTTAGACCATGTCAACCCATTGAACTGGTGTCAATTTTGTTTACAACTAATCAAGAGCGTGTACTAATTCACCTCATAATGGTTTCAGTTGAGGCATTTGGAGAAAAATGTTGAGCAAGGTATACTGTTTATTCTATGGCACTAGTATGAAAAGATTTTATTTTTATCTTCTGCCAAAATGTGTCTTTTACTGCTTCAGAAAAAAAAAAGGGGGATTTGCAAGCCCTATTTTCAGTTTTCATGAAAACTTTCCACTTTTTTAGTTTAATCTTCTAGTGTTAAATGGAGAAGCTTTCGGAAAAGCTGTCCGAGACGCAAAAATGGAGTAAGATATAATTTTTTGTTCGACCACTTGTTACTGCACTCTAGATTGTGCTACAGAGTCTGAGATTCTGAGTTAAATTCCCCCTCCTGGTTTCAATTGGGTTGGTCCTCATACCAGCGTACATTTGTGAAAAAACGGTTAAAGTGCAGGCGAGCTGGTGGATATTTACCATGATGGAACTTAACCCGAGACTGGGGTAGAACCAGAAACTTAAAAGTAGAGACGTTCTCTTCTTCACTTGTCTCTGTCCCTTCTACTTTTAAGTTTCTGTTTCTACCCCAGTCTCGGGTTAAGTTCCATCATGGTACATTTGTGTCATCTCTACAATGAACGTTAAGAGCTAGCATCCATCTGACGTTCAAACATGAGACATTATATCTCGGTGCATACTGGCCTTCCCACTGTATAAACATCCCAATATAAAAGACCACAGTATCAATAGTGTCAAAACAAAAAATCAAGGCCTCCCCCCACCCCCCCTCCACTCAACCCCTTAACACTTAAAAAATTTCAATTAAATTTTTTGGGCAGGGAAAGAGAAAATTTACCCCATCCCCCCCACCATCACCTCTGTTGCCTCCCTATCTGCCCTATAGTTTTGATGTCTCTGCGTCATACTTGAATTTGGCTGTATGGGACACTTCTCGTTTACAGCGACAGCTGTTAGTGGTCCATTCCTTGGTTTTTCGACGGCGTGAGCGTAAACGAATTCTGGTTCCCCGCTAAATTTGGCAGAAAAATGGATGTCATGTGACCTGTGCACCAATTCACTTTCCCCGCTAAATTTAGATGAAAAATTGACGTTGTGTGACCTATGCACCAATTGACGTGAATGTCCCATGACCTGACGTCGTGGGACCTGCACACAAATTCAAGTTCCCCACTAAATGTAGCGTAAAAATTTTCAGTTGATCATCTTCGTTGTATCATCGAATGGGGAGCACAGCTGTCGCTGTCTAAATGCATCGCATCATGGTATCCTCATGCAATTTTCTGTATCCCGCGTCGCAGTTGGACAAGCGGGGCTCGTACGAGTGCCCAGCGCCCCTCGGGAGGGGCCACGCACCCCTCTTCCCGGTCCCGCACACCCCTCCGCCGCTTCCCTCGAACCGCGACGGCTATGTCAACCTGAACCTGGAGGAGTACCCCTGGTTCGCCGGCACGATGGAGAGGGACGGCGCCACGGCCGTCCTCGAGAAGTCTCCCAGTGGCACCTTCCTCCTGCGCATCAGCACCAAGCAGAACGGTGGCTACGCCATCAGCATCAAGTCAGTGTTTGTCACGACGTCGAGGCACCTTGTGCACCGCGCTACGTCCGACACAGAGTCCAAAGGCGGCCGATGCCACGATTCGGTGTAGTGAATCGGGCGGCACCGAAAGGTGCATTGCCACGGCGCTCTTCGTCGTTGCACCTTTGCTGTCGCCGCCTTGACCGATTGCGCTCCGTCAATACGTCATGATCCGGCGTTTTTTGAGGGGGTTGTTCGGAGTAATTTGCGCTGTCAGCGACAGCGGTCACCCAAAAACGACAAGCGTTGTGACGACGCACTCTTGACTCTGCTCAATTTGGCTTTGTTGGATTGTGGCGTCAACTGCCTTAGGTCTCGGTGAGGAATGGAGCATAATGTCGGAACCGCAGGCGGCAGGTGTAGGCAGGAGGGTGGCTTGCGGGAAAGATGGAAATGATTTGCGGGCCTAATGTGTCAATGAACCGCAGCAGCTCGCCAGCTCATAGAATGAAAGCTTGTGCCGTAAACCCTTGCGTCTTGTGCTCGTATCTCGTTCCTGCTGCTCCCAGTATTATTACGGAGTGCGTTCACTTAGCCACAACTATCCGACACTTATTGACGTTGTTGGGTCAATATAATGCTGCCCCTCTACAGAATGGACGCGTGCCTCTGCGTTTCGAGGTGAATGAGGCATCCGACTAATTTTACGTTAAGGCCACCCTTGGGGCATTTAAAGATATTTAAAAGATTCATTTAGTCAGTTTTAAGTAATTAGGTTGTTGATTTTCACTTTTCATCGATTTGCCAACGTTTGCCGATGTAATCGACATTGTCCCGAAGAAACTGTTTCCTTATTTCGAGTTATCTTACTTTTTCAAATTGCTCTCAGTCATTAATGGAACATCCTGCATGCAGTCTGTTGGGAGCAGATCCTAGGTACGAACCAGTTTACATTTTCGGCGTGCTTGCCTGAACTGAAGCAAAGAAGAACCATTCCAACATGTTTTGGTACGTTTGCATTTAGCCTATAATGATGCATAGCAATGGGGTGGCATATGATATACTATGTTCTTCCACTGACTTTCATCTTAAACCAGAAAAATAACTCCTTACGTTCGTAAATGAGTGAATTTTCTTTTTTTTTTTTCATTCTGTTTGTTGCAGTTTTGACAGCCAGGTGAAGCACATGAGGGTATGCTACGACGACGGCCAGTTCTACCTCTCCGAGTCCAAAATGTTTAGGAGCATAGTGGTGAGTTCACAGTCGTCCAAAACAATTGGTGTTTCTCTTTCAATCACTCGATGCTGCTTCGTACACACTAGCATTTTAGTGTGACCGAGCATAATGCTACCGCTATGACACAATGAGAGAACAGAACGCCGCAATTTGTACAAAAAAACGCGGATGATAATTTTATTATCCACGTTTTTGCACTGCCAGCCTCGCACCTGTCGCACGAGTGGCAAATTTAACGTACCCCCCCCCCCCACGCCTTCCACGTCAAGTTTTTCTCAAATTGACTAATTTGGTTGCCTTCGACCATGCTCAGCATGTTTCTAATTGGAGCCACACATTTGTTTTCACTAACTATAAAGTTAATTAAAGGGGCGGTGCAATGTTTTTGAACTTTGGCTGATTCACTGCGGGAATTAACCTGCGTCGCCTATGGAACGAAGAACAGAAAACCATGTTTTCCTGTGTGCACTAGTTTTTACTTTAAAAAAAATGAAACAAATCGAAGGTTAATTAAGTGCCCCTCAACTCTCACGCCGTCTTTCGAGTGGAGTCTCTGGGGGACCACCTGGTTTCTCATTGGGTTCTCTCTTCAGAGACCCCAGCCGATCCCTCTGCGATTGTCATCTTTTCGAGGATTAGCATCGCCAAAGGTCGCGGCGAGGGATCGACGTGAAAGAAGGTTTACCACGGGACTGACGGCGAGTGTAGTAGCGGAGGGTTTTGTTGGCTTCCGCGTGTACCCCTGTGATGTGCCACCGTTGTTCCCATAACCGGCAGACGTGGTTTCACCTTGGCAAATAATTTGTTTTTTCCTTTGCGATTATGTGGCGGAACAGCAGTATTTTGCAAAAAGGTGGAGTGTTTTTGTTGTCAACTGTTCCTAGATAAACAATATAAAAAATACAAACTGCTCATTCTTTCACCGTTAAAATTGTTGCTCTAACCCCTTTGCCAGATTTCGGTTACATATTTATTTGACTTCTCGTGACAATTAGCACACTATGTTATGTCACCCTTGCCGTATAACTCACCTGCACAGACCACATTGTGTATTTTTTTCATGGCTTCTTTTTAATAGATCTGTTTTATCTATCTTCGAAAATTAAATGATATTGAACTAAATTGAAAAACACACCCTTTATAATTCAATATTATTCGTACCTGTGCTGTGCAACTACAAGGTATGGTAACATAACACATATTTATTTTGCATTTGATTTGATCTCAGGGATCACTTTTTGCATATCTGTACCAAAAGCAGTTACGAAACAGCATGGGAAGCTGACCTTGGACGTAACGTGGAGGTGCAATGCTTCAGGCAAACTCGCCTTCTGGAGAAATGTCGCAACCAAACATTTTGTTCCTGTCGCCGGGAAAAGAGTATCACTGTAAAACATTGCTATTCATGTTGTGCACCATTGGCAATAGCTTTGATTTTGTTTTACTCGCACGTTTATCCCAACCAGTTTGCTGGTGTGCAGTTCTTGTCTGTTGAGGTTCTTGTTCTCGCCACCTTTCCCAGGAACTGGTGTCCTGGTACGAAACCCACAGCCTCTCCGAAAGCTTCAAGGGCCTCGAAATCTCTCTTCTCATTCCGTTCAAGAACGTCGTCCCGTCTCCGATCACAAACGGGACGTGTGAGTATACTCAGATTTTCCAGTCGACGTAGATACGCTATTTATAGGACTGCCCTTACAGTGAAACAACATTCTCATCGTCTCAACTATCAGGCGCACATTCCGACCTGGACTGATCTAAGAGACGATGCACACACAAATGAGTGATGCATAAACTGCTAGAAATATTGACTACTGCCTTATCGTTGTGGGTAGGAAGCCATGTTCGTTACAATAAAGCATTTAGAGGACAAGGTTGAAAACTTAGTGAAAATTGGAGCATTTCATCTCAATCTGAGAAGAGACAACTTCTGTTGCTGGGCTTGACTGATAAGGCTAGACTTCGCGGACCCCTAGAATGCCTTCGTCAACCGTAAAGAGTCTGTGGACCCCCATTTGAGAACCACTAGTGTAGAGGATCATGTGACTGCTCGTACCAGGAGTAGCCATGTTTTTGATGACCCGAGGCTAATGTTGCCTGATGGAGCCGAAGTTTCGGTTTCTGCTTATGTTTATAGTAAGATTTCACTAAACGTGTCCCTTCTTTCACAAAGCAAATGACATAGTGCCTTTTTATTCTTTTTACTGTGAAATCACTCGTAAGCCTGACATTCTAGGAACTGGGTGGAGTTGCCCTTTAAGGTATTTATTTAAATAAATAAATAAACAAGTAAACATACCAGTCGAAGATACATTCCAGGCACTATACGCTCCGTGCGGGAACTATACACCAACTCATGTTTACAAACAAACCAGAGCGCCCCTAGCGGACGCCACCGGCGCCGCGCATGGGCGATGGGGGTGTGGGCAAGAAGCTCGCCGTCGCCCATAAACAAACCATTGAAATGCGATGTTGTCGGCGTCGGTGTGAGTCCCCCTGCCCTTTTTCGCGTTCGAATTGTTGGTTCTACGTCTTCCTGGCGATGTCTGTCTATCTTGAGCGGCGTCAGCGAAATTACCGAGGCTCGTTACACCGCAAAACTTCGCTTGAATAATGTGACACGCGGCGATTCATTCCGCATGGACGCCGCAGATTGTACGCTAAAGCCTGATTCGCATGATGAGATTTGGCTCAGAATTTTCAGTCGCGACGCCGCTCGGGCTGCAAAAGTGTGAACCGTAGCTGAAATGGTCGACGACGATACTGAAAATCGCAAGCAGAATCGGACCAACTGAATTAGGCATAACAACAAGTCGGTGTTGGTCACTGGTAACAATGACCAACATCTCCTTGTATCTACTGTTTACATCGAGCCTGCTTACCAACCTTCAAATTTAAGTCTTTTGAGGCCTGCACTCACTTCTTATCGCAAGTACCGGGCCAACGTTTGGTCTACGAACCGGCGTCGTCTAAGAGAGCAGACGACAAGCAGAAACGTTTGAAAGAGCAGACGACAATTCGAACAATCAGGCGGCCGTTTGAACTTGAAGACGCACTGAACGTAGTCCACAGGTGGTCCGCGCAACTTGACAGTTTTCTGGCGTTCATGTTGAAACAAAACAAATAAATCTGATGACCACAAGTATCCGTGAATTCAACCCAAAGTGCTCTTTTCACAGCACATATCCAGATTCTCGGACGAATTGAGCACGTGAAAACTGACCTTCAAACCTGTCTCGACACTTTTGGTACGGCCCCAGTAGCGGCGTTTTGACGAGAAGGCAGGTTTTTGTCTGGTTCCTTTCATAACAACGCAGGAATACACGTCTGGCATGGGGACTTCTGCCCACAGCCCCAGACGGGAAGTGCGACCGACGCGCCACCACCGCGCCGTGACGTCACAGAGATGAGTTGGTGTATAGGGGGCGCTTTGAAGAACACGCGTAGCGCCGCTAGCGGAGGAGCTGGCGTTCGACAGTGAGGCGTGCTCAGCAGCCTGCGGCGCCTTTTCGCGCGCAAAGCTGTGGCGGCGGAAGCGCGCACGGACGGAACTTCTGCTTTTTGAGCCGATAAGTTGAAGTTGACGTTGCATGAGTGCTGGGGCAGATTTAAGAAGGGCATTTAGCTGTTCTCCACTTCTTATATATTGAGTTTGAGTCGTTATTAGGGGTAATTTCTTTAGTTGCGGTCGAAAAAGTGGTTTGAGCAATTTTCCGAAAAGCAAGACGGCCGCCACCATAATTGCTCTCAGTGGGAGATTTGTTTCGCTCGTCGCTGTGAAGGTAGGACTGCTGGGACGACAATATTTGGAGGCGAGCGAGATGTTCACTAAGTTTGTGCACTAAGTGGGCCAAGTTTTATAAAGACAGCAGGTGTGAAAGTTATGGTTCGAACGAATAAAGGAATAAAGCTGTCAGGAATATCCAATATTGGACCCAAAATGTTCTGTTATAACCGGGCTGTGCGAAGTGCAGATTTGGACGCACAGGTTTTTGAACCTGACCGTAGCTTGACACAACAGTTATATAATAGCAAAAATAGGTGGCGTAGGGAAACCAGGTGGAAATTTGGTTTGGGCGGCGTAACTGAATGGGAAACGGTTTTGACCTTGAAAGGGCTGTCAAGAGAATACCACTCGTCGTGGGAGATGGAGACTTTACAGGTAGGAAGGGACCAGTGCACTGTACTTCCAATTGAAACAATGTTACAAAAAATGGTTTCAAAGCTGAGAAAACCAAGTTGTCGGTTTGGCCGTCAAAGGCATTGGCGGTCAGCTGTTGTTTAGTAATTTGGTTGTGCGAGGTGCTGATTTTTGGCACACAGGTACTTCGACAACCGTAACTTGACAAAACACTTATTATACCTAAAAAAGGTGGCATAGTTTAACCAGGTGGAAATATTTTTGGGTGGTGTAACTAAATTGGAACCGGTTTTGACCGTCAAATGCTGTCAAGAGAATACCACTCATCATGACAAAAAGGCAAAGAGCGCACAGTAAACGGGGACTAAAGGAAGTGCAAACAGGACAAGCGCTGACTCTCAACTGAAATTTAATCACACGAAAACAAAACAAAGAAAGCAGCAACTCCGCCCACGTCACATGATACATGATACATTCACCAAGTGTCCAAAAAAACCATCTCTTTACTACTCAAGCCCAGTGACGTTTGGCTTACGCAGTTCGCGCCTGTTTATAATTGCATGCGCCTCTAAAATTTCTCGATTCACTCTGTCCCTTCCATTGCTGATGATACCCGTCTTACTGAAGATAGGTTCACACCCACATCTATGACAATGCAGTGGCAGATATCCCCCTACAGCTCCCACCACTGATCGCAACCACAAGTCATGCTCCCGCAGTCTGTGATTAACACATCGCCCCGTCTGACCGACGAAGGCTTTCCCACACGTCAGTGGAATCGTGTAAACAACTCACACCTTGCAAACAACATAATGATTTTCATGCTTCACCGAGCAAGCGGGGCCTTTGTCCTTCTTATCGGCAACTCTCGCGCATAGTTGCGCCAACTTACACGGAGCGGAAAACAATAATTGCACATCGTACCTCAAGGCAACTTTTTTCAAGTTGTGTGAAATTTTATGGAGATACGGTATTACGAGCAGTCTCTTATTTGGCCTTTCTCTCCGGGGACGGGGTTCCCCCTTGAGTTTCTTTAACAAACCCTCCGCGACGCTCAATAAAACCGAAGTTGGGAAACCTGCCACTGTCAGTCTTTTAGCCTGCTGGGAAAAACTATCGTTAACCACATGATGACATGACTTCTCAAGTGCAGCTTGTTGGCAAGACGAGGCAATGCTTCTCTTGACCAGCTTAGAGTGCGATGAATCATACGGAAGAAGACCCTTCTTTGAGCGTGGGTGATAAGACCAGCAAACGTGGTTAGCAATGAATTCTAATCTCAAATCCAAAAACTGTAGGTAAGCCCCATCCTGAAGTTCGTGAGTGAAAGTGAGCCCCTCCGAATGATGTGCGAAAACTTCTAAAACAGACCTCACAACATCTGCCTCACATATGCCCTCCAACCTAATAAACAAAACCAAAAAGTCATCCACATAACGAAACACTTTACAAACGCGCTAGTCATCCAGTTTTTCCGAAATGGCCTTATCGCACTTGGCTAAAACAATGTCACAAAGCACAGGTGCCACAGAAACCGATACAAATCCCCTTTTTCTGAACGTAAAGCTTACCGTTAAATAGGATAAAAGTCGACTCCAGATAAAACTTGAGCAGCTCTAAAAACCCATCAGTATACACACCGCTAGCGTTCTGGAAGCCAATCTCGCCATTTCTTTCAATACATTCACGCACCGAGATAAACAGAGCGCAATGAGGGATTGAATAAAAAAGATCCTCAGCATCTATGGAAAATTAAAACATTCTGGCGGGCTAGTTGGTTACAGATAATTAAATTACAAATAGCACAAGGACGAGGACAGACGAAGAAGTGGACAGGACAGGTGCTAACTCACAACTGACGGTTTTATATACAACGTTGAAGAAGAAGGTGAAGGAAGTGTCTAGAGTTGAAAAAAGAAGAAAAAATTGGTCTTTTTCTAACCGGGCGCTTTAAGAAGATTGTTAGACTAGAAAGATTAAAACACAGCAGACCAAAACGAAATTAATAAAAATTAAACAAAGGTAATGATTTTGAACTCTATACGAAACTATTCTGAAGGGTTAGAAAATAACCCCGGACCGTGGGAGACAAATTGAGGATAAAAATATTGGATAAAAATTAATAAAATAAAAAAAAAAAAAGAAAAAAAAAAAAAAAAAAAAAGGTGGTGCCTGTTGGATGTAAAAAGGTAAATAAGCTGTACGAGGGGTACGAGGCACTGATCAACAGCCTTTGGACGATCACCCTTTTTTTTTTTTTTTTTTTTTCTTCTTTTTTTTATTAATTTTTATCCAATATTTTTATTCTCAATTTGTCTCCCACGGTCCGGGGTTATTTTCTAACCCTTCAGAATAGTTTCGTATAGAGTTCAAAATCATTACCTTTGTTTAATTTTTATTAATTTCGTTTTGGTCTGCTGTGTTTTAATCTTTCTAGTCTAACAATCTTCTTAGAGCGCCCAGTTAGAAAAAGACCAATTTTTTCTTCTTTTTTCAACTCCAGACACTTCCTTCACCTTCTTCTTCAACGTTGTATATAAAACCGTCAGTTGTGAGTTAGAGCCTGTCCTGTCCACTTCTTCGTCTGTCCTCGTCCTTGCGCTATTTGTAATTTAATTTATGGAAAAGCCCCCCACATCTGTGACTGCACCACTACTAAGGTAATCTATGACACTCTGCGAATTAAGCACCAAAAAAGGATCACAGGTCTCTAACCGACTTAAGTTCTCTTGCAGGAATCGACTGACCTGTCTCTGCCACGCCCCCTTCTCGGTAACGATAGTCCGCAGGGGTGCATTCACTTTATGTGTCTTAACAGAAAAGAATACATCAAGATTTCCTTTCGTCGTCTTTCCAATTTCTTTTCCCTGCTTGGACACTTGTAATTCTTTGCACAACTTGGCTGCAGCACATTTGACCCTTTTTGGCTTAAGATTGGTAATCTCGAAGTTCTTCTTAATTGCATCGTCAGCCTCAGTGTTCAATAGGTTCCGGGGTAGCACAACAAATCCTCCCTCCTTATCAGCCTGTAGCAAACTGAGATCGTTGTTTTGAAAATAGGTAACAACACTTTGTAGAGAACCTACCCCAGATGCAGAAGGCCGTTTTGTAGCACATTTTTGTACGCAGTCAACCCCCTCCGAAACACAGTGGTCCTTATCCTCAGACGCTGCCTTTTCCAACACTCGCCGTACATCAGCCAACAATTCATGCGCCTTCATGCTAGGGTCAACACTATACTTTGGCCCTCTGTTCAGAATTGAGGCCACATGCTCAGGAACTTGGGCGTCTCCCAAAACGACCAGTCCACTAGGTCCGTTCTCAGGCGAACGAGACTTCTTGGGTATCCCAAGAAAGGACAAAGGCCTCGCCGCGCCTTTTCCTCCGGGACGGAGGAAAAGGTGTGAAAAAAAGTTGCCTTGAGGTACGATGTGCCATTGGTGATTTCCGCTCCGTGTAAGCTAGCGCAACTATGCGCGAGAGTTGCCGATAAGGTCAAAGGCCCCGCTTGCTCGGTGAAGCATGAGAATCGATATGTTGTTTGCAAGGTGGGAGTTGTTTACACGATTCCACTAACGTGTGGGAAAACCTACGTCGGTCAGACGGGCCGATGTGTTAATCATAGACTGTGGGAGCATGACTTGTCGTTGCGATCAGTGGTGGGAGCTGTAGGGAGGCATCTGCTACTGCATTGTCATGGATATGGGTGTAAACCTATCTTCAGTAAGACGGGTATCGTTGGCAATGGAAGGGACAGAGTGAATCGAGAAATTTTAGAGGCGCATGCAATTATAAACAGGCGCGAACTGCGTAAGCCAAACGTCACTGGGCTTGAGTAGTAAAGAGATGGTTTTTTTGGACACTTGGTGAATGTATCATGTATCATGTGACGTGGGCGGAGTTGCTGTTTTCTTTGCTTTGTTTTCGTGTGATTAAATTTCAGTTGAGAGTCAGTGCTTGTCCTGTTTGCCTTCCTTTAGTCCCCGTTTACTGTGCGCTGTTTTCCTTTTTGTCAGTATGAACCAACTAACCCACATCGCCACCCTTATCCACTCATCATGATCGGGAGGGGCTTACTTTACAGGTAAAAAGCTACCAGTGGATGGTACTTTCACTTCGAACAACTTTGCAATAGGTGGCTCTAAAGCCGAGAAAAAAAAAATTGTTGTCTATAAGACTCGGAGTGTCAGCGTTTCCACATCCAAAAAGAGGCTGATCAAAAAAGAAATCACACCACACAAACTTCCATACTCAAACATTGATTGTCCAGTGTTTCCAATTTTCATTGTAGTTTTCCTTAATTCATATTTGTCACTTTTTGTACCGTCCGGATCTTTCTTCATGAAGTACAGACTGCGTGCCATACTAGTTCGGAAATACCATCGACACATACAATGGGGATGAAACTTCTTTGGAGGGCATTCCTTCAACGAAATTCACACTGCATACCCGCGAGTGTGGGATGGCATTTCAGTTCGAGCTGAGATATGTAGGCGTTACTGGTACGAAAATAAACGCAGAGCGCAAAGCGGTAGAGTAGAATATGTCAGCTGTGCCTATACAATGGAAGACAGGATCGGGAGACAGAATTTCTCGCGTCGTACGGCACGGGTCCATCGTTGTCGCTGTCCCACAAAACATCGGCAAGGTGAAAAACTGTGAAATTTTGTCCCTACGAGATACGACTCATTGGAGCACTTGACGATGCAGCAGTTCATGCTGTCAACCCAGCGCAACCACACCACTCCGACTTCAATGCGTACCAATGTACGCGGCATGGCTTCGTGTCGCTGGGGCTCTCACTGCATACCTTCGGTAACGGCCGCGCGGCGGCGCGCCGGTCGCGTCGCACGGAGTGTATAGTCGGGATGGATCTAGGTTGCACAGAAACATGTGCTTTTGGGCTGTTGCCAAGCGGCTGTGCTTTATTGGAATGCGCAACCCTCAACAGGTTGCTAGTCTAGCTGTAACCAACCTTTGGTAGTGCTGTAGAGGGCAGTAGCTTCTGGTTTACATGACAACATCCTTCTGTTCTGCTGTGCAGCCATGCTGTGCTTGTCCCCGACGGAGCCCCTGGGGCGTGCGGTGGCCCTGCACAACTTCCAGCCAACAGCGGACAGCATGCTGGGGCTGATCAAAGGGGATGTTGTAACGGTGCTCAGCAAGGCAGGCCAGGAGAAGGGCTGGTGGAAGGGCCAGATACAAGAGAGGGTGAGAGACACATTCACAGCACGGTCCAGCGTCCTTTTCGTTCCACAGAATTCACACGTAATGCTTCGGACCCACTCAAGACAGTATGCAAAATCTGTCTCCCATTGTATCGCGCTGTGATTTACTACAAAGGTGCAGCTAACTGGTGGAAGCTTGGAGTGAAAATATCAACAAATGAACCTAATCCAAAAGAGAAAAAAAAAACACCTATTTGGGGCCGTTCAAGGTGGCATTTGCAGGCACTGCACACCGTCTGCAAATGTCTGCTAAGCTTGAAGACGGTGGTGCACACCGTCTGCAAGCTTAGCAGACAATCTCCCAAAAATTTTGACTACCGTAAAATCCTGATAAATAGCCCACCTAAAATCGAGAGCAAATCGAGTGAATCAATGAAGGGGGCTAACTTTCAATGTGCAGTAAAAAAAAGTAGAAAAATGTATTGTAGCCAAAGAACAAACATGCATTTATTGGCACTGCACATTCATCATCAAAACCGTCGAACGAACAGTCGCTCTCACTGTCAAACAAAAGGTTAAGCATCTCCACGGTGTTCGAAGTGGTTGGCACAGCAGCGGAAAATGGGACCGCCGAAGCGATCCGCTCATGAAGCTTCTGATCCATCCAGGGTTGTTGACATACCGCACCGCGAAGGAGCGGGCAGCAACATCCTTGCTCACGGCCACCCAAGCCTTGGAAATGAATTTCTTGACATCTTGTCACAATGGCCCCTTTCCTCGGCACCCTTTAAAGGTTGCTGGGGTTCTCTGAGACCAAAAAGTTTGAGAACCCCTGCTCTAGAGATCCCTTTTTTTTTTTTTTCAAGCTCATTAAAGGGAAAATTTAGCACCCCACCCCCACCACCGCCAAACATTTCTTTAATTTTTTCCAGGCGATTTAGTATGGTGTCGGGAGAATGCCCAATCAGTATTTTGCTACGAAGTCGCATTTATTTTTAAAAAATCCAAAGAACTCACCTGCTCAAAACTAAGACATGAGCACGGAGGCTCGTGGCCACGACAGATGGACCATGTGGACCAAGGAGGAGGGGGAAATGTAGAGAGAGTTGCCGGAAATCATGTAATCACACCCAACGGAATTTTTTTTTTTTGTGCAAGGCAGACATTGACGTTTTGTGCACCATTTATTCTGCAAATTGTTTCACACTTATATTCGTTCCGATAGCTATTCTGTGCTTGAACATAGGTTTGTTGGTACCTCAAATGACAGTTCCAAAGTAGCAGTCTCACGTCTGTTGCAATGTTTGTCTGTCCTGCGCTGCCATCACGTCGTTCAGCCGCCGGTCCATCACCATATTGAGAATGAAGTAGTATGTGTACTTCCTGTGATCTGTACAACATTTGTTTTCAACCAACGTATTTACAACTTTTTGGAAGCAACAAAAATGGGTTTCATATTTTTTTCTATTTTTAATTCCAAATTTGTGTCTTAGATGACCCACGGCTTTCATTATATTTGGTATCTTTCTCTGAACAGCACATGACCACAAAGAAGGGGGTGATTGCGACTCAAACTGTCCAGTTCTCGACCGGCAATTTTCAGGAGAAAGAAAACGAATTTCGAGCCGCAAATTGTGTTTTGGCTAGCTGAGCTCTCATATGAATAAAAACTTCAGCGACAATAAATATCCTGTCAGTGTGTCGTTTGTCAGTAAGGTGTCGTTTGGAATTTTGGTACTTAACTTCGGCATTGACCCTGTACAAAATGTATCATATGGTAACAAATGCCAAGACATGACGTGGTACGACTTTAGTGAAATAAATTGCTTCAGCACTGTTGTGAGGTTTAATGTGGAAGGCTGCTTAATGGGGGAGGGACAAGAGTGTAATTAGCTGGCTGAGTGCAAAAGCAAAATAGAAGGAACACCATCTATAGGGAAGATCTGACAGAATGCAACACCACTGACAGGTCTTAGGTGTTTGATCTTGGGGAACCCTCAGTGGCCAAAGGGAGAGTTGAAGAATCCCCCTCTAGACTCGTCTTTCAATGAAGCGGTTCACCAGCTTACTAAACTTTGTTGACACTATTACACAGATTAGGGTGAAGAAGGGGGGGAGTGTTTGTCTAAGAATTGTGCATTAATTGTGTGCTTCGACTACATAATCCCCAAACTATATAAGATTTCTACTAAAGATAGGGTCCTCCTGGAGCAATTGGAAGTTTGAGGAACCCCTGCGTCCAGTTTTGAGAAGCCCTCGGTTTCCAGGAGCCCACTCAGCAAACTCAATCATTTTAGAGGCCCCATTGCTGCCCCTTTAGCTGAACCAGCATTGGTGAAGCACCATGCATCTTCCTAACTAGGTCGTATTTCATCACTGGGTATCATTCATACGTTGCAAGTTTGCACATATTCCAGGACACTGTTGGCATATAGTAATCATACAATTGTACAAGCTCAGAGCACATGAAGCAAAAGCTCGTGTTGCAGAACCCAGGGATCCTGAGCTCAATCCCCACCTCTGCCCATTTCGATCTGGAGGAGTGTTTTGAGGTCGTGTATCACTACTGCGTGATGCGTATCCAGGACCCCAGCCTAGCGGTGGTACTTCACTGGCTTAATTTCTTATCTACAGAATAAACCGGTGCTGCTGTACCTCAAAGGCAGACCGACCTGACGCTGTCTAAACACAAATATCAGATTTGTTAGGGTTCTTTTTGGTGATGTTACAGCAAACTTTTCCTTCCTTAATTTTTTACGGCATGCTAAGAAGACCCAGAGAGAAGTGCTTTTTCTGACATCTGTCTGTGCTAAGTAACACCTCTGTTTAGTAGTGTACTTTGCAGTGTGTTGTGATATTGAACTCTAACTGCTATCATACAAGCCTGTAGAGTACCAGGTGGACCAGACCATAATAGTACATTACATTTTCCAAAAATTGTTCACTTTCAGGTGGGCTACTTCCCCTGGCAGTATGTGCAGGAACTTCCATCTGCTGGTGCCGAGTGCTAACCTCACCTCCAATCATCGTCTTAATAGTGTGCCATCGTGAACTTGCGTTCGGGCTTGCCAGCTGCAATGTGCAAGAAGCAATATGTGTGCTTGCGTGCCATTTTTGGGAGAGACAACATCTATGCGTGAGGGAATTCAGCCCATTTTAATTAAGCTTTTATGTTTCTTATTTTTTTGGCAAGACTTTTTGTTAGAGCTATCAACAGTTCTCACATATTTGCCCTCGGTGAGTTTCGATTCACCACTTTTATTAATTTAATTTCCGACAGAGATGCGTTGTTGTTGGTTGATGTGGTTTTAAGCGAGGACTTTTGAGTAACTTGGGCAGTTTGTAAAGTGTGAATTTGTGCAATTGGTGCTCTGTTGGTTGATGAGGCTGGCACCAAACAGTTGGTACCTGCAGTTTGGGTATGCATTACCTGTTATCTTGTATGTGGGAATGAATATTCTCTTGTTCACATGTTTCGAAGGCTATGTGTGAAACTGTGCATTGTGTTCCAGTTTTTTAAACTCTCATGATGAAGCATCTTCTAATCATTGACTCAATTTCTGATGGATGATTTCAAGGCTACATACTTTATTTGCTCTAATAGCAGCTGCACTGTTTATGAGCAAGACTTGCCCACCCTGAAATTGATTGTAGTGAGAAATGCAATATCTGCTGGTTTAAGGGCATGTGAAATGTCATGCTCAAGGTGGAAGTGCAGACTACATTCTTTACCAGACTCCTTTAGTAGATTGCAGCGACTCGCCATCTGTGTGCTCTGTAAAACTAGGTTTGCGAGCCTTGCTCACAAACAGTGTGACTTTTTGTTATTTAGGTGAACATGGTATCTCATAGTGCGCTCGAACTTAAACAAACACACATTATGATTTGTAATGACAGCCCATAGGAAACCACAATTATTGCTTGTAGGCACTTTTCAGTCAATGCTTCATTGCATTCATGAGGGCTGTTAACTGTACAATGCAACAACAATGGTGTAGTAATTATTACTTCTGACTTTCAGGGAACATGTGAATGTTGCAAGCATGCTTTAGATATTATACTGAATGTTTGTTTCTGCATCTTCAAATCGTGAACTGAGTTAGTCCACTATTATTGCTAATAGTAAGCTTGCACCTTAGTGTAGTGGTGAACATTGTCACTTGTCCATGATGCAGCGCTTGCTAATTTTCACTAGCAGCCACAGTCAAGAGCTACTGGCCAGGATTCTCGTGAACAAATTCAGGTGGGAAATTCTCGCCAGCACAACGAATGTTGCCTTAGGATTTACTTGGCAATGCGGTGCCTCTCCTCACTCTCTTTGAACAAAGTTAGTCTCATGCCAAAGATGCTGCTTCATTAAAGTTACTGATTCACTTCGTCAATGAAGGTGCCACATGTAATCACATCAGCATAATTCAGCACGCTTCTTAACATTATGTAAGTACCCTAATTTGCTGGTGTTTGTTATCACCTCAGCATGTCTGTCCTAGTCATGACCTACATTAAGTGTATGTATCCCTTTTGCACTTTTTTGACTTTGCTGCATGGCTCTAGAATAGATTCCTGCCTGTTTGCACATTTAAGATAGATGTCAGTGGTGGAGTCGTCTCATGTCCACATTTTTGTTAATTAAATGATTTGTCACAGCTCTGGCTTCGCTGTACATGGTGCTTAACTCAGAGAAGACCAAATGAAGAGTTGACTTTTTTTCCTCCTGCATTTAATTTTCATAAATCAAAGTATTTTGTCAGAACTTGGCCAACTTCTGAAGATGACCAATGTGTCGCATCTTTGTCGAAATGGCAAGTGCAGCAGGACCCAACAGGGTCTTTTCTGGTTTACGAGAACTGCCCTACTTTGGTGGCCAATTTGTTTCTTTTTTAATCAATTTCTCTGGAAAGAGGCAGTCTTTGAAATTGTACTAGTACTTTCTCTGCACAAATCTAATGTCGATTTTATACGAAAAAAAAACCTGCATGGAAACTTCCTTGCACAGCATGCCAAGAGCCATTCATTGTGGTTTACAGAAAGAGAACAGCGAATGACGTGGCAGCAGTGACAAAAGGGCTTGTAAATGCTATCTGCACAAGAGTTCTAAGCCTGTGCACATTGGGCTAAATATTCCAACATGGGTCATTTTCTTTTGCTCAAACATTATCTCTGCATTGCTGTTTTCTGGGCTCTTCCATAATCCTCAAGGATTCGGTTCCACATGCTTTGCGGGAAAGTAGACCTCGCTCATGGGAAGGCCAAATTAGGTTCAAATAAATGTTGTGCGATACAAAGTTTCTGTGAAGTTTAGTTTGCTTGGCAATGACGTAACTACAATAGGCTAATTAGATGAAGTATATATTTCATTACCATTACACATCAAACATAAAATGACAAAAAGAATACAACAAAGCCTATCCCCAAGGAGCAGCTGCATTGAGTCTAATTTTAAGAAGCCTCATTGTAGCTAGGTAAACTTGTGGATGCCATAGTCTTTCCACCGTTACGTTTGTAGGGCAGTGGCTGTATGCAAGAAATGCACACACTCATCTTCATTTACTTCTCGCTGCAATGTTTGGTCAGGGCGAGCTTTCACGAGGGCAAACTCAAGTGTAAGCACACTGTTTCCCTAGACGTCTTCATCTGACTCAACTCATTTGAATGACGGTAGCGTCAAGATTCTCCAATAGCGATTGCTACAGCTGCTTCTCACTAGAAAATGCGGCACGCTAGACACCCTCGCTTGCGTCCTCAGAGCATGGGCATGTGTTTTATCACGTACCTGATCTACTCTCTCTGCCGTAAACATGGCTTTTCTGGCGGAACAATCTGTGTCCGGCCGCATGATGTTTGCATGCTCTGGTCTGGTGCTCTCCTCTCTCCGGGTTCTCTCGGACATGTCTCGTGTGATGCGTGGACCACCACTGTTTTGCATTGCCGAGGGATGCGCCACTTGTCAATCCCTTCCTCATTCTGCGTAGCTTTAGCTGCTTCATCGTTCATCTGCTCTGTCCCACCCTAGCGTGCGTCTCGTGATTCTGCCATTGCCCGACATACCACACTTTTAATGGGGATGGTGCAGGCCAAGATCTTTCCAGCAAACTTTGCTCCGTTAAAGTACCTGTCAAAAAAAAAAAAGGCCTTAGCTGTCCAAAGTATTTCCTTTCTTCACCATTCAAGCATTGCTTGATCTGGACTTCTGTGCATCATAAACATATATGCCCTATGACGTTCTCTTAGAAGACTCTTAACAGCCCTCAAATAAATACTTAAACTTGGAAAGATAAACCCTCTGGTCTTTTTGCAGTTATGTTGTGGCTACACTTCGTTCATTGCTAAGCTGAAAGGACAGTGGAAGCTTTGTGCTCACGAGACCAATCGGTCGCCTGTTTTTCATCATCCGTCATGCTCGCTGCGCTCGAGTACGTGCAGACAGCATGATCACGTGGTGCAACACTGACCGCCGACCACTGCCCTATCAGCGTAGTGGTGAAGGGAGTTTAGCTACCTAATGTTAGCATTTAGCTCGTCATTGCAAAATGATACGATTCCAATTTTGTGAGGTTTTCAGAATAATCGCTCGGGAATGGTCCCTTCCCCACAACGGCAATGATGGAGGAGAACGGTGGCTAATAAAGGCTGCAAGGGTTTGCCAAACAAGCTATATACTGTCTTGTAGCAACTTCTTTCGTGAGTGTTGCAAACACACTCCTCTTATTGCTGCAGCCGGCAAAAATGTGGAAAGCTGCCACCACCTTTGTGAATCCTGTACCGTTTTACCTGTGCCCCAATTCCAAAGTTTGGTCGGCCTGTCCCTGCATCATGATTGCAGTGATTGTGCAATGCACGCCAAGTAGACATTGTGCATTATTGATAGGACCACTTTCAATCTATATTCTATCAGCTGCCTCTTCCTCGGAAGTGAAAGGCAGTGACGACGTATGGCCCTCTTTGTACATAGGAAACATGTGGTGTTAGTGTTTGTTGGAACTGATTGTTCTCAGTTTTCTTTTTCTGTGAGAAAATGACACGAGTCAAGTTAAATATGCCATAATGAAACATTCTCTAATCGTAGCAAGCTCAGTTTGTAAAAAGGAAACTATATATATAAATATATATTATATACACTTTGATGTGTGGAAAGTAATATCAGAACTGCCAGAGCAGTTTGTCATAGATGTCATTTGTTTGTGCTTGTGCTTAGCTAAGCTCTCATATTTGTACATCTCTCCAGTGATCTATTTTGTTATGTTTTTCTTCACCTCTAAGGGAACAAGATGTAGGCTGTTGTGTTTAAAAATTGTGGCCCATGCAAGCTACTGCTTTGAATTGAAATCTAATCTACGGTGAAGTTTTAAAGGATGTGTTAGTAGTTGCAAATTTTGTGTGCGTTCTGCATGTTCAGTTTGACATTGCCGTTCTATTGAGGTCTGTGCAGTCTCCATTTATTGCTTCGTCTTTAACCTGATGTTGGTCGAACAGCTTACCTCTCCCCACTGTTTGTGATGTCTTGAGGTGAACCGAAGACACACTTTTAGGTAGACCTTATGCGAACAATGACACGGAAGAAGAGTTCTATTTTCGTGACTGAAAGAACAATCAATGACGGAAACGCAACGAGAACTATGAGTAGCCACTTGCAGCAGTTTTATTAGAGACTGAAAGCCATCTACTAAGCCAACTCTTGGCAGCGTTAATTGTCAATGTTGTGATAACCATTGCTTCCAGAGGAACAAATTATTTGAGTGCATTGAGGCGAGCAGCACACAACACTAACCCAGTACTACGACCACACACAAACAGAATCACACAATTATATATATTCTTGGAACTAGATTTGTATCAGCAGATTCCTTATAGACTACTTGTGTGTAACATATAAATAGGCACAGATAAGGTGAAAAGAGTGTCCCGAATTTTAGAGATATACCCGTTATCAAATGCAGGATCTGGCTTATCATGTCACCTGGACTAGAGTGATGGGCCGACACTTATTGGTTATGCACCAATGAGGGCAGCATATACAAAATTACTGTCTTTCTTTTTAAACTTCTGAGTAATGTCGCTGTGCCAAATATTAACCCGGATCTTCGTGCCAACACAAACTTCATACAAAATGTACACTGTTGCGAGTGAGTTAAACACAAAGTTTGTGATCTTCGATGTGGGTGTTGTTTCTCCTTCTCAGATTTTAAATTGAGGAATCTCTGTTTCACTTGAACATGTGTATGCTCCCCATGTGCATCCTTTTCGTGACAATAGTAGTCTTGTTAAAAGAAAGATTACATTCTGAATTCACCCACAAAATGCAACACCTAGACATGGAGCACTGTGACCTATCTAGCACCTACCTCATAGTTGACAGGTTAAGAAAGCAGTAAAAGCTCCACCCCCGGCATACGCTCATTCCTTCGGTCTTGCTTCAGCCTGTGAGATGCCGAAGTCTTATCGAAGGTGGAAAGCTGAAAGCTTGCACTGGAGGTGGAGCTTCTACTGATTTCTTAAGCCTTAATTGGCTAGAGTTACTGTACCATACTCTCATTTCATGCCCCAAGCTAGTATGTGTACGAACCAAAATATTGAAACCTGTCGTATTGAACGAACGTGTCGGCAAGCGCCGTTCTGAGTACCCGAGCTATTTGTTTTGATCTGTTGCTGCTTGATTGCACAAAGTATAAAGCTTTGCTACCTTCTATGCATGCTGAATCCAGGCTTGAAAATGCAGTCCAGTTGTGACCAGTAAAAGCAACTATGAGAGATATGACAATGAACGGTATATCCTATCGCTCTCGTTTGAATGGGATCTCGGAATGTCAATCTTCTTTTCAAACATCCGTTACAGGCAGTCGTCTAGTTGGTGTCTGACCACATGTCTGTAAAGTGCACCCACCTCCCCGATCCTACATAGTGCTATATATATATGCCCCGATACTTTCACTGTGCATAAATTTGTGTGTGTATAAAAGCAGAGCATCTCTATCCATCTGTTGTGAGAATGTGTAAAATAATGATGGGTCTCGGGTTGCCCGAAGCAATGTAGATACTGCCGCGCTGTTCTTTTGCAATTTAGTTCTAAGAGTGTTTCGGTGCTTGTTTTTACACATCCGGCGTAATGTGGGAATGGATGCACATTTGATTGTTGCATTGATTGTTTTTGTTGCTATAATAAAATCATTTTCTGTACGCTCTGGATCTTGAATGTGCATTGATATGTCCTGCAGTCATCATTACTTCAACTCGACTGCCTGAATAATGCCGATTCCTCTATTAACAACGTTACTTCACAAAATCTATAGATTTTTTTTTTTATCTTGAGATATTACATTATTTAAAGATTATGGAAAGATAATAATTGGCGCTAGGTGTTTTGACAAATAGAATATACATTTAGAAAACTGGTTCTTGCAAAACGAAAATAATTTTTCTTTATTAGCCAAACTATGAGGAACATACCAAAATGATTCCTTCTAATAATGAGCACCTAAGAGGAAGTTTATACGGCATGCAAGTCCGTCTGCTCCTTGTACACTTCACGCATTTCTTCACCTCCCAAATGTGCCCACGTGCTTTTGCCTCCTCCACCCCCCGACCTCAACCAATGACGGCGCGCACTTGGCTGCTCGTCATTGTACGTTTTCTGTACGTTCTCTATGTTGCCCTTTGATTGGCGATGCACCGAAGGCGCATTTTGGAACACTTGCTCACTCTATATAAGGTAGCAAGGTGGCAAGTTGGGCTGCATTGAGCATGGTGATAAATGGCGCACGAGAGGGAGACACTTCTACGGTGTCTGTCTCTTGTGTGCTGTATATCATCATGTTCTATATATAGTATTAAAAATCTTTTTAAAAAAAATGGCAACCAGCTCCTATACCACTCATTTTGGGGCTAGTCACCAACATGATGGGAACGGCAGAGCATCTCTCAGACGCCCTACTTCCAACACATACTCGTTGCCTACTGCCATGCTTCTGCTGCGTGTGCAGATCTATAAGCTCGCACGATTCTAAATTGATATAGAAGGTGGGAAATGCTGATGCTGAGACAACTGAAAGACCTCCGTGTCATGCTCATCTTATCAATGACTTAATTGTTGCACTACCAAAGTCTCAATCTACAACTCTGTGTGCATAAAACACGAAAACTACAAATCTTTGTTTTCAATGTGGAATAGACATTTTGCCAAATTACCTAAGCATCAAAAAGAAGGCTGGGAGCGTAGGTACATGCGCTGCTAGCGCTCACCTTATCTGTATTCGTCGTAAATAGCAAAAAAAAGACACTGACGAACCTGCATGCATATTCCCACTTTTTTTAAACTTTTGTTTTAGAACAGTCACCACTGTGCACGCCAGCACGTGTGTGTAACTACGCTCGAGCGCGCTCTATGGTGCTTGGGTAATTTAGCAAAAGTTATATTACTTGGATGACAGCCACGGTTGTGAGAGTCGTACAATCAACATTTTTACTGTGGAGTATTTCGGAAGATGATATTGCAACATTTCACAACTTAACCGGTGTTGTGCAAATATTCGAAGTTTAGAATAGTAGTTTCGAATAAGACGCTATTCTCTTCGAGATGAACTAAGTCGAATCTCGTTAATTCAAACTCGAGGGGGGACGAAAATTTGTTTGAATAAAGCAAAGTTTGAATTACCGGGAGTTTCTCCCCATAGAGATGCATAAGATGGGACCTGCATGTTAGTTTGAATTATCCAGAAGTTTGAATTAAGAGGGTTTGAATTAACGAAATTTGACTAAAGTGTTGATCATGACAAATTAGCCCCGTTGAGTGCGCTTCTCCCCGAGCACTTGTGCATTGCGGGGAAGCAATGGCTGCAGAGCTCGTGGGTAGTGCTTCCCCGCAGTGCACAGATATCCGGTAAGAAGCGCACTCAACGGGGCAATCCCGCCACGATTATGCAAGAATATAAGTTGGGCAGCGATGTCATGACAACCCGCGCTCATCATTCTTTTTTTTTTTATATTATATTGAAATGGTTGGCGATAACTTTTACGAAGGGAATGCCAAATACCTTTCGTTCGTTTGACACTTAAAACCCTTGATTCTTTCACTTTTTGTGCACATTAGCAGCAGAATAGCAATCGTCAGTTTTTCTTATACTGAAATTTTTTATACTACAGTGACAAAAAAGTATAATTTGTGGCACTAACGTAATGTTTAGTGCCCACCAACGTAAAAAGTAAAATGTGGAAAAACATTATTGATTATGTTTCCGCTAACAGTGTTGCACATTGCACTGGATGGTGTCTCGCCTAAACAAATATAAACTCGTAATAAAAATAAAAAAAAAAAAAATGCTTTGCTATCAATTCTGCACAGCAAAGCTTTCTGTGAGAACTGAGGCATCCCCAGCCGCAATAACAAGGGAATCGAAAAAAACAAATAACCCCGCTTTATTACAGAACGTTTTTAACGTGTTTTCTGTGTGGTAAAACATTAATAAAAATGCAGGAAGTTAGGGAAACTAGCATTTAACCGGTGTGTTGAACTACGAAGTAGAAAACAAAATAACACCCAAAGCAATAAATAAATAAAAGAAAAACTGCTCGCGGATATGTGTTTGACACATTTCGTGGTCAATCTTGTTTTTCTCTTGCGTACGAAGAGCTCGGATGCCGACTGCTTCGTCGCTGGACAGTGGACAAGAGTCGGCTTTTGTGGCACTAGCGTAGTGGGGTGAAGCTCTCGGCTACTTCCGTCCCGCCGCGTATACTTATGACGTTTGTCCGGTCCGGCGAAGTGCTTCCGATTGCCGCGCTCCCAGCGGCTGTTGGCACTTGTTATTTCATTTTAAATAAAATTGATTCATATATCTAATGATGCGAAATAAAGGTGAAGTTGTTTTGAAGGTGTGAATGGCTTTGAAGCTAGTTATTGTAAATTTCTCTTTTCCTCTTTCAACGTGTCTGGGCGCGCTTTCTCTCTCTCCGAACCCGCGCCCCTTGCCTCGAGATGCGCCGGCCGCTGGCGACGGGAAGTCGGTGGACCGTTAGAACGCGCGAGGGACGCGAGCCGGCGATCTGTTTCGCTTCTGGGAGTGCGTCGCGGCGCGAGATTCGTCCCGCGTTCGTGCGCGCGCGGCTATCTTTTCTTTTTCGTGGGAACTTGATGGTGTAATGTGGTCAAGCATGGATTTTCGTCATCAACACACCACCTGATGTGCCAAGTGGGGAAACAATGACTGCCGAAAGCCGGGATATCAATGGTTTCGAGTTCCAATGGACGTGCGGTACGCTTTTGGTCTTCTCTTGCTTAAGTTTCTGATTAGATGTTTGCAACAAAACCTAACTGTCGCAGTGGTAGTGAGTATTAATTGTTTGGTTTTGGCAATAGCTACTATGGTTTCCAATCACAAAACCAAATCCTATCGTTGTTCAGGATTGCTCTTCACTCGCCGCGAGAAATATGTCATTGTCAAATTACTGGAGACTTCTGTGTAGACTTTTTCATTTCAAGATCGAGCACATATGCTCACTTTAACAGATGGCAAACGTTTTGCTGCGAGCTGTTTATTTGGCACTGTTGTCAGCGATTCACGCGTCTGCTCGCGAGGAGTGAAAATATGAGCCTAAATATTTTTCGATTAACTGAGGATGAGCGATAGAGCGATCCGCTCTGGTTTCCCGTTTCGTTTAGCAGTGACTCACTCCTAAATTTAAGTGATAATATTAAAAACGAATGGGCAGGTTCTCGATGAAGACTCAATACCAAAGAGCTGAGCTGTTTTTCTTGGTACTCATTGTTAGTTTCCTTTAGTTGCAATTAAGACACCGTCGTCGGTCTTTACTTATATGCTTACTTATATAATCAAATTTGCAAGGACGCATATCATCACCTTCGTCGCACGTAACCTTAACGTTTTATCCTGTTTTGTTGTTCATTTCTTTGTTTCTCGTGTGCAAAACAGTGAGAAATTTCGTCTGTATGTTCTACTGTCTGTTGAATAAAAATGAACGCAAAAGGACAAGCATTGCATATTTTTTGTGTATGTGTCACTTTCGTTGCTTTGCTAGGTTTCTGCTGCTTTGCTGCTGGTCTCGCTTTTCAGTGCTGGCTTGTGTGCGTTTCAACGCAAATTAACCAGCATTGAAATGCGAAAACCAGCCGCAAAGCAGCAGAAGCCTAGCAAAGCAACGCGCACACCGGGCAAAAAAAAAAAAAAAAAAAAGCTACAATATATATATTTTTAACTCTAGGTGGCGCAAGCTACCGCCCATCCATCCAAACACAATGGCGCTGCCGTGCAGTTTCGGTTTTGGTTTCGCTGTGCCGCCATGTTGATTTTAGTACAGCCACCAGATACCAGGGGATTCAAATGGCGCTGCGGCCTCCCAGGGTTTTCCAATTTGCGTTCCATGGGCGGTATAGGAAGTTGCACTCCTCTGCTAGCGTGCCCAGTCCACGATAACGGCTGCGTGTCACTCACGAATGAATCACGTCAAACGTGAACGGAATTCACGTGCGCTTTGATAACACTCAGGGTTTGGAAGGTTTGCGAACACAGCGGGCACTTGTAGGGAGTAGCGTCCGTCGCAACATTGTTACTGCCGTGTGACACGGAGTGCTTCTGAAGCTCCGCTGCACACGAGAACGTCTTGGAACACCGGGAGCACGACTTGGGTCTGCTGTTTCTGCGGGTTGGCTCGGTGCGTGAACCGACCGCGCCGTTCACCGACAGCGGTCTCGCGGGGCGTCTCTTGTCAGACGAAGATACGTGCCGTTTCTTCGACGTCGTCGCTCCGTTCTCGCTGTCTTTCCGGCTGTTGTCGTCGTCGTCGATCAAGTGACGTTTGAGTGCCTCGGCGTACCTCAGTTTTTGCCTCCGAAAGGCGTCGATGCATGACGATGACGGCCGCGGTGAGTGGGACGGCTGGGACAACCGTCGCCTCAGGGTCGGCTGGCTGGGCTGGCTGCAGTCGCCGTTCATGTTCGTTGAAAAAAAGGACACTTCACGGGCTCGGATGGACGCCGTAGGCGGACCACATATCGCACAAAACAGGTGGCAACGGATGTGCGAACCCGTTGGATTGATTATTCAGCGAAAGCTCTACAACACCGCCAACTCGGCGCCAACGTTCTTTCCAACAAAACAGCTTTGAGCGGACGCGCGATTTCCATCTTCGACACCCTTTCCCTTTAAAAAATGACTCACCGCTCTGGAATCTGGCGGCCTGGAATGCAGTTCGAGTCGGTTTCTATTCTGATTTATAAATAAACGTATTAGACGTTATACAACTAGAATAACTGAATGAAATATTTTGTTAAAAATAAATTTACTAACAAATTTATAGTGCCACTGTGGTTTCGCTAAAACTGACATGCTGTTCCACTCATCTGAAAACCATGTACTTTATACACCGGCTTCAACTTTGGCTATGAATTTGCACTTTGGATTCGAGGTTTTGATTGTTGATGTGTGCGTGCCGCGGGTTGGCTCTTGATCCGCTGTACATGAACGAAAAGTTTTGTTTGGGACTTCTGCGCTCCTCGTGTGTCCTCTCTGACCTGTACAGCGGCTTATTCGATCGCAGTAAGTACCGGTCTACTCTTTATTCTAATGCTTGCCAGACAGAAGCAAGCAGTACGATTATATGCCAGACTTGAACGTTGGATTGATTCCAACGTTCCCCGAAACTTGCGTGCAAATTGAATCTAAAATCACCCAGCTGACATTATGGACTCAATATCGGAGGGAAAATGTTGCCGAAACATAGCCTTCCGCTTAAACCACCGAAGACTGGGTGGAGAGCGAGAATCCAAAGTGAAAGAGAAAGGAACAAAATGGAAGAAGGCAACGTCTGAAGTTGCCTTCTGTCATTCTGTTCCTTTCCCTTCCACTTTGGACTCTTCTCGTTCTCTCAGTCTTCAAGTGATTTAAGAAAATGAAAAACTCTGGAATTTCTTCAGAATACACTTTCATTTTCAGCCAGTGCAAGCAGGCTGTAGCCGGACATGTCGGACGACGAGGACATCGCCTACGTGAAGAGGCAGAGGGTCCTTCACTATGGCAGCCTCGAGGAGAAGGAACGACAGCGGTTGGCCGATAGAGATGCGGCCGAGGACGAAGGGAGCGACGAGGACTCCCAGAACATGGATCTCAAGGCCGCCATCGCCTCCGGGAACATCCACATCTCGGACGGTGAGTCCCGTCCTCGCGCCAGTCATCCATCGCGGTTCGTAAACGCGGGCGCACTCCTTCGCACATCGCAAGGCAGTCACCGCGTTGAGGCCGGAAGCATTTTTACTGTGTCGACGGCCCTTCTAAAGGCTGGTTGACACACATCTGTTTGCTTACGACCGAGTGCTGGTGATCTCATGACGAGAGAACACACTGGCAACTCAAGCGTCATCTACGAGCTAGCCCTGGACGTGCATTTTACTAGAGCGAAGGTTTTGCAGTATTTGTGAAATCTATTCTATGTACGAATATACGAAAGTCACGAGTGTTCCATGGTAAGCCGATAGAGGGCGCCAGAGTATTTTCTCGTTGTAAGAGATCACGAGAGATTTTAACGTACCCAGCCGTAAGCAGTTACAAGTGTGTGAACCAGCCTTAACTCGCAGGGTGGTGCTCTGGGAAAATATGCCCCCTCATTGCACTGCCCACTGAACATTACATGAAGCATTTACGCCCTAATGGCACACGAGGTTCTGCAGACGTCGTCATAGGACCATCTGTTCCTGCTAGGCTCTGGCACTCCATGGAACTTAATTTGAGGTTCACATTTTTTAAATAATGAGACGAGCCAGTTCCTCAGTAATACAGCTTAGGAAGCTTCATGAATGTGCTACCTTGTAACTACACTTTGCCACTTTCGTTGTTTATATCTAAAAGAGAAATATTCCGAGTCAAGCTGTTAAGCTCTTCCCTTAAGGGGGCCATGCAACAACGCTAGGCTGGGATGTTTCTCACTTTACGCAAGCTTACTGGCACTAGTAAGACAAGTATACTCTAACACTATACCACTAACCAAGAAGCTTCTTTGCCGTCGTGTAATTTCAAGGATAAAAGTGGAAGTTGTATTTCAGTTTCTCTTTTGCAACACTTGACGACAAAGTTGTAGGGATAGCATTATTGGCATTGTCAACAATGAGATCCCTGCGGTGACATTATTTAAATGCAGCTCATACAGTGGACGCAAATACTGCACGAGCATTCGATTGGGGCTTGTGACAATCAATGGCTTGACATTCATTCAAGTAATGGCTCATCGCGGCGATGATGGGAATAGCCAAACCTTAACAATATGCGGAACTCAGTGTGTGCCCTGTGCTTTGCCAACCTCAGCACATGTCTGTGAAAACATTGGCAGCATGTAAGCGGCTCTAGATCACGTGGCCATTTGTTCTGACTGCGAGTGCAGGGGGTAAATGCCTCTCGTTGTTCTATACTTTTTTTTTTGCAGACTGCTCTTGTGGGGAGGAAAGTAACTAACATGTGTTTTATAGGCTATGAATGTCAAGCATTAATTGAAAGTGGTATTTACTGAAAGTACAAAAAACCTACTTTTGTTGAGTGTGTTGGTGATAAAGTTAAATACTAGAAAGAATAAAACATAAAGAATGGACAAAACAACACATCTTTCAACTTGCAACGAACAGGGTTTTAATGCCAACAGGCACAGAGTCCTGAAATCTTCAGGGGTGAAGGAAAAGAGGGGGGGGAGCCGGGAAAGGAGGGGGGGGTGTAAAGGGGGTCGAGTCCTGTGGAGAAGGAGACAAAGAGGAGTGGACCTAGCGGAAAAGGGAGGGGGGGGCGAAAGAAGAGCACGTGCCAGCTGGGGGAGGAGGAGGAGTGGAAAATTAGGACCGCTTCCCGCTTGTCCTCAGCGCAAACATGTCACCGTCCGCGCCGCTGGCAGCTCCGGTTCCAGGAAAGCAACCTCTCTTTTTGTTAATACCAGAGACGGCGACAAGATGTTTCTCTGTGCGCCCCTCACGGCGAGCGCCTCCAAAACTTTGCCTGCGTAACGGTTCTTGCTATAGTCAGTTACAGGTTAAGAAGGTAGTGGCAAATGCCCCTCAAAGGGAATCAGATATCCCTCCGCCACCTCCGCATCCAATAGCGTCCCACCGTTTCCGTGACGTCGCAGCCAACGCGCAAGGAAGGGCTTGTCTTTATGTACATATTTGCTTTATATTTCGACTTTTACTTAGCATTGTGGAAGGCACGAGAGGGAGATTAGAGTTCTCCCCCACCGACGGAAACAAATACGACTTTCGGGGATTAGCTTCCCCCCTGATGGATACAAAGGCTGCTTTCAGGGGCTCGGTTTCCCTCTCTGATAAATACAAAGGTCGCTTTCTTAAAAAGTGGGATCGGAGGCAAGTTGGAATCCATTGAAGCGGAACAAGGAGTGTTTCCAGTGAACTCTTCTTTCGACTGCGGAGAGATTCGAAACGGGCGCATCACGCTTGTGGGTGGAGCTTCTCCTACCTTCTTGACTTGTAACCGACTATAGCCCCAAGATTCCGTGTGGAGGGGAGGGCGGGGGCACAAGGCGGCCATGCCTTGAAATGGACCACCATTGGGTGCTGTGAGTCCGCCTTGGCCTTGGTGACCTCCCGCTTGTGCTCGCGCAAACGGTCATTGACGGAGTACCCCGTCTGACCGATATACTTGGCACCACACGCGAAGCGGACAGAGTACACCCGCTTGGCGGCACAGGGGAGAAAGGGGTTCGCGTGCTTTTTGGAGCAATTGCTTTTCACGAATGGGAGGCCATTGACCATGCGGCACAGGTGAATGCGACATCCGTTTTGAAGCGGCGGGCGGCCGCCTTAGGCAGTGCGCAGTTCTGTGGATGTAGGGGATCGGTACAAATTTTGATTGGGCTGGCTTCTTGTGGGGTTCCTCAGAAATTAGTTTTTTTTAGTGTAGCTACCAGAAGGTCGCTTGGATAACCTGCTCTTTTGAGGCGGCTGAGCTGGCCATCTAGGCTGGAGGCTGAGAAGAGGGGCAGGATTTTGTGCGGGAGGCTGGGATTAAACTTTTAGCGATTCCGGCTTTGCATCGCCCCTTTACAAATTTTCAGCCTTTAGCAAGATGCATGTCGTTTCCTACACCCGCTAAACCCGTTTCCGAGATTTCTTGTATCGCTGAATTCTTGAGAATGCATTTTGTGAAAACATGATTTTCTTCTCCAGAGTACATGGAAATCGAAGATGAAGGAGGGAGAGACAGGCAGCAGCTTCTTGAAGAATTCGAAAGACGAAAGAAGGTATGATGAGAGGCTGCTGTTTTGCTTTTTTCTTGTTCTTGTTATTGCTTTCTCTGTGCCGCTGTTTCAAAAATGGCATTTCCTTGCAGGCTCGACAGATCAATGTCTCCACCGATGATACTGAGGTCCGGTCCACCCTGAGAGAGATGGGAGAGCCCATCTGTGAGTGATAACACCATTCTTCTAGTGCTTCCACCCTACTGCATTTCAAAGTGTCTGCTGACGTTGATTCCCCTTGCCATTAGCGGCACCAGCCGAGCAGTTAGAATGCGATGGTTCAAGAATGTGAGCTTTGCCCATTTATTTGTATGTTTCCAGCTTTTCACCCTCTGCGTTACTCACCGGTCAAGTGAGCGAGCTGGCATGAAAAGCAAGTTGTTTGCAACACTTTAAGGATTTAACCGAGGTAGTGCAAAATGTGACCGAACATGCGTCACTTTTAGAGGAAAGGATGGTATGGTTCTGTTCTTCGGCTGGCCTCGTCAGCACCAATGTGACCACATTTAGCCAGTCAGTGAGCCCTTTCTTATCTTGAGCATACACTATGTGTATACTCGAGGGCTCCTAGAACTGGATACTCCATGTGAGCTGTTCTGCACCATGTTTATGGCAGATGTTCCTAACACTTTGAAGAAGCAGGTCCACACCATTTTTCTTCGAACAGTGTTAGTACTCTGACACTGAAAAAGGGCACTGCAGTGGACGTCTCTCACTTGTCTTTACTCTTCTCTGTAACTGTACACTTAGTGTGAAAATTACATTAGATCTGCCAGTCTCACAGCAGTACCGGGAATAAGTCTCCAACTTACGTGTTTACTGTATCCTAATTTTTCCTCCTTGATTTCTGCCTGGTAATGTTATAATCGGGGGCCACTACGGATTGCTGCATTCCTTGCAGCAGCACTGCAGCAAAAATGAATACCGGAGAGGTCTGTTGTGTTGTAGCTAGGTCGTTCTGCGGCTGACCAGTCGAAAGAAATCCAACAGTTATTGGTTATGGCGCCGCAGTGACAATGGCACTTACTCCCACTCGCCTTTTTTGCCGTTGCTTCTACAAGCAAGTACCATGATCTTGAAAACACAGCATTCCCTTAAGTGACTCTCATGGCATATTTTGTCATCATTTTGAGGAAGCTCCAATGCATAGGTGGTATGGGATGCCAGACACACTCGTCAGAGATGCGTTCTGTGCACCTCAGTGTCACAGAGATGCGAGGTGCTAACTGAAAATTCTGGGACTAGCTCTGTAATGTTAAAAGAGAGGACAGCAGGGTGATGCGCAAGCAGCCATCTAAGTCAAAAACCTTTGTGTCTCGTTATGCCGAAGGGCGTCCTTCTGCAAACATTTGGAGCTTTGCTATATGAGTTTTTCTGACCACATGAGCAAAAACACTGGTGATTTGAGCGTCGACTGCAAACCGGAGCAAGAGCGAACATCTCTTTTGCATCAAACTTGCCAAATTTGAAACAAAAACCTTCTAAATGATTCGGCAGGCTGACGGCAAAAAAGCAGCGAGGCTTGCGAGCTGTTTCTAGTGGCACTTGCACTTCAAGAATGGCAGAACGTCACATGCTCCCCTAGCTCTCTTTGTCATCTAGCGGATTCCGAGACTAGATTTCTACCTTAAAAAGGGAAGGCAGGAGGGCGCGCTTATCTCTGTGCTGCCTTTTCTTCTTATGCCACAAAACTAGTCCCCGAGTTTTTGGATCGCACCTCATACATTAATATTGTGAGAAAGCGCAAGAAGAGAAGCGGTAAGCAGTGGAGTTTCATGCTTCCGTGGCAGTAAACAGACCATAGGGCCTTTCCATGCCCGGTAAGCACCCGACATCCACATTTGCAGGCCTGTTTGGGGAGGGCCCTGCGGACCGGCGGGAGCGCCTGCGGCAGCTGCTGGCGCAGGTCGGGCAGGACGCCCTGCGGCGGCGCCAGGAGGAGGAGCAGCAGAAGGAGCGGGAGCTGCGTAGGGACACCTCGGAGACCACCTGGTATCACGAGAGCAGCGAGGCCCTGAAGAGCTGCCGCCTCTGGATCGCGCGCTTCTCCCTGCCCCGCGCGCGGCACCGCATCGCTACGGCCAAGGAGAAACTCAAGGCCCTGGGGCCCGCCAACACCGACTCCCAGGTGCACGCCAAACGCCAGGAGCTTTACAAGACGCTCAGGGTGAGCCACCTCCTTGTCCACTCCGACTCAGACACCATGTGCTCCAAATGGCACCGTTAAGGCCCCCCCCCCCCCCCCCGGACGTACGCCGCAGCGCTATTAGTCGGCGCTGAAAATGATACTGACCTCGTTGGTGCAGTGCTGCCTACACTTAAATATTGTGGTCACTGACAGAACGAGAAGGGCAGCAAGGAGTTTCGGTTGTCCCACTGCCGCGCGAGCTTACTGCCTTCGACAAGGCCTCGGTATTTTGTGAGCCTCGACAGTGCGGGAGCAGCTGCACCACAGGAAAAGGCGACGAGCACGCGCTGGAGACCGGCAGCTTGAAAGAGACGCCCACCAATTCTCATCTTGTCGATGACCGTTGTGATGCAGCGCTGATACTGCCCTGCATCAGTGCTACGTTAGGTTCAAGTCGGCCCCACGTCTTCATCGTTCCTAGCGCTTATTTAGCGCTACGATGTGCATGCCTTTGGCAGAGACAAGCAGTTGCCAGTGATTTCTGTTTCGCTCTTGAAATCGGAAGGGTGATGTTGAAACTGCTAGTTTGGTGGAAAGGGCTTGTTTGGGGCGCCAAGCTTGGCATTAGGATTTGTTACCCACCTTTAGAGGTGAAAGGCAAAAAAGTATTTGGTACCCCCACACAAAAATGCAAGTGTTTTGTTTGTGCTAATGGTGCCATGCGGTGTACATGGGTCAGTGCCAGAATTTTCTTTAGGGAAGGAAAATTGAAAGTGTGATCAGTAATAGGTCCATAGTTTTTCTTCTTTTTCTGACGTTATAATAGTTTGCCGGAAATGTAGGGTCTTACGAATAGAGGGGCTCGCTTCAAAGTGAACTGGAAAGATTGGTGCCTGCACATAACAAGTTCGAGGTCTCATCAAAGGTATAAATTTCAGCGGTGGATTTTAATACTTTGTGAAATTGAAAAACCTAGCTCTGTTCCTGTAAAAGATTTGTACAACATCCTTGATATTTTCGAGGACAGGCACCAACGCGAACAACCAAGTCGCATGGGAGTGGTGCTTGTGGCGCTATCTCCTGATAGACTTTCTGACGATTGATGAAGAGATTTCCTGTATTTATGACAGATTTTAAATTGCCTTAAATGGTATATTACTACTTTTTCAAAGCTTTCCAATGACTGTTCTTGAAAGGCCCTTCCTTTCCCATAGAGTATTTCATCGACCATAGTTTCTTGGTAGCATAAAAGGTCAGCTTCTACTTCCTTTGCTCCTTTCCTTTTATTTCCGGATGTGACGTCATTCACTCAAAGATTTGTGAAACCTGAAACTCAAATTTTCTTGGCTTGCAGTCCCTGAACATCAACTGCAGCCAGATCGGGGACACACGGCCGATCTCCTTCTGCGAGTTCAGCCCAAACTCCCAGATGTTGGCCACTGCCTCCTGGTGAGCGGGTGGGAGATTCATTTCCCCTCTTCGTTTCAATACAGCTTTTTTTGTTAATAATACAAAACCTTCTATCGGAGGAAAAGTGAACATGGCTTCTAATTCCTTCAGCATTTTAACTGTGCTGAACACTGGATGGAAGGATGGAATTTACTGCACGATTGAAGGCACATGGAACAGACATGTCTGAGTCAATCTGTTGTGTGTACTTGGATGACTCCTTCATTTGAAAGGTTGTTAATGAAAACCAGCATTTGAAAATGTATGGCAAATTGCAAGGCAATTGTGTTGTATACGTAAAACGTTCTAGCATTGCAAATGTTTATATCATCATTTAGCAGCATGTCTAGCCTGTTCAGCCAGGTGCCTACGTTCACGGCGCTCTTCATCAGATAATACATGGCATGTGAACACTTGAAATTATAAGCCTGGTGATCTTCCAGAACCTTCTGACGCACTCCTTTTGCACCTCACCTTCTTGCCTATTTCTCCTCCTCACTTCACCCCTAGTCACATGACATCCCCGTTAACCAGTCAGCATCAAGCACCTCATGCCTCCTTTCCCACCCGTCAACCAACCAGTGTGGAGCCTTGTGGCCACGCTTTTATCCAGGCTTCACTTTTGGACTTCACGAAATGCCGAATACCTAGCCAAAGAATGTTTCACGTTAAAAGATCCTGCAATATTTTAGTGGCCACTGCTTTATGTAGGTGTTGACCGAAGGAAAAGCAGTCTTTATATATCCTATTTAGGTATTCATATTAAAGCAATAGCCTTATAGTGCCAACTATGCTCAGGAGCCGCGAAAGCACGAAATTTGTAGGTCGGTCAGTTTGTAACCGCTACTAAACGATCTCGAAAAAGTTTGGCAGAGACACTTAAGGCTTACATGTGAGAATGCGGAAGTATGACACACGAAACTATACTCCATGTCACTAGTTTTGTGCAGTGCAGGCAAAGGCAATGCTAGGCGAAGAGAGAAAGGGCGAGTACTAGGTACACGGGATGGGAATGGAGGGCGAGGAAAAAAAAAAAAGAAGAGCACTAGAAACGTTAAGAGGAAAGCAGATTTCTCTGCCTCCCCAGCCCTCCTAGTGCTTTTCCTTTCTACCCTTGCCTGGCGTTGCCTTTGCCTGTATTGCACGCAACTAGTGACACGGAGTATAGGCACGGCTTTAGTCAGCCAGAACCATGGAGCAGCCGTGGCGTCAGTGAAGCGTGCTCGTCTCGCACCCTGGAGGCCCGGGTTCGATTCCCACCCATTTTTTTTTCAAAGCCATTACTTTACTTTGTTTACACGAGCGTCCCTGAAAACCTTTTTGCAGCCAATGGGAATTAAGGTGCCGTTTTCACTGGCTTCACCAGTGTTGTTCAATAAGACAGTTAATGCTTTTGCATTAAATACCAACTGGTTCTAGGGATCGAACCCCGGTCACCGGCGTAAAAGCCGAGTGTGGTGCTGACTGAGCTACAGACCCAGAACGCAGAAAGAGGAGAAACACAAACAGGTGGTGTGAGAAAGTGTGCAGAGCGGAGAGGAATGGAAAGGGCACGAAAGAATATAGCAGAAACAGGTGGTGTAGAAAGAGCGCATGGAATAAGCAGGAGTGGAAGGGACAGGAAAGTGTGATTCCCCTCTCTTGGTGATGCTGAGGGAAGTGCGCGCAGCATCATGAAAAGACAATGGTATGTTGTAATGTGTTTCCATGCAGAACCCTGCCCTAGGCACCACCTGAACTAAGAGCACCACCCACCCCAGGCTCTGAAAGATTAAGGGTTATGCTGCCCTATGCACCACAACTAAAAGTGCCACCCACCTCATAAAGCTAATGCATTTAAACGCGTCTGGCAGAATGACCAAACATGCAGCCATTTAATCTTTACCTTATTTTTGTCGGATGTTCCTTTCAGGAGCGGGCTGTGCAAGCTGTGGTCTGTTCCTGACTGCCAGCCTATCAGGACATTGAGAGGTAGGCTTCGATGCTTCACTCTTTTTTCTCAGAGCTTCATCACTCCAGCCGAGTACCGCGTATCGAGGGTCTTCGATTTTTTTGGCATTTCTTTTTTTTTTTTTACAAGATTTGGTGTGACTGGGCAACATCTACTATTTTACCACAATAAAATTGGTGCATGGTGGCATCCATTTTGTATGGCCATGGCTCCACTGCACAAAATCAATGAAGTGCAGCCGCACGATTGTAAGACGTGTGTTGAGACATTCTTATTGCACACCTTCGCTAAGGCAGTGTTACTGTAGCAGGTCTTTACATGTGTATAAAGCTGCACTCGCACACAATGTGTGAATACCGTATTTACACGACTTGATTTTAAGTCAACCAAACACATCATAAAAAAAATTTAAAAATTTTTAGGCATGCATTTTACGGCAAACATGTGAGAGCGGCAGGGAGTCTCTTTCAAAAGCCTAGCCTCCAGCACGCGCACAATGCCTCCTGGCATGCACGCACAAGGCGTACGAGATGCCCAAGCTTTATCGAAACTAGGAAGCTCGCGCTGGACAACTGAAGCTGCTCCCTGTCGTTCTCACTCTGTCTGCAGCTAGATAGTATGCTTTGTCCACACTGGTGCTGTCCTTCCCGTCATCATCACTGCTACGTTCTCAAAGCACATCGGCGGCGGCATCCAACAAAATCTCGCACTTTGCAAATGACAGCATCAACTGCATCTTCTGCGCTTGCTTGGTGATTGCATCGCACGTCATGGTTAGGAACCGATTGCATGCTTTTGTGGCGTACCGTTGCAGCCTGCCCTCTAACTCCGAAAGGTATCCGAACCTATCCAAACTTTGTCCCGCGGAAGCCTCTTCGTTTGCCGTCACAGTTAAGATTATGTGCCATTGCGGACGCCAGTGGAGCACCGCCCGCTCCGACGGGTCAAACTTGCATCCAGCAGCACAGTTATTGGTTGCTTCTGGATAAAGAATGGCCATAAATGAACGCTGAAAACCTAGTCTGTCTGGATCACGCGCGTCAATACAGAGAAACATAGTTGGCACCGGGCACTTAGCCAGGGGGGGAGGGGGCCCATTGGGCCCCCCCCCCCCCAAATCTTCTAATTTGCTGGGGCTTCCCCTCCCCCTCATGCAGCCTTTTGTCATGGGCGAGCCCCCCCCCCCCCCCAAATCAGAATCCTGGCTATGTGCCTGGTTGGCACTTCAGCATAATCTTGACACTCAAACAAACGACGTGCGACCATGAATCATGCAAAAATGTGTGAACAAAAGCAGCAGGGAGCACGGCTGTTCCAGCAGCCATTCTGGAGTGACCCTTACATCAAGTGCCGTCACCCCCGGGAGTCGGGTGGCCTATGCGCCAGTCACCACCATACATTCGGGCTAATTTGCGAATCGCTATAAATAATACTTGTTCATGCAAATAAAAAAAGAAAGATCTTGTCAAACGAGCGCACAGAATGGGGCAATGCTACAAAACAGCCGGCTGAACTCGTAACAAGTCGAGGAATTCTTGATATCACAATTGTTTTGTTTTTGACAGCAGTGGAATGCTTTGGTTCGATTATAAATCGACCCCCCCCCCCCACTTTACATTTAAAAATAATTAAAGATGGGTCGACCTACATTCATGTAAATACGATACAGCTTCATACACAGAAAACAACAAAGGCCATACAAGTTGATCGCATATTTGTGTAAGGTTTTAAAATGAAACATTTAGAATCAAACTCCAGTGTTCCTCTAACGCAGTTTTAAAACTTGTAACCCAGCTTATCGCATGGACGTCAGGAGTGGGGGACGTCTAGATCAAAATGTTTGGGAGCTTGTTAGGGGCCACGGTGGTCTCTAGCAGAGGGTGCCCTCTTTCCAAAGGCCACAACTGCAACGTGGGAGCCATCACATTCCATCCACGCTCTACCTTCATCCAGTCCGAGAACTCGCTGAACCTGGCTTCCTGCTCCACTGACGGACTTGTCAACCTGTGGAACCTGAAAAGGTGACTGCTTGCATTTGTGCGGCTTTGGTCTTTAGATGGATGAATGCATACGGTTGAACCCTATTAATCGGGCGGTCGCTTGTGCCACCTAGCTCGAGTTTTTTTAACACCGACACACTTGAATGCCGACTGGTATTCATTCCCCTCTTTTCTCAACAAAACATGCACATATTGAGATTTTAAAAATAAGGTGGAATGTGCTTTTGTTTTTGATACACGCTACAGTTGGTCCAAACGAAACGGGCAAGAAAAGAGAGAGAAGAAATTGCACATACATCAAGTGCGACAATCAATGCTGCGATAAAAAGGCAAATGTCATTATTTATTGCTTAAAGTATTCTAAACGAGTACTCTGAAAAAGAATTGTAATTTCACCCGAGCAATCTCAAACAGAATATTTCGCGCTAAATTTATGGTAACCGTATAAAACGTGCGCAGCATTTGGTCGAAGTCAACTGTTTGTAATTTAGTGGCATGATTTGATTACTACTTTTTGCTTGAAAAGGTATTTCTTAGTGGAAATTTCAACTCAATAAAGTGCAGTCCACTTATAACGATACTATTAAATGCGGAAAATCCGATCGTTATAACCGATTATCGTTGTATCCGAACTGACCCTGAAAACTGCCCAAAATAGTTCCCCCAAGCAGAAGGTTACTCATCAGTGTTCACTGAATCACACCATAGAAGAAGCGCTGCAAAATAACAAAGTTTTATTGTAGGGTCATCAGCAAGCATGCAATGAAATGGTGTTAAACACGCTAAAAAAAATCCAAGATCTCCGCTTGCTTGTGCGGCAGCTGCAGCTTGACTATCGCAGTGTGCATACAGCTCGTACAAGGCTTCCCTAAGCCTTTTCCGCTGGTCGTCAAAGCCGCTTGTTCCAGCCTTCTTCATTATGATGTCCCCGGATTTCAGGATGGTCAATATCGTCGACTGAGAGTGCTCGCACTTCCGCACGAGACTTCTGACCTTGAATCCTTGCCGCCAATCACGTAAGATTGGCTTTTTCTCCTCAAAGGAGATAGCTTTTCGCTTCGTCGGAGCTATCTTTCACGCCAGCGACGCGGGGAAGAGGAGGGCGGGGAGGGGTTACGAGGTTACGGGTATGATGACGATGATAGTGCCGAGGTTTTAAGGCCACGCGCAGCGCCTACTCACGAAGTATTCGGTCGGGGCCCATCGGTGATGATCGCGTCCGCCGATCTCGGTCGTTTCTTCGCGGAATTTTACAATTTTTATCTCATTTTCTGTTGGATTTTCGTAGTAAACACATTCTACGCGATCATTTATTGATCGTTATATCCGATATGCCGGGAAAAATGCATCGCTATATATGGTTTATTCTTATATAGAACCAATGCAAAAATTGATGCTTCTATAAAATCGATCGTTATAACCGATATATCGTTATAAGTGGTATCGTTATAAGTGAACTGCACTGTAGTTGTCTTTTAGACATATCCTTTCCAAAAAAAAATTAAAGAAAGAATCATTAATTGATTTTTAGGGAATGCGTTAGCATGACTATTGGGAGGTGCCACACATGTCCCCCTTTGGGAAACCCTAACGCTGACCCCTCATTTTTTTGTTTTGGCTTTCTCTTTTACTTCCTGTATTTTTTGCTGCCTCTTTTTGGCTTTGTTACGGAGTCAGTGTTACCGTTTCTTAAAGGGGGATGTGTGTGGTGTTTCTTAAGGGTCATGCTAACATACCCTCCAAAAATTCCCCAATGGATCTTTTTTAAAAACTTTTCCAGCGAAGGGGACTCGCTGACCTTGCTTTGCCCCAGCCTTTGTTGCATGCAGACCCGCATCGGCTTGCTGCTTCTTGCACCACATTTCAGCCAACTGCCCTAGACGCTGCTTCCGCTCCTTTGTCTCGTTCGCCCACCTTGCACGCTTAGCAGCGGCGTCCGCTGCCTGACGCTGTTTTCTTTCGCACGGATTGACTTCCGCCATCTGACATCGCCTCCCTCTCGCCTTTGTCCTTCACTACCCTCCTCCTTTATATGCAGTGCACTTCCCTTTGCACGGTTTTGTCCGCAGGCGGACGGCGTCTGCTTTTTCCTGTCATGTAGGCTCTAATGCTAACAAAACAAATGGCCAGAGATTGCAAGAATAAAGTTATATTCTTTGAAAGCGCGTGTGGCCACTCCTATTGTTCCGTCTCTCGAACTCGGCACCGAGTGCAGCGAGTTGCCTAAGAATTGTGCGAAATGGTAAAGGCCCTGCAACAGTGTGACGTCGTCTGTTTGTGTCTCTTTCAGCGAGGAACCCATCAGCTCCCTGAAAGGGATGTGCCCTCACAGGGTGTCCAGAGTTGCATTCCACCCATCAGGAAGGTTTCTTGCCTGCTGTGTGTATGTGGACGTCTTTTCATATTCTTGTCTCTTTGAGAGTAAGACCTTCGAATAGGGTTGTTTGTTTTTTGGAACAAAGAAAACACTATCAAGGGCCTACCTAACTGCTGGTCACTGACACATGCTGTACTTCGTTTCACCTTAAATCCAGATGCAGCCGACGCTACGAGCTGGCACGACCAATCGGAAGGCGTCAAAAGCACACCATCATGGTGTTTGTCATGTTTTTATTTGTGTTCTATCGTCACTGAACCAATCATAAACAGAAAAAACCCAGTGACTGCACTTTTGATGCTGCTTGATTGGTACCATCATCTTGTAGCGTCAGTTACGCCTGGAGTGTAAGCTGAAACGAAGCATAGTGCTGTGTGAATGTTCGAAATTTCAAATAGTAGTTTCAAATAATACACTATGCAATATTTGCTTCGAAAATAACTGCTATTCATATTTTTTCAAGTGTTGATTGCACTTCTTACCATGCACCGGTGCACTGCGGAGAAGCAACACCCGTGGAAGCGAGCTTTGCAGGTATTGCTTCTCTGCAGTGCACCGGTGCTTGGTATGAAGTGCATTCGACGAAGTAACCCGCTGCGATTAACGCTTGAAAAGGTATTAATATCGCTGTTGCATGCTTGGAAGAAAAGCACACTTTCAAGGGGGGTGCTGCACGTGCGCGCCTTGTGTATTTGATGAGAAACGAAAACTTTATCTACATTGCAGTAAAATTTCAAAACTAAACTCTGACTGTTCTGCAAGACTAGAGGTTAGACAGATATGTCCCGACAACCTGTGTCCACCATGCTCGATTCTTTTTCTTTTAATTCGAGATTGAAGAAATGATATTTGCTTGTAGCAGGTTTTGTAAATTCACTAAATTGGGTATAGTTGGGCATCTCTATGGGATTAATGTTCTGTCAAATCCGTCATTTACTTGCATATCCTAAGCCATCAGACTTTCTGAGGTTACCGTCCATAAATATGGATAGATTAAAATTAGCACATAAATGGACAAGTTGATGCTCGGGAACAACCTGCACGAGTTTAGCTGGGTTTTCATAATTCAATATTTGATTAAAAAATGTTTGGCCAAAAGCACTGTTCACTTAGATTTCACTTCAAATTCAAAATCCACTATTCATACTTGAATAATAAATACCAACAAAAATGAAGGACTGAATACTGATCCCTGGGTACTCCCGAAAACGATGGGTATTTCCATAGACTTGACTTTATCAACATTGCCATACCGTCAACAATTCTAAAGGTAAGGTTCAGTTCACCGGAAAAGACGATCATCGTTCAGTACCTGCACTCCATCCCACAGCATTTGAGTAAGGTACTACACGACTCTGGGACAACTTTTTGAGGCACTGGGAGTCAAAACTGCCAGTGCTTGTGCAGCTTAGCCGCCGACAAAGGCAACGCGCACACCTATTTCGCATCCCGATTACCGTAGGAACTTGTCTCCAGGTACCTTCCTATATGAAAGCCAAGAATGTAGCTCCGCAAGGTGCTACGCTTTCGTGAACGCTTGTATGATAAAACCACATGCTTGTGTTCATGCCTCCTGTTGACCCCGCAGGGGGCACCTGTGAAAGCAGGTGTTTGGAGAGTGGCGTCTCCACGGACCCCGAGCCATGCGGGTTCGCCCGCCCACGTCTGGCTGTGCGTGGCTCTCCCGTGTCCGGGGAAAAGGGCATCCTGGTGGTTGAGCCGAGCCCGGGGTAGGTTTGGACCCTTCGGGGCCCCCCGGGTGAGGCAATACACCACTTCGGCCCCCGCTTCCCGTAGACGGGTGTCCTGGCTTGGCCCGACCAGGATAGTTCAGTCAGTCGCCATTTCTTCTACTATCCCCTCTTTTCTTTCTCTTTCCTCCTTTCTCCTATTCTTCGCTTTCACCTTCTTTGGCGGCAAGGGCTAACTTTGGGTGGCGACAGAACTCTTTCTTGACCCACACTTGGTTATAGCATCCGGGTAGCACTGATAGAGTAGCATACTCAGACAAGCCAGACCTGTTATGAGATGTTACCTATCCCCTTGTTGGACTCCGCGGTGGGTGGTGCGCTACGGACGCCGAAGTTTCTTGCCCTTCATATGGGTTCCAAACAAAAAACCTCCCCTGATCGGACCCTGAAAAGGGTTCGGACCGAAGTATTCACCAAAGACACATCAGCCACAGCCCAGAATAGCTTCAGCCACTTTCTGGTAATGCACTCAGAACAAAATGGAAAACCACTTGCTAAGCTCTCACCCTTCCTTATTTCTAAGACTTTAGAACACCTAATCGGTCAAAACTTTAAAGCAAAAAAACTAGCATCCGGTGACCTGCTCGTTGAAGTAGAAAATGGAGTACAGAGTGTGGTTCTTTTGGATCTAAACAAGATATCTGACTACAAAGTATCCGTCACTCCACATCGCACCTTGAACAGTTGTCTGGGAGTCATCTCGGAGGATGACCTGCTAGAATCTAGCGAGGACGAGATCTTGGAGGGCCTTTCTGGGCAGGGACTGGTCGCCGTGTGACGAATCTCTATACGCAGAGATGGACAGGAGAGACCCTCGAAGCATCTAGTTCTCACTTTTTCTTCCACTGTACTGCCCGAGACTGTCAAAGCAGGCTATCTTTACTGTAAGGTGCGCCCTTATATACCTAACCCGAGACAATGCTTCAAGTGCCAGAGATTTGGTCACAGCTCGGTCACGTGTCGCGGGAAAACGACGTGCGCAAAGTGCGGAGCTACAGACCATCGAGCTGACACATGCGAGGGTACACTTCTCAAGTGTGTCAACTGCCTTGGTGCCCATCCAACCTACTCGAGCCTGCTCGAAATTTCAAGAAGAAAAGAAGATCTTGACGTTAAGGGTAAAAGAGAATCTTACATACCCTGAGGCAAGGAAACAATTTTCCTTCCTCCGAGAAGGCACCTACGCCGAGGCGGCTGCCAGGGGGGCAGCGCCGCCTCTCAAGGCATCGGTGGGCACTCAGTACAGTCCTCAGGACTTTGAGTGCTTCACCAGCCCCCCAATTCCAAGCAGGCCTCTGTGGGTTCACAGACCCCGGCAGCCCCGCCAAAACATCCACGTGCCAGGACGATGCCTCATCGTCTTGGCCCGAAGCCTTGAGTGGTGCTAGACACCACTCCCTCTCACAGCAGTGAGGGGCCCACTCCTTCCACTTCCCAGCGAGAGGAGGAGGCCACGGAGGTATCTGTCGATCCGACAGAACCACCTCCACCTGCCAAGGGAGGCACAAAATCTGCTCCCGAAAAGGGGGATCAGAAGAAAAAACCTCCACGTGTCACTGCCCCAACTAACCCAAGCTAACCTTTGTCCATTTGGTCACAGCTACGAACCCCACATTTTAACTACATCTTAAGCAAGCAAACAAATGGGCCATGTTGGCTTCCTGCAATGGAACTGCCGGGGTCTACTACAAAACATAGATGACATTCATTATTTTCTGGACGAGCTGCAGCCTATTGCTGTCTGTTTGCAGGAAACTCATCTGAAGAACACTCACACTGATATTTTACCCCGTCACCGTGTTTTAAGGAAAGATTGTTCGTCAGCCCAGTCTTCTGGTGGCAGTGGCGTAGGCAGGGGGGGGGGGTTTGGGGGGTCGAAACCCCTCCCGAAATACCAAAGCTACCCTCCCCCCCCCCCCTTCCCTCCCCAACGGGCCCGCTCGCTGCCCTGCTCACGCAGCCGGTTTTGCACGAGGCACGGAGCAACGGGGGAGCACGGACCATCTCCAACTTACAGGCTTCCGGAAAAATTTTTGGTGGGGTAGAAAATGCTCAGATTAATAAAATATGCAATATTGCTTAATTCATGTTAATTCGATGGGATGCAGAACTTGATCTCAGATATATAGAGAATGGATATTTCAAGATATTTGTCGGGTGAAGGATGGCAATTTCAACGCAAAATATGACAAACTATCCTCACTTAAATACACAGTTCAATCAAACCAATGTGAACATAATACAACGAACACACGGTGATAATATAAAACAAGTCAGTAATGTAAGGAATAATAAATGAATTGTAAAAAAAAACAATCACTTTGTAAGCAACGGGTGGCGCTGCGCTCACGCACACCTTTTGTGATCAGAATTACGTGCTTTCGACTAGACATTACCGCGAATAAATAGGTAACTCTGACTAGTGATATTAGAATGCAATTTACAGGTTCTCTTTATCATCTCAGATATGCCAAGCGCCTACACATTAAAATGAAGTCGCTTGCGTTGACGGAAAAAAAATATCCCGGACGTCCTCAGCTTGAACTTTAATGTCGCGGTGAACATTCAAAAACGCTATACTTCGTTTCAGCTTAAATCCAGGTGCAGCCGATGCCACAAGCACGAGTTCAGGGCTTTCAGCGTCCCTGCCAAGCACGCGCGTTCGTGCAGCGCAAGCATTGTTCAGGGCCACATGTTCACGCCTGTAGCATCGACTGCGTTTGAACTGAAGCTGAAACGAAGCATAGACCGAGCAGTCGCTCACTCGAAGTGGACGCTCTCAGCTATGTTTCCAACCGTCGTAGTGAAGAGAACGAGCGCTCAGCTTCTGCCGTTGTTAAGGGCAAAGCAACTAGAATCTTGAGGAGACGATGGACGTTCTGAAAAAGGGCCTCCGGACAGAGGGCGACCGCCTGTATACCGCAGATGTGACGGGCGCTTCAAAGTTTCTCCCTCTTGCATTGGACGCCTAAAATTTCCCCTATTTTTGGTGAAGTTTCCCTCACTTTGCGAAAGTCGTCGCTCACGGATGCGATGAAGTCCGTCTTGCTTTCTGCTTTGTATGTCAAGGTGGCATGCGATGCAATTCCTTATTACTATTAGGTTAATCTCTCCGCTGCACGGAACATCCGAAACTTGAAGAGACAAGCCTTCATATTCTCACTACGCACAGGCGCAAGGCTAGTCAAGTTCCTTTCCACGTTCGGCGTGTAGTTTCTTTGTGGTGCGTCATGTCATTTCTCCGAGTGACGGAACGACGAGTTCGGACTGATGACTTCTTCTTACCCCGAGGATATGCTGCTGCTGCCTTTGGATCACGCTGCAAGATAAAACGACCTAGCAAAGATAACACTATCTTTCCTTCGGCATCTGGTTCTGTAGCACGAATTCGTTAAACATTTAATAGATAATAGATTTTGGTTTTGCGATTGTTCAGAATTACCTTCGGCCCTAAATATGGGCCCCTAAAGACTAAAGTGTTTGTGCGTGGTCGGTTGCTCCCATTTTTCAGTGTCGAGATTTTTTTTCTTTTTTTTGTATGTGTGTGAAAGTATAGCTATTTTTGTGTTTTCTCTGGCCTTTACGCGTTGGTATTGCGGTGCTACTTCGAAAAGCCAAGGGAGTTTTGTGTTGTGAGAAAGCGTTCAAAGTTGGTGGGCCGCAATTACGACGACAGTAGAACAGTGAGCCACCCCGCCCGTATTCCTGTAAATGAAGCCTGCTCCGTTTTTAAAAATGACAATGCAGCGCAACCCGTATTATCTTAACAGCGTCTCCCTAATCTTTGCCTGAGCGTCCGTGTCGGCGAGCTCACCCTCCGTCATTGACCGGGGGGGAGGAGATGCCGTTGAACCCCTCCCGAAATAAAATCCTGGCTACGCCACTGTCTGGTGGTGTTGCTGTGGTTGTACGGAGAGGAGTAGCATGTGCTGGGGTCTCTCTTGTACACCACTTGAAGCTGTGGCAACCCGTGTTTTAGTTGACCGGCTCATTACCCTTGTGTCATTATATCTTCCCCCACATGTTCCACTTCATATTCATGAACTCGAAGGTCTTATTAATCAACTGCCACAACCCTTTCTAATTTTAGGCCATTTTAATGCTCACAATCCTATGTGGGGCAGTGACCGACTTGATTCTCGTGGTAAGGTCATAGAGCGTCTTTTACTGTCTTCAGGTTTGTGTCTTTTAAATAACAAAGAACCAACATTTTACAGTGCACCTCATAACTCTTTCACATCCATCGACCTGTCTATTTCATCACCCTCATTGTTTCCTTGTTTTTCTTGGAACGTTTTAAAGAACCCTTTTGGGAGCGACCATTTTCCGGTCATTTTAAAAAGCATTGTCGCACTTCCCACCATTTTAAAGCGCGTTCCTAGGTGGAAGTTAGAAAAGGCAGATTGGGGGCTTTTTAAATTAAAGGCAACGCTGGATGCCTCACTCCTGGCAAGTTTGTCTCCAGAGGATGCCACATTATATGTCACCAAACATATTCTTAATGCAGCTTTTGAGGCTATTCCGCAGACTTCTGAAAACATGCCGAAGAGGTGTAAGCCATGGTGGAACAAAGACTGTGCATCTACAAGAAAAGAACAGCATAAAGCCTGGGATACGTTCAGACGGTACCCTACTTCGCTCAATAGAATAGAGTTCAAAAGGAGAAAAGCAAAAGCTCGATGGATGAGGAAACGAGCTAAAAGAGGAACTTGGGTGAAGTATGTTTGTCTCGTCCAAGGAAGTGTGGGATCAATACCGCAAAATCAAGGGTGATTATCATGCTTTTGCGATTCTTCTTTTCCATTCCACAATCTCGCTTAGAGATGTGGCTAATGTCCTCGGAGAGCAGTTCCACAATGTTTCTAGCTCCGATAACTACCGGGCAGAATTTAGACAATTCAAGGCTCGTGCAGAATGCCATCGCATTAGTATGTCTGGAGGAAATACTGCCGGATACAAAAAACCTTTCACAATGCACAAACTTAAGTTGGCTCTTAGTCTAAAGAAACAGTCGGCCCCTGGCCCTGACAGGATTCATTACGAGATGATTCGTCAGTTGGCCCCAAAATCTCTGGAAACTTTGCTCTGGTTTTTTAATCATCTGTGGAAGCAGGCATACTTTCCCCAAGCCTGGAAGCAGGCCCATGTTATCCCATTGTTGAAACCTGGTAAAGGCTCGTCAGTTCCATCCAGCTACCGCCCTATTGCACTTACGAGCAGTCTTGGCAAAATATTTGAGCGGATGATTAATAGGAGACTGGTGTATTTTCTTGAAATGCGAGGTTTCTTTGATCGGAACCAATGTGGTTTTCGTGGAGGGCGGTCAACTGTTGACCACCTAGTGTGCCTGGAAACGACTATACGTAACGCTTTTGTGAACAGGCAGCACTGCGTGTCAGTCTTCTTTGACTTGGAGAAGGCGTACGACACGGCATGGCGGTATGGAATACTTAGGGACCTGTTTGCATGAGGTTTACGTGGTCGCATGCTCTGTGTTATAAAAAACTTTCTGTCTGACCGAACATTCAAAGTTAGACTAGGTGCCACATATTCATACCTTTTTATTCAGGAGAACGGGGTGCCACAAGGGGTGTCTTGAGAGTTACACTATTTGCCGTGAAGATCAACTCTCTTTCGAAGGTTATACCACGCACCGTCTCTTACTCCTTGTACGTTGATGACGTTCGAATATCAGTTTCTTCTTGCAACCTCTCCAGCTGTGAACGCCAGCTGCAGCTCGCAATAAATAAAATGAGTAAGTGGGCCGACGAAAATGGTTTCCGGTTCTCACCTGAGAAGACGGTGTGCGTACCGTTCTCTCTAAAACGTGGAATAACGCTGGAACCATCATTAGAGATCAATAGAACTCCCATAAGTACCCGAAATGAACACAAGTTCTTAGGACTCATTTTTGATAGGAAGCTAAATTTTATTTCAAATTTGAAACAGCTGAAACTTAAATGCCTAAGGGCTGCTAATATCCTTAAAGTCTTGTCACACAGGTCATGGGGATCTGACAGAAAGTGTTTGCTGCGCCTGTATAATTCCCTCGTCAGGTCCCGCATTGATTACGGAGCAGTAGTTTACGGATCGGCAAGGTTATCGGCACTCAAGACTCACCACCTTGGCCTTCGACTTGCCACAGGGGCTTTTTGGACATCTCCAGTCCTCAGTTTATATGTAGAGACAAATCAGATGTCGCTGGAAAAAAGATGGCAATATATTAGCTTGATTTACGCCTACAAAGTCCTGTCCGACCCTAACCATCCAACATACCGCTGTGTGCATGACTCTAGTTCTTCCCTTATTTTTCAAAATAAGCCTAGTATTGTGCGGCTGCTCTGTCTTCGCCTTGAAGACATCCGTCAATCTCTTGGTCTTGAACTGAATGACATAAGCTTACTCGAAAGGATTGACACTGTTGCGCCTTGGGACCTGCTGTCAGTCAGCTGCGATTGGTGTTTCACCAGGTTCAACAAACATGACATTTCTCCCATAATCATCCAGCGGGAGTTTCATGAGGTACTAAAAAAAATACAAAGGTTATGCACAGTTTTAAACCGATGGGGCAAAGGCCTCCTCTTTTGTTGGATCTGCTGTGTACTCTGAATCATTTATGAGCGTTCAGCGGTTGACCAGTGTTGCTGGTATATTCACTGCAGAACTACGAGCTGTATTAACAACAGTGGACTATACAATGAAGGCCGTCGTGTTTGTTGATTCTCAAAGTGTCATAACTGCAATCAGCTCTGTAAAGGATTCAAAACATAATCTCATCCAGCTTGTGCGTGCAAAAATAAATAGGGGCCTACAAAAGGGGCATGACATCATATTTTGCTGGGTACCCAGCCACGTTGGGCTCAGGGGCAATGAGAAGGCTGACAGGCTTGTGGCCTCTTCCAAAAACTTGGTGGAAACACGTCTGCAGCTACCACATCAAGACCTGAAGCCTATTTTTAGGGCAGCAATTTTCCTAAAATGGCAAACAGAATGGAATCAACAGCATGACAATAAGCTACACCCCATCAAACCTGTTTTAGGAATATGGGAGAGCTCTTCCCATAAAACCCGGTCTCGTGAGATATTACTCTGTCGCTTGAGGCTTGGTCATTCTTATGCCACCCATGCTTACTTGTTGCATGGGGCAGATCCACCTTCTTGCGAACACTGTGGTGAGATCTTGACGGTCTGGCATATTCTTGGTCTCTGCTCTGCCCTTGCACAAGAAAGACGCTCCTGTTTTCCGGAATTCGCAATGTATTGTATTCCATTTCATGTTGCACTAGTGCTTGGCGAGCAGCCGATTATTCCCTTTGAACGTGTTGTTTCCTTGAGAAAACAGGTTTTTTGCATAAATTCTAGCTTTTACAACATGCACTTTCTATAGTATGTTATCACCACAGATAATTAGGTCCTTCTAAGCATTTTGTCCTTTGCCCGAGTATCTGACTTTTACTTCTACATTAAATAACACTCTACCTTTGCTTTGCGTAAATATTTAAGTTTGGCACAGTATGGCCACGTCGCTGTTGCGCCAGAAAGCCCCTAATCAATCAGTCAATGCCTCCTGTTGAAGACTGTACAGAACTCTTAAGGTTGAGTAATTTTAATTATATGCTTCACAAGGTTCGGTGCGACCACTTTTTGTTTGTTTTCGTTTGGAGGTCAGGAATGCCTCTGCGAAGCCGTGGGAAGCACCAGATTTGTGTGCATCATATTGCTCCTCCCTAGGCTCACCAGCGCTTCATGAGTGGGGGTGTCTTGTTCATGTTGGCACATGGTACTACTATTGCACATTCATGTGGCAAAGAGGCAGAACTTGAGACCCGACGTCAGAGTCAACAAATGAGAAGAGCGAAGACGAAGTGATGTCAGGTTTGACAAGTAGCGCTAGAGGAAAATAATGTCAGCATCAAGCATTGTTTTCTATGCGTTTTGTTTTCTAAAGAGAGAGCCGTACAAATGCCAGGCTATTTAAGAATTGCATTGCCCCAGCGGCAGCATTCTTGTCCAAAGCTAGGTGCGCAGGCCTCACCTCGAGTGGCCACGGAGAAGGTCAGTGAAGCGTCCAGTAAGTTCCCTTCTTGATTCGTAGGACTTCCCGTATATTTCTGCAAAGACGTCGGGAGTCTGTGGGTCCTCGCTTAGAAGAGACCACCGTCGCCGACATTTACTCGTTCCAGCTGACCAACTGTTGCACTCAGCCATTAGTGTCCTCGAAGCCTACTTTGAATGTATCTCGTGCTCCCAGGTTTGACAACTCCTGGCGACTCGTGGACCTCGAGAGGGAGATGGAGGTCCTGCATCAGGAGGGCCACAGCAAGGCCGTCTACGACATCAGCTTCCAGTGCGACGGATCGCTAGCAGCCACGGGGTAGGTTTGGGCCTTTCAAGTTCTGAACGACATACTGTCGTGGGACTACGTCTAAGCGCCGTGGGACTATGTCTAGGTGCCACAGAGTCAAGTTTAATCTTCAATCGCCTGCAATGCTGAAGGCCGGTTCACACACCTGCAACTGCTTATGACCGGAAAGGTTAAAACCATTGGATTTAAGCCTCTTACGACTGCACAGACAGTTGTAGCAGTTGTAAGATGCTTAAAAATGGATTTTAGCCTTTTCGGTCGTAAGCAGTCGCAAGTGCTTGAACTGGTCTAGAGGTTGCCAACTGTGTTAGTTGAGTGCGAGCAGCCACGGTGTAGACGGTGCAATACACAATCCCTTTTGCCTCCTTGAGGCACACCGATTGGTTTTGTCCTCTGTGAATGTATGATTTCTCTGGATCTTCGGCCCTCGTACCACTGCAGCAACGGACAAAAAAGAATACTCGCAGACCCGTCAAATATGCTTCGTTGACGACGTCTGTGCCTCAGTTTTGCCGACCGACCACGTAACGATGTGTTTGTCAAAAAGCTGTTCGGTGAAAGATTACTCGGGTCTGCAAAAAGATGGTTTCTCTCTGCCAGCTTTGTGCGGCCCCGGAGAGGTTGAATATGGTTTGTTACTATGATGGCAGCCGGTGCTTGCAAAACAGGGTGAGGGTAGGTCGCAGCTTTGTAGTTTCTGCACTCCACGAATATCTGGCGACTGCATGGAAGTCCTACGTCGAAATTGGTGTCACTTTCTTCCCTCGGGGAAGACAATAGCCAGAAAAAAAAAATGTTTTGTGAAAAAAGTTGATGTTTAAAAATTTCATATTTACATCTGCCAACATCTAGATAGTGTTCCCAGATAGTTCAATTTGTTTATGCTGCAGAGTTTTTTTTTTTTTATAAATTATAATTATTTTCAATCCACGAATGCTAAAGGAGCTGTGCAACAATTTCAGTGCTTTGCTTAAATAATTTGGGAGTTGGTGTCTCTACCTTTCTGAAAAAAAGAACAAAAAGCCGCTTTTGCCTGCATGTTTGAGTTTTTATTTTAAAAATGGACAAAGATTTAGGTTTTTTGGTGCCTCTCAACTCCTTCGGCATCTTCCGAGTTACGTGCGCTGTGATGTCAATGGGGGTCACACGGGGTTGCGATGAAGCTCTCTCTTTAGAGCCATCAGTGAGCAGCGAGAACTCGTCTGCTCGCGACCGCTTGACCACGTGCTGGCACAGCGCGAACAATATGGTGAGAGGAGGACGTCTCATCCAGGTCCGGCCATCAACGTCCGGCACTGTCCTGTCCCCCTCCGGCTTCTTGTGGCTGTTCGCAGTAGCAGATAAAGCTGATGGTTTTCTGGATAAGGATAGATGGCGCCACTAAAACTCCGTATAATAAAAGTTTTGTCGATGATACCAGGTTTTTGACGCATTTATGTTAATGTTGGAACGACAAGATTTATAGAAAAGTTACTTTTTATCGAGCAGGTATTCGCACAACTTGCTATCTTTCTACAAGACCCCCATTGACGTCATACCGCGTGTTTCTCGTGGCCGCCGCTCACGGCTGCAGGTCGGGGAATATTCTAATTTTCGCCTCGCGATTACGCGGCGGAATCGCAACATTTCGAAGGAAGAAGGTGTTTTTTGTGTCCTTTCTGGCTAGACGAACAATGTCAAAAGTAGAAGGTGCCAATTCTTTCAACGTTAAAATCGTTGCGCCTTAAAGAAAAGGTAGAAGTTCAAACACTCTGAACACGTTTTTCTTTTTCCCACTTTTTGGCCTAAATTTCACTTAAATCTATCATTTCAGTATAAAACTATCGAGAGACTTAATTTTTGCAGCTTTTATTTAAAATATTTGTGGAGCTGGCTACTATGAACTTGGATTTTGCATTTTTATGTTCCTTTATTATGAAAAATTTTTAAATGCAGAACTTGGTAAATGTAAAAAGAAAAAAATATTAATATCTTTCTAGCTGGAAAACACATTATTTGTCAAATTTCTTTTCATAGCAACAGCTATTCCAGTAGGCATTTTACCAGAAAAATATGTGGTTATCAACACCATTTCTCGAAGATGGGTTCGATAGCAGATTCCATGCCAAGCTATCCTTTACTTCGTTCTGGGGGTATAGTACTGCATAAAATTGGTTCACAAGGCTGAAACTCTTTATGCCCTCCTTCTGCATGGCTACAAACACCACCTGCAAATTTCACGCCGATTGAGTGAGCGGTTTAAAGGTTGAAATTCCCAGGTAGTGTTTTCCCCTACAGCAGTTAAAGTTGCCCAATGACTCTTCCTTTGTCCAGTGAATAGCTGACCGACTGACCCAGTTGCAGAGTTATCTTTGTTTGGAGACTAATGTTGACCTTCGAACAAAGAAATGTTTATTGTTTGGATTGCTTTGCCTGCATTCTCTATCAACCTCCTTTGGGTTCACGCAAGGCGCTGCAGTTTAAATGAAACCACGTAATCTGATTGGCTGCTTTAAAATATGTTCTTCGGTCAGCATGAAAAAAAAAAAAAAGCTACAGCTGCACTTAGTTTTGTAGTGAATCTGCACATCCAGACTTCATTCATTTTCTTTATTCTTTTCTTGTCCCGCGTACTTGCAGTGGTATGGACGCCTTTGGCCGCATTTGGGACCTCCGCACGGGGCGCTGCATCATGTTCCTCGAGGGACACCTCAAGTCTGTGCTCAGCTTGTCCTTCTCACCCAACGGGTTTGTCTGCAAGCTTTTTTTTCCCAGACGCTTTTACTGTTGCCGGTGAGCTAGATGGAATGGAAGGATGTGGCTCCCTCTCCTCCGGTCTTGTCTCTTCATGGTGCCATTCCTGTTGGCAGGAGGTCAAAAATTGCACCACATCACGCATTAATTCTGGAGCTTTCAAAATTTTTGGACTCAAGGAAACCGCCCTCCACCTCAGTGATTAGCAGAGGAGCTCCTTCCGGTTCTGGCATTAATGCAATGAAGCAGTGGACGAGCCCACTGACAACGTAAACAGTAATGTGCATACTGGGGAATGTTTGGCTCGTAGTTGCGCATCAGTCGGTACTCGCAGGGTGTCTAGCGACCGGGAAAACCGGGAATTGTCGGGGAAATTTTAATTACCAAGAAAAAGCAGGGAATTGTCAGGGATGTTGTCAAAAAGCGAGCCCAGTCAGGGAAAATGAGCCGGAAACGCCATTGAGTGCCCTGAGCAAATACTTGAGGACTCGGGGGCAGAAAAATAGGCAATAAATTCTGCTTAGAGCGGTGCGCGGGCTCTGCTTACCTGCTGCGAAGGGAACGTCCAGTTCAAGGCTTGGATTGAATTGAATTGGATTGAGGGCACGACACTAGGCTAGATCCAGCTAGAGCTACTAGATTTAGTAACAGATGGGAAAGCCTCAGACCCCAATCCAATTCAAGCCTCAAGCCAAAAGTATCCGAAAGTGTGCATCTGGCGGTCATGCGCCATGCTGCCATTAGGTTATTGACGTGTCTGGTTGAGCGTCGTGTTTTCATTGTGTTTCCAGAAGTGGCCTTTTCACTGATGATGTCGGCGGCAAGGAAGTGCTAATTTAATAGGGACTGGACGAAAAATTGAGGCTTACAGTGCTCAATGCTCAATACCTTGTGTTGTAATGGTCTTATATATTTAACCGCCTCTACAGTGGTCAGGGAATATCACTTGGAACTGTCAGGGAAAACCTGGAAAAGTCAGGTAATTTCGAGACAATAATTTGCTAAACAGCCTGACTCAGGTCTGCCGAAATAGTGCTTAAGCTGGGGAAACGCTTTATACATATAGGCAGGAATGTCCGAGCAAATTTCGGACCTCGGGGGGACAAAGAAGGGTGCTCTGGGTAATCTGTATGTGTCTGAATTTAGAACCCATACATTAACCTATCAGCAGCTGTATAGGGAAGCCAATTTCTCAATCGCTGTTTAACCCTCTAGCTCCGAATTTCTTTTTGTTGAAACAAAAGACTTCCTCCCACTTCTTCATAATCGGTATTTCATCAAAAGGTGCAAATATGTTTTACCTAAAAACCTCATTGCAAAAAAAAGAAGAAAAAAAAAATGTGAAGACAAAAATAAAAGAAAGCCCAATCCTTGGAATATTGTTTAACCCTTCAGTTCTAAATCTGCTTTTGTCATGACAATAACTAACTTTCTTCAGTGTTTTTATAATCAGTATTTAATCAAAAGATGCAAATATATTAGCACCTCAAAGCCACATTGTTAAAAAACTAAAAAACTTTGCAAAAAAAAAAAAAAAAAAAATTTACAAGCTTTGGGAATGGGTTGTAGGAACTTCGGGCATCTGCGAGATCCCAATCAGGTACTTCTATGGTATGCTTGTGTTCTCACTAAGGCTTGATGGAAACCCGCTGTTTGCTATTGCAGGTATGTTTTAGCAACTGGCAGCGAAGACAACACCATCAAGGTATGGGACCTGAGGCAGCGCAAGTGTGAATACACCATACCAGCACACACTAACTTGGTGTCTCGAGTCATCTTTGAGAGTAAGTGGACAGATTTGTGTGCATAATGTCACAGTGATGGGCTGTGTGTTTGGAGCCTAGCATCTTGCTTGCACACATTCTCCTGTTTCCATCCGCTAAACTGTGTGTTTGTTTCCAGAAATATCGGGGGAATACCTCGTCACAACATCCTATGACAACTCCGTCAAGGTGAGCAGGGGCAGCTGAGAATTTTACATTCTTGTGAATGAGGCTTTGGCTGGACCGATATGGTGTTGATAGTTTTGGAGTTCAGTTTGTGGCATGAAATTACTTTAATTGTCACTAAGTTAGGCATTAAAGAACTACTCTGGCCAAAGATTCTATTTCTATTTTGGTGCTGTTTGCAAGTTGACGTAGTAATTTCCACCACATTTGCAAATGTTGCGTTTCCGAGAGAGAGTTTTTGGTCTCACGAATACGAGCTTTTGTTCTTACTTGGGATCAAAGACTGGTCCGCCATCGGCTGCTCGTGGCATGCCCAGTTTGCCTCGTTCGTATACCCTGAACGTGCGATTGTGCCGCCACTGCAGCTTGTTGCTAGTCTCGCGCGTAGTCTGCAACAGACATCACACAAAACTTTTTGTGCATTGGGTGGAAAAGGGGGGAGGGGGTGCATCTAACCTAACTCCTATGCTACTGCTTTGAATTGGATTCTTTTCTGCTAGTACTATTATTGTTCAGTATTTGAAGCTGTTTAAATATTTAATTCTCATTTGAATTTGCTTCACATTGAATTTTGCATATTCTTATTTCAAATTTGCACTAAAACTTTTGGTATAGTAGTTGCACTGCTCTAATTTATTAACGAAACACATAGTATTTGTGGCTGGGGCGGCCCTTTATATTCTTTTAGGAACTCGGACACCCAAGTCGTGATTTCACATTATACATCTGTTGCTATGTTATGTTTGAGATAGGTATGCCAAAGCACTATGCTCAAATTACTTTTGTGTACTTTATTTTCTTACATTTTTGCAGATTTGGTCAAATCCCGAATGGACACCAGTCCACAGTCTGAGTGGCCATGATGGCAAAATCATGGGCGCAGATATTTCACCTAGTGGAAAGTACCTGGCAACATCTTCATTTGACCGAACTTTCAAGCTTTGGACCCCTGAATAAAGAAAGGCAGCACTGCAAACTGTGCAATTTGTTTAAAAATATTGTACATTTTGGTTCGATTTTTATTAGAGCTAGTCAAGTGTTTTTGGGCCTTGCAGCTTTTAGCAGGAGAGTTGAAACAAAAAAATTATTTTTCTTTCTTTTTTTTTTTTTTTTTCTTGTGATGGTGGCAATTTTCTGGAGACATTGTTAAACAAACTCCGGAGTATCAAGAGCTACATCCAGGGGACCATGTCTCGGAAACGACTGACTCAGGTGGTGCTTCTGTGTGTGAATTCTGGGCGAGCAGCAAACGTTTGTTTGGGAGAAAGGAGGACTGTTTTTCTTATCTTATTTGATTTCATTTCTTTTACCTTAAGGGCATCTAGCGAGGCATTAAGGCCTGTTCACACACTTGCAACTTTTTAGTACTGTGTGCCTTGAAACCTCTTAAAATATTGAAAACTAGTTACGACGAGCAGACGACCAGAACACATCGGCGCCGCCTACTGGAGAGCGCCACTTCACGGTCCCCGTATATTTCCTTTTTTTTTTCGCGCATCATTTTATTTTATTTTTTTACTTAAAAACTTTTTTTTTATGTTCAAGAACTGCTTTACATTTGACCTCACAAATAACGCAAAACCTTCGCTCTAGGAAAATGCAGTTCCAGGGTCGCCGCATAGATGGTGCCATGGTGTTCTCAAGAGAGCCTAGATTGTAGAGAGGGTCCATCTCAAAGCATGGGGAGCCTTCGCAATTTAATGGCGGACCCCTCTGGCGAAAAGTGGTCGCAAGTGCTCATGCGCTGCGTTCTTTCGTGGCAAGGAGAAGAGCTCTCTAGTATAATATACGTATACTTAACCAGACAAAAAAAAAAAGTATAACTACTTGTTTTTACATGAAGAAAAAGGGTCGCACTTTTCGAAGGCGCAATGGGGGATGCGGGTTTATCACTGGGACGCGCTTTAATTACCCCCCCCCCCCCCCCCCTTTCCGTTTGCGGTGCTTCGCGGCGACACTCAGCGAAGGGCTCAATAAAAAATATTAACCCACCTGGCCAACCCGTACATGCCACTTTGCGGCACCCCGCCAACAACCCAAGGAAGTGAAACAAAGTTACTCACTTTGCTGAGCTCTCGGTCACTCGACGGCCCAAGTCCCGCTGTCCCTCGTTGCACCTCTGAAAAGTCAATTCCCAAGAAAAAAGCAAGTTTTGGTCATTGTTCATACGCCACGCGAAGTGGTTAGATTCGGTTGTTGGAGGAAGAAGCGATACTTATGGCGTTTGAAATATATAAGACTTGATAATGTAATATATATCTAATCTAGAATGCAATCTAGAATGTAATATATATCTAATCTAGAATGTAATATATGTCTAATCTAGAATGTAATATATATCTAATCTAGAATGTAATATATATCTAATCTAGAACCTTAGTTCACCTAAAAGGAGAAATCAGTAATGCTCCACAAGGAGCCGAACTTTTATTACTACGATTCTTGATATGAGCACAAATATGTATAGAGATAAAAAGGTTTCTATCGCCTCATCCCGTCGCTCCTGACAGAGCTGTTAAAGGGCCCTGTAATCATATTTAAGCGTCTACCTTTTTTGCGGTTTCCACGTCTCTTGGGGTTTGGGCAAGCCAGCGGGCATGGAGAGAGTAGCTAAATATTCGTGCGTCATATTTTAACTGGACGACACGGAAACCTCCTCCACCTATGGGGGCGACCCGCGGTGCCGAAAGCGTGCAAAATGCAACGTCTTTGCTCCTGGACTTACTACTAGTCAGAGCCACTGAAAGCTTCTTTTTAGTCGAAGTGCAAAATATAAGTTGCGCGAACCGTTTCAGTTATTTATAAAAGCAGTTTTTGTTCACTATTTTAGAAAAGAAAAAAAATGCAGTTTAGAAAGTACGGAAACAAGAAATGACCCGTCGACATACCCGCCACCAAGCGGTGGAAAAGGCGGCGCATACTACAAAGGTGTAGTGGGATCAGGCACCAACGAGCGGCGAGCGTAGAAAGGTCCCGTATGTACGGGGCGGCACAGCAGTCGTATGGATTGGAGCAGTGGTTCTCAAATGGGGTTCCGTGGACCCTTTGGGGTCCGCGAAGGCATTGTAGGGATCCGCGAGGCCCTGCCTCATAAGTCAAGCCCGGCAATAAAAGTTGCCTTTTTCAGATTGAGAAGAAACATTCCAATTTTCGGGCAAGGTCTCTCGTGTGTATGTCAATGAGAGAAGTCTACTTCACACTAGCCCTTAGTTGTATCCAAATATCAAATCATTATCATAATTAACCTATACATTTTCCTTCCTCCCGTCGTACGAACCGGGTCCTCCATCATCTGCGCCGATCCACAAGGGGTCCGCGAAACATCAATGGTTGAGAACCACTGGACTGGAGGATCCGACCGGTTCCGAGCGCTTCCAAGGCCTTCGGCGAGCAGCATTGGCTTGCGGTTTTCTATTTGGCAGTATGGCAGCGTGAAGTGATCTTTGCCCCCTGTTTGCTGTCGTTTGTGGCCAATGAAGTGTCATGCCGAATTAGTGTTTAATCGCGCAGCAAATGCAATGCGAGCCGCTCTGGCTGCCCGCGGCATACACCCTAGCCAGAACATGCTTTAGTGGCGCCCTCTCGAGCCGTTGACACGGAGTGCGGCAGCCGTCACCGCTCGCTGAATTCACTACCCCTCCTCTAGTTCTCGGCCACTCAAGCAACCAAGGACGTCATGAAGGAGGTTATTTGTTGCTTGTTTTTGTAATTTTAATTTGCATCGCGGTACGACCTACCGTAATCCTGACCTGCCCACGGAAGGCTCCCCGATGAAGACGATGTCGCCGAGGAATTGCGTCGCTTTGCTATTGGGGGCGCTCAGTAAAGGTTTTTCTGCGACCCAAACGCGGGACCTGAGTGTCTAGCACATGGTCGGCACGGCACGCGGCTGGTGTTATCTGTTTCTCGGGAACACCTGCACGGTATTCGTCTTGAGATAGAACCGTGTCGCCACCGTGCGGCCGAAATTGGAAACGCGCGAAAGCGGGGATACCGCCGTGCGTCGTCTGCTACGGGCGCACGCTCAGAAGCATGGATCTCGACGACGCAAGCCCGTTTCAGGCTGAGCTTGACATTCCTTATAGGTGACATTCACTTGACGTCACTCGCTAGGTTCGCTGGCATCGCCCACCACGGTCGCCATCTTCGAGGTCTCCTGCTATCGCGAATGCCATCTGGCCGGACCTTTTGAGCGTGGTTTAGCAGTATTTTACAACTTTAAAGGGTCTTTTAGAGCGCAGCTCTTAGGGGCCCGTTTCCGGCTTGAGCGGCGTCGCCGTCGCCGTCGGCGTAACCGCGCGGTGCATCATGGGAAATATCCCATAATGCACCGCGCGAGCCCCCCACCGGGGTCACGTGACTTCGTGGGGAGGCACGTGACCCCCCCCCCGAGGTCACGTGACCCCCCGAAGTCACGTGACTCCCCTGAGGTCACGTGACTCCCCTGAGGTCACGTGACCCCCTCCTCTAGGTCACGTGACTCCCCTGAGGTCACGTGACCCCCTCCTCGAGGTCACGTGACCCCCGCCGATGTCGCGTGACCCCCCGATGACGTCATCGACACTGATGACGTCACCGGCATCCACATCGTCATCGTCATCATCAGTGATGACGATGACGATGCGGATGCCGGTGACGTCATAAGTGATGATGACGATGTGGATGCTGGTGACGTCATCAGTGATGATGACGATGACGATGTGGATGCCGGTGACGTCATCAGTGATGATGACGATGTGGATGCCGGTGACGTCATCAGTGATGATGACGATGCGGATGCCGGTGACGTCATCAGTGATGATGACGATGTGGATGCCGGTGACGTCATCAGTGATGATGACGATGACGATGTGGATGCCGGTGACGTCATCGGTGATGATGACGATGACGATGTGGATGCCGGTGACGTTACCGACATCCGCATCGTCATCGTCATCATCACTGATGACGAAATCAGTGACGTCATTGATGTCGTCACCGGCATTCGCATCGTCATCGTCATCATCACTGATGACGTCGTCAGCGACGTCACTGATGACGTCACCGACATTCGCATCGTCATCATCACTGGTGAAGTCATCAGTGACGTCACTAATGACGTCATCAGTGACGTCAGTGATGACATCATCGGCATTGGGGGTCAGGTGACCCCCCAAGGTCACGTAACCCCCCCCCCCTGGTTAGTCTAACCCCCCCCCCCCAGCGCCCTTCCCTCCTCCTCCTCAAGAGCTGCGCTCCAATTCGGCGTTACAGGGAGTTGTAAGCGGCTTTCACTTTTTTTGATCGAAACTAGGGGTTATTCTTATACTTTGGTGCTTTTGAAGCGCCGTGGGAGTATTTTTTGTGTGTTTTAGTTCGTTTTTGTCGCTATCGGACTCGTTTACCGCGGCCGCGTTGCTCCCTCGGCTCCATGAAGCGCTCCGTGTCGCCCGCCGTGCCGACGGCGGTAGCTCTTGCAAGAACTAATTTTTCTACTTTGGTGCTTTTGTAGCACGGTGTGATTACTCTTCGTTTTATTTTGCTAGTTTATTGTTTTTCTCTAGCGGATTTTCTGTACTACGGCCGTGTAACCGTATTGCTCCATCGCCGCTGTGTCGTACATACGTCGTGCCTTCGGTGTTCGTTCCTGTGCAGAAACATACCGTGCGGCTCACAGAGTGCGCAGCTTATAAAAAATGCGGCGCATTTTTCATTAGCCCAAGCGATTTAAAAACCGCATGTAAGCGATTTGGCGAGCGGGAAGACAAGCGATGGCGACCCGCTTCGCTGCCGCTCGCTCACTCGCGCGACGAGGCAAACCGCATGAAAGCGACGGGAGCACACGACCAAGGCGATGAGCGCTAAGTTTTCCAGAAATCCCAAAACCGAGCTACGCGACGAGTGACAGAGAAGGGTGAGCCGCATGTAAGCGATTTAGCGAGCGATGGCGACAGCGACGGGAGTATGCGACGAGCGACGGAGATTTCTCGCGGTCGGTCGTCGCGTCGCTCGGTTTTTGGATTTTAGAAAGGGTCGCTTATCGCCTTGGTCGCTTGCTCCCGTCGCTTTCATGCGGTTTGCCACGTCGCGCGAGTGACCGAGCGACAGCGAAGCGGATCGTCGTCGCTTGTCTCGTCGCTGTCGCTCGTCTCGTCCCGTCGCTCGCCAAATTGCTTACATGCGGTTCAGCCTTTACACATGGTACTCGGCGGCAACAAAGAAAACGGCCCGCCCCCGAGACCAACTTTTCTTCTCTCTTCTGTTCTACGAAGCTTCAACGATATGAAATTAGCACACACTAGCAGCGGACGACCGCGTAGCGTACGTGGCGTACCCAAGCCAGTCAAACCGAGACCTCGAAGATGGCGGATCGACGGTGGCGCTCCCTGGCAAAATCGAACCTGCAGGCTCAGTTAATACCACCTATTAAGTGTTTTATGTTTTTTGTTGCCGTTTCTTTTTGCTAAAAGTTGTGTTGGATCGTTTCCCATGCGTAGAAATTCAACAAAGCGATTACTATGCGGAGGGCAAGTTCGTCTGCTTCTTGCGCGGGGGGAGGGGGGGGGGGGGTAGCGGTGACGTCAGAACACCGAGCCCTGATTGGCTGATCGCGACCCCTTATCTGAGCGTCGTCTGCTTCTTTGCAACGTCGTCTGCTCGCAACGTCGTCTGCGTCTGTCTTACCTTTCCTTCGACTTTCGGAAGCGCAGAGGCCAGATTCAAGAAACGATCTTACGCCAAAAATGTGCGTAAGACAAAACTTAAGAACAAATTCGTATTCACGAAACGAAATTTTCGTAAGTTTTGCGCAGGTTACGACGAAATCCTACGGCAGCTTCGAAGCTGTCTTACGCACTTCTTACGATCAAATCAGCATGGCCGACAGCGTCGTGGTCGCGACGACCCACGGACGTTTTTGTTTTTCTACCTGCGCTTCTGACGCGTCCCGACTTCATGCAGCAAGAATAAATTAAGAAGTACTTGAAACAGACCACGACGAACAAGAACGCTGGATCCACAAACACCCGGGAAAAGCTCCAACGGCCTCGATTCCACCGAACGCGACCAAACGAGCTGGGCAGTTAGGTCTAGCAGGCGCTCCGCGACTCGGCGACCGTCTGCCCACGACCGGCTGGCGTGCTGAATGGAGTATGCCCGCACGACCCTTGTGAACCCTTCCCGTATTATACATTGATCGCTGACCTCAATTTTAGATTAAGAGGTCAATTTCTTCCTCTTGTTATCTCCTTGCTTCCCGAGGCAACGGTGACTCTCGCCGGTGAAAAAGCGGTGAATCTCCGACAGACGCAGAAAAGGTAAAGCAGCCATCGCTTTGACTAGCAGAAAGCAGACGACGTTAACTGCGCCAACCCGCCGACGCCGTTAAAGAGTGAGGGGTCTCGCCGCACACGAATGGAGGGGAAAAGTATTTGGGAGGGAACCTGCGGACACTAACACGCTCACTCTCGGTTCTAAGCAAACAACGGCGCCCCGGGACACCTCGCCAGTGAGTCCTTTGACTTCCCTCCTTGATGAACGTCTGCTAGTTTTAGACAAAAACAACGTACTGCTCAAGTTATTTCGTCTGCCCTCTCTT